CTACAGGTTTCCTCCTATCGCCTACTACTCTTCTCCCCGTGGCCATTTGAAAATTTACATAATATTTGCTCTAGATTCCATCTTGTCCTCTCGGGCTACTTTCACACGCATAAACCAAGTTGGTTCGGGCCAGGCCAACTCTTCCAGGCTTGCCAGAGAGATCTGCCGGCTCCAGTTGGCGGCTTATCAGGCCTCATAAATATATATTCCCTGGCCTGCCTTTGGGCCATCTACGCTTGACAATTTCTTTACCAACCTGGTGGCACTTTTTAGCCAGAAATGAGAGCGGAAATTAATGGCCAAAGTTAAAGAATGTTTGGTATGTGAGAGCCAACAGGTGGGCTATCTTTCTGATGGGATAGTTTTAAGAAACAAGCCTGATTTATATAGTTCTTCACACTTTTGTTTGCCCATCTAACATACCATAACCAACTACCATAAACATAGGATATAATAATTATATATTTAATTAGTTCCCAAGGCAATTATACATCCATAAATAATTTAAACTGCAACACTTATGAATTTCTGCAATAGACATCAAACTTTTATCCAATTAAGCCACAAGACCATAAATATAATTAAACTCAGAGCATAAAATTATACTTCCAATAGGCAAATCCCATTTGTTATTAGGCCCGATTACAGTATATGAATCACATGACACAGGCCTTTGTCTGGAGATCCCATCAAATTATTCAGTTTCTCCTTTTTAGCATTCATGTTCACATGCAAAACATGCAAATTTTTTGCATTGCAGTTGCTGCTGGTGGTTCTGCTGGTGTCTTGGTGTTGTTGTTATGGGATTTAGCTGCTGTTGGGCCGTTTCTATTGCTGCAGCTTGGCCTAATACAATTAGTCTTGTGTAATACGCATGCCTGGTGCTCTGCTAGCCGCGGGCCGGCTGTCGGCTGTGGTAGCCAGCCGGAGGAGTGGCGAACCCGTTAGTGGTCGAGTACATATACAGTTATCGTTTTTTTTTTTTTGCTCCCCAGCTCCTTTCTCCCTCTCTACACATTTACGCAATTCGCGCCACACGCCACACATCGCACACATGTATGGTCCGGAGTCGCCACCGATCGAAATTGCCTTGGGAGTGGAGCGCGAATTGATTGTGGCCAAAACGGTGGTGGTGGTGGTGGTGGTGGTAGCCACCGCAACAAAAGTTGAAAGCCTTTTGCGGCCGCACACCCCCCGCCGGCTGGCGCTCCTCCAACTGCGATTTCGACTACCAACTTGTTGCCAAAATGGTCAGTGCATAACGGTACACACGCCACCAATCGCAGCAGTTGGCCCAGAGAGTTGGCTTTGGCAGCCGAACTAATTAAATCCACATAAAATCCGTAGTCCACTCGAGCGGAGTTGTCCTTGCAACGGCAATCGGATGATTATTCAATAAAACAGGGCCGGGCCAACAAAGAGATGGCCAACACTTGATGACAAATGCCTGGGCGGCCAAAAGGGCGCTCTCTGCTGGCCCCCAAGTACTGGTTGCCCAGCCCCAATCTGGCTGCTCCCAGTTCGATCTCGCCAGTTCGTTCTGGGCCCTTCAAGTGAGCCGCCTCTATTCGATTTGCTCGTTTTGTTATCGCCAGCTTTTAATCTCCCCATTGCCGCGCGAAGGTCTTGGCCAGGTGCTCTCCCTTTGCCACTTTTGCCCCGGCAGAGTTCCGACCAGGTCTATTTCCAGCTAACTCACAGCGGGCTGGTAATATGAGGGGCAGGGCCCAGGCCAAGGCCCAGGACGCATTGTTAGAGCCGACCGGGTTAACCCATTTAAATCTTAAATAAAGAGATGTTTTAATGTAGAAAGGATTTAAAAATAAAATATAATATTTTACCCGTTAGATACTTTTCCATTCGTATCTCATCTATATGCACCGTGTATCCTGTCACTCCATCTGCACTCAGATTTCTCTGGGTCAAGAGCTACACCGAGTGCCATTAATGGGTTAAGAGATAGGCTGGTGGCTGGAGGGGATCCAGCAGCAGGAGCATCAATGTTGCAGACACGAGTTTGCACCGAGGCAGCGGCTTGATTTTATTAGCTTAGCAAAAGGCTTTGATTGTTCTTGTTCCTCTCGATGTTGCTGCTTTTGATGTTGCTGTTGTTGGTGGCACGGCCTGTTGCGCCTGTCTAGACAGACGATTTTTCACACACACACACTGGAGCATCGATGGACTTGGACTTGCTCTAAAATTGGCATTTTTCGCACACATAAGGCAAAAATGTAAAGCGAAGTCAATTCGATGGCCAAGAGACCAGGCCAAAGTCAAAGCCAGAGCCAGAGCCAGAGCCAGAGCCAAAGCCTGAGCCAAGAGACCAGGCCGAAGCCAAAGCGGTTTATTTGCCTTGTGTGGCATCTCAGCTTCATCGTCATCATCATCTTCATCATTGTGGTCATCCCAAAGTTTAAGTCAGTCTCCTACTCCAGCACCGACTCCAAGTCCATGTCCGATTCCCGGCTCTTAGGCTGAGGTTGAGCCTGAACCCGCTGGCATAATGTGGCGCAACTTGGACATGGCCATCCATGTGGACCTGGGACCTAGAACCTGGAACCTGGACACTCTCTGGCAATTTCTTTATTATTACGAGGAGCGTTCAGTTTGGTTGTCCTTTTAGGCCTGTTGCGGTCCACCACTCTCGGCCGACTGTCACAGATCCCGGCCGACTGGCTGATCATTATTGTTCCATGGCTGTTCCATGTTTTGTGCTCCTCGCCCTCTCACAAAGCAATGTCAATGTTTTGTCTTAATGCGACAATGCTCGATGGTAGATGGTCGATGGCTGGCTTGTCTAGCATGTTATTTAAATGCAGTCTCGTTGCAGGGGAGTGAGGATTTACAGCCTCCCCAGGTAAACGACGATTTATTATATTTATATGGCCAGTTCGTTTCTTAAGTCATTCGTTCGTTCTGGCCATAAATTAAACGATCTTGATGTTGATGCGCCCGTCTGCTAGCCGGAGAGGACGCTGCACAAGGTCGCGTGTTGCTGCTTAGTGCCGCCCAGTCGGCAATTAAACGAGTTAATCACAGTTCGATGATTTGTCAGCTGGAGCCTGGCCGCTTCGCTAATCGCCAGGGAAGGTCAAGCGCCAGCCCACCCATCATTATGGGCACTCGAGGGTGAAGTTTTTTCCCTACACCACTGGATGACATCATATTCAGGGTAAGGCATTCCCATACAGAGGAAATCATTAGATTAAAAGTAGTTAGTAGTTAGTAGGTAGTCATAAAAAATCCTCATAAACTTTAGATTGGTATGATGGTGATGGAATTAAATTAAAATTTTTATTAAAAATACGAATAAATGATTTCATTTGCTATTTATAAACAAAGCCAAGAAAATAAAAGTCTACTCTGCTCTAATTTTAAATAACAATAGAATTTTTTAAATTAAATAAAATATGATTCATATTTTCTCAAGAGACACTCTGTTTCATTTCCCACATTATTATTCCATATTCTTTAAAGAAATCTAGATCAGGCCTTATAAATAAATTCGTACTATCAGATAGCAGTTTCCCTCAAGTTTACAAAAGAAATCTATTTCATAATCTCTGTCTTTTTGTGAATCAAATATTTTCAATGTGACTAATTCTCTACGATTTCTTTCGGTCTCAGACAGACTTTTACTTTCTCCAAGTTTCGCTTTAGTTATCCCTGCCACGCCCACTCAGCAGCTGCCCATCACCCGCAACCCGGCATTTGGCGGGCAAGTTATAATTTAGCTTTCAGCTTTGTCTGAGAAGCTGCTGACTAAGCGATCCAGGCTAAAACCGAAGCTAAAGCTGAGACTCAGGCTGAAGAGCAGCAGCACAGCAGCGATCTTGGACTCTCGGTCTCGGTTGGCTCGGCAGTAAATTATAGCCTCGTCTGCAGCTTTTTCCTTATATTTGTGGCTTGGTTTGCTGGTTTGTTTGTTTATTTGTTTGTTTGTTTGTTGGTGTGTATCCATAGAGAGAGATGTATTCGTATCGGTTTTGTGTATTTTTAGGCTGCATCTTAATTCTAGAGACCGAGAGACCAGTTCGCCTACACGAGCCGAATGTCGCCCGTTGTTTAGGTTTTATTTTTCGCTTTTATTTCTTCATTTTTCTCGCGTAATGTTTTTTTGCACTTGGCATTTAACAGGGGGATTTTGTTTCTGATTGCCTTTTAATAAGCCAACCCAGCCAACCGATCGACCGATACTTAACCAGGGTTCTTCTGATGTGGTCTTTATGACTCTCTGGTTATATATATTTTCATATATAGATAGGTAGGTGGCTTGGTATATGTTTCCCTCGATAATATCGCGCTGCCTTGGTAGTGTTGTTATTTAATTTTTTTGTCTTATTTTTGGCGTGTCATGTTCCTTTCCCAGCAGTGCTGCTGTGTTTGTGTAGGTGTCTTGTTTGGTCTTTTGTTTTTTCGCCGCGCTGTTTGTTGTCTTGCCTGTGTATGGCAACTTGCAGGGGCAGCCAAGTTAATGAGTAATGTGCTAGGGCTTTCGAGGAATACAATATATCCATAACATATGTAGCTACGAAGGAAGAATATGGCAAACGGCATGCATATAAGGCAGGAAGAGCGACTGAGTGAATCATGACAGGGCCACACTTGAGACGCTCCCAACTTCATTAGAGCGCGAGTTCGTTGCCTCAGTCTTTCGTTATTTTTTTTTGCCCAAAACAAGCGAAATAAAAAAATAAAGTGAAAAATAAAAAGCTCGATCGCCCCCGCCCGCGACAAAGTGAAGATCGTTATACTGACGATTCGGCCATCACTCCAAATGGCCACAAATTGTGTGTGTACTCCACGACGACGGAAAACGAGGTCACTTTAGCGGGTTTAGCAAAATTTTGAACGAACGAATGAGTACTTTTGTATTTCATTGCGCTCGTGGAATGACATCATGCAGCTTCGTGGGCCAAGCTTGCCAAGCTCCACTCATGCATTTTAAAGCTTAAATTGTAGTTTTATTAAGATTATTTGAGTACTATGTAAGGGCTTACCTTTGGCCTGGGCTAATCCACAGAAGAGGGCCGCCAGACACAGAGAGCGCCACATTTGCATTGAAAGCAGCATTTCCCAAAAAATTTCGGATCTAATTGGCCGGGGGAAAACGGAAAGACAAACGGCATATTATTATAAGCATTTTGACCGAACGGCACATGCTCCACAAGCGGGCCAGGCCAGCATTTCATTTGTATTCTTTTTGGCCTTTTGTCGTTTTCACAGACACACTGCACACACACAGCAAATTATTATGAAACAAAGCGAAGCCAGTAAGGCCGAGAGACTGCCAGTGAGCCAAGATCTGAGAACTCAAGACTGAGGAGAGCCGTCAAGTGGCAGGCTAGCTGGCTTACGGCGAATGCCCAACAAATCAAAACCCAAATGACAACGGGCAACGGGCAAATAAAAAACGAAACAAGCCGCGAACAGCACACATCACATCACCGCACAGAACAACCCGGAGCGGGGCTTACTTGTCGTCGTCTACGTCGTCGTTGTCGACTAACTTGGCTAACAATATGTTAGGGGAAACTCACAAATCGAGACTACCGACGAGCACGTCCAAGCGGTTCGCTAGTCGCCAGGCAACTGACTCCCGGCTGGAACTTCTGCAGCGGCGAAGCCACTGCCGGAGCGGGAGAGCCCGAGGTGTCGGTCGGCTGCCTGGTCGGTCGTAATGTTGCCTTGCATCGGTGGCAGAAATGGCTATATCGGGAGAGAAAGCATTTCATTTACCCAGCTTGAAATTCATAATATTCGAGGTAGTAAATATATAGATGTACCTTGGAAATAATATACACTTTTAATTGCATTTAAATCCGGGCTAGGAAGTTGATGGGGCTGGTAAATAGATCACACTGCGTAGGCCTATAATGGGGGAGATACTAAGTATTTTTAATAAGTTCTACAGGCTTTTAAGATCTGGATTATAAAAGACTATTTAACATAATAAAACACTTTACTAGTTAATAGGATAATTTACAAAATATTGAAACTTACTAATATAGTTGGAGCGATAAATAGGTATTGATATTTTACTAAAATAACATCGAGAGCATTTTTATGAATACATAATTTAATCGTTTAGCCTGAGAAAAAATATAATTAAAAAAAAATGTAAATATGTAGAGATTAACTTAAAAATTTATCTTATGATTTATTTAATCGTTGCATATGTGAGTTATAGGACTTGGACTATATGAAAAAAGCCTTATTAGACTACCTAAAACGCATAGGTAAATTATGTAAAATCCAAATAAACTGATATTTAATTAAAACAAATTTATAAATTTTGCCTTTTCGGCTTAAAGCCAAACCGAGCATCACTACTGGAAAGAGCTAACATAAAGAGAGTCTTTATTATGGACAGCGCCTCTCCAGCCCCTGGCTGTTCACAGTGCATAAATAAGGCCAACAATTACGAAAGTGCTATTTTACAATTTATGGCCATATTTGTAGAATACATTTAGATTAGCTGTGGAAAAATAAACATAGCATTTCTAAGCGGCCTCCACTGTGCCAGCTCTGGCCGGCGAAAGCTCGCATGAGAGACAGAAGTGAGAGCAAAAGCAGCCGTAAATTGCAGTAAAAGGATCGCCATCCGCTCCCGTTCTCTCTTTCTAATGGAGACACCATCAGCCGGCTGGTCTTTCTTCTTGGCTAAAATGAGAAATTGTGGGAGCGCAAAAATTTTACAAGCAATTATGCAATCTTGTTGCTTTTTTTGCTGCCGCTGCCTATTGTTGTCAAAACAAACATTTATGTAATTGTGTTTGCTATCAGCACGAACGGCATGTTCTCACTGCTGCTGGGCTGGGAAGTATTAGTGTAAAATCGTCTAAATGTAACACAGATGTGGCAGATAACCGGTGCACTAGCGGTACTTACATACACTTCCGCCAAAAAAAAAGCAAAATTAAACCGTTCCTCGCTGGTCATCTGGTGCAGCCGGTAGGACGCAGAACCGCCAAGAGTCCAAATGGAGGCCGCCCATGAGTCCAATTTCACACCTCTTGGATTCGCGCGTGCTGGGGCATTATACATTATGTTCGTACTTGTTAGTTTTCCAAACCAATGACCATCCCATCATTAAACGGGCTGAAAAATAAGGCTGGCCATAGGGTTCCGAGAACGGTAAATGACGTGCAAATAAGTGCATCCAACCAAGCGGTCTAATTAAATTTGCTTACTTCGCCCCAAGTGCCTGTTATTACTAAGTTGCATCATTTAGAAGGGAATATTCAACTAAGCATTACTAAATTCGTATTTTTGATGCCTCGACATTTAACACTCACAACTGAAAGCACAACTCACCGATCTGGCAACCCCGCGACGCAAAGAAGAACTGGCAAAAAGCTTGTCCGAACTGTTACAGCAGTCGTCTCGCTCGCACGCGACGCCATTCTAACGGCACCACATTTTCCGAAAAGAAAATGCGAGCTACGAAAATGAAGTTTTTCCTTCGGCAGTAGAAACATTTACATTTAAAGGCCAGGAGGTGTGCAATATTCGTTTAATAATCAAAATATTGTCACACATCCCGTCCTGCAAGTGTTTATGTTTTGATATTTCGCGCACTTTTCACAGACTCACAGATGACGAATGCCAGATATTATCAGGCCGGTACAAGTGCAATATGATTGAAATATCATATTGTCACAAATACCGACCTAAAGGGTATCTGGCCACAAATATTTCACTCAGATACCGGACGCTGCTATTCGCATAATATCTATGGGCTGGGGAAAGTGCAATACGATTAAAAATACGCTTTGCAACCTTCCACAACCTACAAATAAAATCGAAATTATAATCACTTGCTAACTTTTGAACACTTTCGGCTAGTAGCTGCATAGATCCACAATATTCTGGCCGTCTCGAGTGCAATTCTTGTTGAAAAAACCAAGATTTGCACTGGAGATGACCCCGAAAATTGTAGACATAAATCCAAACACACACACTTGCAATTATTATTATTTTTTTTTTTTATTGAAGAGGATTGTCGAAGGCCTTTTCAGGCTGAGGAATGTGCAATACTGATCAAAATTGTAGTGCCCAAACCTCAGGCCAGGAAAGGCTGACCACAAAAACACTTTTCCATCATCGACCACTCGCGACAACTCCCGAAATTCTAATGCAGAGTAAGATCAAAAGCACTATACAAAAAAAAAAAAAAACAATTTGGGCTTTCCTTTTCTTGGCGACATTCGCAGAAGGAACAAAACTACATTTGTAGCTCGGTACGAAAAGAGACGACACGATATGGTCGCTGTGTAGCCTTGTCGCTGTGTAGCGGAGTCGCTGACTCAAATTTGTAGCTATGAAGTTTTGTAGCAAAGTTTCACAAAACGGCAACGCCGTGGAAAAATTTAGAGGGAAAATGAAAACCAAGTGAAAACTTGGAATATTGTGCATCTCATTTTCTAGGAAAAAAAGTCTCTTTTATCTTTTAATCACGCGTTATGAACAAAGAACTTTTCTATAGAAATACTTTTTGGCGCCAAATTTTTTCCCGCGCGACAAAATTGTTTTTACGTTGGAAAATTGGGATTTTGTAAATTCTTAGAATCACTTGCTTTATTTATTTCACTTTTCTTCACACTTTCACATTTTTATTGAACATGAAATTCACAAGTTACTATGATGTATTGACGGAATAAAATTTTTAAGACCATAGCCCTTTAATTCGATAAAAATGAATATCAAGAGCTAAGATCTTAAAAACATGAATCCGCAAAGAACCTAAAAAAAATCCACGATATTCAAAGTTAATAAAAAAAAATATTGAATTACTTAATTCACAAGAACTTTTTCTAAATATTTAAAAGCAGAGACGTGTACCTGTGCGAAAAAAATACAAGTGCCGCGATACTGATTCAAGGAAATTAAGAATTTTTTTTTTGTTTTTGTATACCAGGAAATTTTTTCACAACTCAATTTTTGAGAGGTCTTACCTCGACGACTGCCAAAACAGAAAAGACGGAACGGATTGATTTCAGTGAAGTTGTCTCCAATTTGGCAGTGTTGGGCAGTGTTAGCAATGGCCCATGGCACTGCCCTTTTGAACTGCTTTGAGATTGGCAACGAAAAAAAAAGATTTTAAGGCAACGAAAAATATTAAATTATTCAAATTTGCTCCTTAAAATATATGATAAAAATTTAATTAGTCTATATTTTTTTATTTCTCATTCATGTTTTGTTATTCAAAAACAATTCCAGGGAAATCGATAATTTTTTCTGAACTTTGGGTCTTCCTGTACAGTGTTATACAATTTTTTTTAGTGTTAAAAAAGCACTTTATATTTATTCCCGCCCGCCATTGCACAAATACCAATGCAAAATTTTGCAAAAAACAAAATGGATCACGTATGGTAACCATTGCAACATAACCTTTCCTCTTTGGCTTTAGTAAACTTGTCATAGAAAGAATTTTGTGATTTAAATCTTTGATTATCTTGTACATCCTACAACTTTTTTAACCCGTTTTAAAGGAAAAATGATATATTCAAAAGTGGAAGTGCAATCACATGAATGTTTTTTTTGTGCATGTCCAGTGATGAATAAACTAATTTTTAAAACAATACTTGAAACTTCATATTTATACATGTGAGTACGCATAATCTGGTAGGAGCATATAAATCTATTGCAAAAATAACAATGTATTTGTGGTTCTAGTGTTCTTTAATAAGATCAAACCCACAAAAACCACTTTAATTGATTAAACTTGCATCTCAAAACCTATGAAAAACGTCCTCCTGCAGTGTTTTAAAAAGTTTTTTAGTTTTAAAACAAAAGGCCTTTAAATTTGATCGCCGGCCAACCATGCCACAAATACCAATCAAAAATTGTGCGAAAAGAGAAAAATTACTCACACACGTTCATATGTCCGTATACAAACATAACCAAACTTATTCGGCTTTAGTAAACTTTTTATAAAAAAAATTTGTGATTTAAATCTTTGATTATCTTGTACATCTTACAACCTTTTTAATCACTTTTAAAGGAAAAATGATATATTTAAAAGTGCAAATGCAATAATATAGTTATTTTTTGGTGCATGGGTCAAGTGACGAATAAAAAAATATTTAAGCAACACTTGGAACTTCATCATTATATAATCAGGGAGGAGAACATATGTATGTATATATCCATATATCCATTTATACATTTATTTATCCATTTATGTATTATGAATATGTACATACATACATACATATGTATGTACAAGCACGGATCAGACAAAAATTGGCAAAGATATGGCCCTTGGCGTAGGTCAAATTGTGCCTCTCATCCATTTTCCAATTTTTGCAGGGAGACCCCTAGAAAATTTGACAAAAAATCTAAAAAATAATTTGTTTTTAGATTTTGATGTAGATTGGTAGAGAATCGATCCACAAATCGATAAAGGTACTCCGTTTAAGGATCGGCCAAGAATTGCCAAAGATATGCTTTTCGGCGTGGGCCATATTGTGCCTCCCATCCATTTTCCAACTTTTGCAGGGGACCCCTAGAAAATTTGACAAAAAATCTGAAAAATAATTTGATTCTAGATTTTGATACAGATTGGTAGAGAATCGATCCACAAATCGATAAAGGTACTCCGTTTAAGGATCGGCCAAGAATTGGCAAAGATATGCTTTTCGGCGTGGGCCATATTGTGCCTCCCATCCATTTTCCAACTTTTGCAGGGGGACCCCTAGAAAATTTGACAAAAAATCTGAAAAATAATTTGATTCTAGATTTTGATGCAGATTGGTGGAGAATCGATCCACAAATCGATAAAGGTACTCCGTTTAAGGATCGGCCAAGAATTGGCAAAGATATGCTTTTCGGCGTGGGCCATATTGTGCCTCCCATCCATTTTCCAACTTTTGCAGGGGGACCCCTAAAAAATTTGACAAAAAATCTGAAAAATAATTTGATTCTAGATTTTGATGCAGATTGGTGGAGAATCGATCCACAAATCGATAAAGGTACTCCGTTTAAGGATCGGCCAAGAATTGGCAAAGATATGCTTTTCGGCGTGGGCCATATTGTGCCTCCCATCCATTTTCCAACTTTTGCAGGGGGTCCCCTAGAAAATTTGATAAAAAATCTAAAAAATAATTTGATTCTAGATTTTGATACAGATTGGTAGAGAATCGATCCACAAATCGATAAAGGTACTCCGTTTAAGGATCGGCCAAGAATTGGCAAAGATATGCTTTTCGGCGTGGGCCATATTGTGCCTCCCATCCATTTTCCAACTTTTGCAGGGGGTCCCCTAGAAAATTTGATAAAAAATCTAAAAAATAATTTGATTCTAGATTTTGATACAGATTGGTAGAGAATCGATCCACAAATCGATAAATGTACTCCGCTCAAGGATCGGATGAGAATTGTCAAAGATATGCTTTTCGGCGTGGGCCATATTGTGCCTCCCATCCATTTTCCAACTTTTGCAGGGGGTCCCCTAGAAAATTTGATAAAAAATCTAAAAAATAATTTGTTTCTAGATTTTGATGCAGATTGGTAGAGAATCGATCCACAAATCGATAAAGGTACTCCGCTCAAGGATCGGATGAGAATTGGCAAAGATATGGCCATCGGCGTGGGTCTCATTGTGCCTCCCTTGCATTTCCAAACTTTCGCAGGGGGACCCCTAGAAAATTTGACAAAAAATCTAAAAAATAATTTGTTTCTAGATTTTGATGTAGATTTATGAAGAATTGATCCACAAATCGAAAAAGATACTCCGTTTAAGGATCGGATGAGAATTGTCAAAGATATGCTTTTCGGCGTGGGCCATATTGTGCCTCCCATCCATTTTCCAATTTTTGCAGGGGGACCCCTAAAAAATTTGACAAAAAATCTAAAAAATAATTTGTTTCTAGATTTTGATGTAGATTTATGAAGAATTGATCCACAAATCGAAAAAGATACTCCGTTTAAGGATCGGATGAGAATTGGCAAAGATATGGCCATCGGCGTGGGTCTCATTGTGCCTCCCTTGCATTTCCAAACTTTCGCAGGGGGACCCCTAGAAAATTTGACAAAAAATCTAAAAAATAATTTGTTTCTAGATTTTGATGTAGATTTATGAAGAATTGATCCACAAATCGAAAAAGATACTCCGTTTAAGGATCGGATGAGAATTGTCAAAGATATGCTTTTCGGCGTGGGCCATATTGTGCCTCCCATCCATTTTCCAATTTTTGCAGGGGGACCCCTAAAAAATTTGACAAAAAATCTAAAAAATAATTTGTTTCTAGATTTTGATGTAGATTTATGAAGAATTGATCCACAAATCGAAAAAGATACTCCGTTTAAGGATCGGATGAGAATTGTCAAAGATATGCTTTTCGGCGTGGGCCATATTGTGCCTCCCATCCATTTTCCAATTTTTGCAGGGGGACCCCTAAAAAATTTGACAAAAAATCTAAAAAATAATTTGTTTCTAGATTTTGATGTAGATTTATGAAGAATTGATCCACAAATCGAAAAAGATACTCCGTTTAAGGATCGGATGAGAATTGGCAAAGATATGGCCATCGGCGTGGGTCTCATTGTGCCTCCCTTGCATTTCCAAACTTTCGCAGGGGGACCCCTAGAAAATTTGATAAAAAATCTAAAAAATAATTTGATTCTAGATTTTGATGCAGATTGGTGGAGAATCGATCCACAAATCGATAAAGGTACTCCGTTTAAGGATCGGCCAAGAATTGGCAAAGATATGCTTTTCGGCGTGGGCCATATTGTGCCTCCCATCCATTTTCCAACTTTTGCAGGGGGACCCCTAAAAAATTTGACAAAAAATCTAAAAAATAATTTGATTCTAGATTTTGATACAGATTGGTAGAGAATCGATCCACAAATCGATAAAGGTACTCCGTTTAAGGATCGGCCAAGAATTGGCAAAGATATGCTTTTCGGCGTGGGCCATATTGTGCCTCCCATCCATTTTCCAACTTTTGCAGGGGGTCCCCTAGAAAATTTGACAAAAAATCTAAAAAATAATTTGTCTCTAGATTTTGATGCAGATTGGTGGAGAATCGATCCACAAATCGATAAAGGTACTCCGTTTCAGAATCGGATAAGAATTGGCAAATATATGGCCCTCGGCGTGGGTCACATTGTGCCTCCCATCCATTTTCCAACTTTTGCAGGGAAACCCATAGAAAATTTGACAAAAAATCTAAAAAATAATTTACTCCTTAAACAATATTTTGTTTTTTTTAATAAGAAACATTCCTTTAATAATATTTCAACGAAAACTAACAATCTGGTTGGCTAATGGAATCAATTAAAGACTTTTGCAAGTCCAATATTTGTGGTTTTATTTCCTTAAACTCCGCCAACTGCTGCTCCATTATGGCGTTAAGTTTTACACGTTCGTTTTGTATATTTTGAAGACGTTCCCGGTTCGCTTGGCTCTTTTCCAGTGCCATCTGAAAATAAAAATTTAAATATATTTAATAATCTTTAGATGAGCAGGGGACTGATTTATTTCGCACCTCGAGCTTCTTTTGTTGAGTTTCTATCTTTCGCTCCATATAGCGAATGCTGGAGTCCATAAGCTGTATGCGTAGGGGACGAGTTAGCTCCTCGGGGGTCATTTCATTGACATTCCTGCAAATGAGATACAATTTAGTGAGGTCCTACTTGTTGCCCTCATTGAGAGGCCTAACCATTGCTTGCCCTCTTGACCGGCGAACTTTTCTTTGAGCACTTCTAGAGCCAACAGTTTGTTTTCAATCTGTAATTAAATAAATAACGATTAAAAGTTTTTCTTTAGGGATCAGATGAGATCCTACATCATTGCCTTCGAAGAAACTCAAGTGCATTTTCATCATGATGTCGGTCATTTTTTCTCGCAATTTCGGCACCAGAGCTTCGGTGTCGGCGTAGGCATCGCCGTTTTCCTTCTGGATGTCAACAAAAGCTGACAAGTCATCGGCACTATTTAAAAACAAAGCTATTAGTTAAAGTTTTCCCAAAATATGTGTTTTTTACCTCAGATTATCGAACATTGTTTTTGTGGCGTCTTCGTAGGACTGCTTTATTTGGGCAACTGTTTCCTGATGAGGACCGAACATAGCCTCGACAACTACTTCGGTTTTTCTTGGTTTCGCATCCATTTCAATTAAATTATAAAAATTGCACGCAATTTTAAAAACAAAACAACAATTCAGTGTGACTGCGGGGTCTTAGGAGTCTTGCGCCAAAATATACCCATCAGAAAAAGGTCACATCGTTCCATAGCATTGAGCTATTTGTATGACAACGACGGATTTAAGCCAATGCTCGAACCAATACTTAAGGGATATTTTAAAAAGTGAAAGGGTAAAGAGCATATTATTAACTCTTTTTATATGGAATATATATAATTATTTATTTTCTAAACATTGTTTGGTGTTCTAACGCAACGGTGAAATAAATCGCTTTTGAATTTATACATTTTTCGATTAATTTCCGCCTCCCCCCGAGAGCTGCCACCTTTCCGTACAAAAGGGACATTTAGAGTCATCGATGAAACGATTGTTTTACAATAGAGTTGCCACCCCTACCGCTCCGTCTCGTGTGCCTGTTAAAAAATATTAAATAATATTAAACGAGATAGATTTAGGCGGAAAAAAGTGCGTAAAACAAGAACTGAAGGTTGTGCCAACGGCCAGAGACTCGAGTTTTGTGGCAGCAGTGCAAGAGCAGTCGGATAATAAGGATTCAAGCTAGGTGAGTTTTCGCAGGGGACGCGCAGCCCTCCTGCGCTGGGGGGCAGCGAAAAAAGGCAAATTACGATCCAGCCAAGTGCCTCTGTGACTGTATGTGCGCGATAATATGTTTTCCCGTATACATTTTTCCTCAAACTGTTTGCCAATTGACCAATTTTTGTGTTTCTTTCCGGAGAAATGAACTTTTCTGCAAAGTGCGCCTTTCCAATGGTTCCTTTGGCTTCGTCCGCTTCCCTTTCACATATTTTCCAACCACCGGGGGCACATAGAAGTATTCTTGGCCTCTTGGCCGCGCCAGCTCTCTCCGCTCTTCTCTCTTTCACTTGAAAAGTTTACTTTTCAGGTACAGAGTCTCCTCGTCGCTTGTTGTTGTTGTTGTTGCTACTTTTGGTGGTTCATCCATTTTGCCGCTTTGCCGCTTGTTTCGTATTTTGCTTCCACCTCTTTCTCCACTCCATGCGGTTGAGGAGAGGGTTTGAGGAAAAAGCGGCAACCGGCATACATATAATATCATTATAATTTACTTTTCTTTTTGCCGCGGAGATAAAATCAAAACAAAATAGTTTCGTTGCTCCAAAACAACTCCCACGCCCCCAGCCCCAGCCGCAGCCGCAGCTCCACGCTCCACGCTCCGCAGCAGTGACAACAAGTCGGGTTCAATGCTCGCCAACTTACAAATAAGGCAAGAGCCTAACCCATATTTTATTCATAGTTAAGACCACCACAGTGTGTTGTTCTTGTTGTTGGGTCTATCGATTGATGCTCTGCCAAGATGAGCAGAGGAGCTAATGAACAAGGCAAATACCCGTTCAATGAGCTTCTCCAGTCTTGGGTGCAGCTCATTACCGCCTCTTTGCGGCCCACCAGCCCCCTAGCCCACTATTCCCTTGGCATTTGGGGGGATTTCTGTCACTGTTCCTCCATTCCTCCACAGACTGAGATTTCAGACTTTTGCTTTTTGTTCTTTTTGGATAGCTGGCTGACTAGCTGGCTGGCGATTCTCCCATTGCCTTTGTTTAGATTTCAAGTTTTTGTGCAAAAATTCGCTTTTATTTGCCTTGTTTGGCCGTTTTATTTTGTTGTTTCCAAGTATTGGCTACGAGAGTGAAGCAATTCCAAAGATATTTTGCAGCTATTTGCGAGCGGTTCGTTGACATTGAACTGAATTCTCGAACAAATGCGATACAGGGAGTTATCGCTATGATGTACAGTGAAATGTTCTTAATATTATATCATTATCAGATGGATTTATTTTTAAAATATTTGTTTTGGTTTATGATTATCAATATCAAGGTACAGTCTCAAGGTACATTCACACTTTTCTTGGTTTTACTGTTATTTTTAATACGATACTCAAGTACTAGTTCGATACTGACCATCCAGAGAGCTTTAGGATGTGTCATCACTAATTCAAGTTTCAACAAAAAGAACCGTTATAAGGCTGTTAGGAGGTTCGAAATACATTTTTTTTTTATAAATATTTATTTTTCTTTAAAAAAAAAGGTAAAATCTGCGGCCTATTTTCATAAAATTTGCATATTTTGGCTTTCAAGATTCGTTCTTGTAGCTGATACCTCTTTTTTGCTTTCTTTATGAATCATAATGATGAAAAATAAATAAAAAATAGTACTCTAATATGGCAATTGCACTGTAATTTGTTTGTCTGATGTGTGATGGTTGGGACTTTGATGTCGCTGATTTCCCTTATGACTCTATTTTCTGGTTGAGATCCAGTGACAAGAGAAATCTCTGTTAACTTTGCCCGCATTTGTGGCCCATTTCATAAATTCATAGCCCTTTTTATACGGGTTAATTATGCTTGACAGTTGGACGGATGATTTGTACTAAACGGGTGGACTTTGAAAACATGTTCCACTCGATGCTCTTCAATGGCTATTGTCTCGAATGACAAGCAAAGAAGCAGCAAATATTTTTATGCAAATCGCCAAAAAGTCACTTGAAACACGTTTCGAAGCAAGTTTTATTGATTTTGAAACCTTGACGGGTATTTGCTATTTGAGGGGCTTCTTATATTTCCAATTAATTAGCCAGCGATTGGGATTGGACGGCGATTGGGACCAAGATTGTCAGGAGATGCAGTTGACAAACGAAAACTAGATAAAGCCAGGCAATGGCAATCAATGGGGGATGTGGTTTGGGGGGTAGCGAGGTGGAAACAAGAAAAGTACTTTTCAATCGAAGCCTTTTAATAATGCAGCAACTATGGGGGTGGCTGGGCTGGGGAGGAGGACTCTCCTACACTCTGAGAAAGCAAGTCGAGCTTCAGTCAGGTGGGAATAAGGCATTTCGGACTCTCCAGCCTGGTTTCTAGCTGTGTAGCAGCCAAAGACAAGTCGAACAAGTCGAACTGTATGTATCAGACTATGGACTTTGGTGAAAAAAAAACCCAGAATAGAATAGAATAGTTCAGGACAGAGCAGCAACTACAACTACAGGCGGCCACACGCCATAAGCACATTAGTTATTAGCGCAGGGACCAGCAAGCCACCAACCACCACCCACTACTGCCCACCACCCAGTGTCCTTCCCCCATCACGCGATTGGGGCCTGCTTCGCCCGCTTGCTAAGCACGCTGACATGTCCATAAAAGCTTTGAAGTGGACAGGCCGCAAGGCGAGGGCTCCCACCGTTCCAGGGGCGGGCCACCAACTATTTTTCTAGCACCGGCGATGAGAATTGTCAATTGTATGCATTTCCGCTCAGTGCCCGGCTCCTGGCTCCTTCTTCTAGTGGCGGGTGTCCTTTTATTTTTATATGTTCGGGACAGACATGACGTCCATTAGCTGTTTTTCCGCTAAATTATAGAGTTGGAACGCATATGCCCGACGCCCAATTAGGCTGCAGGAGAGGCACGACCAGGAGGGGGTTAGTGGCTCAGGCGGTCAAAGGACACCACCACAGGCACAGGCTCACGTGAGAAACGAAACGTGACACGAGACATATGTCGAATTTTTAATTATAGGGGGATTATATTTATTTTAAAGAGTACTTAATAATATATTTTATAAATAAATGAATCATTAGGGTGACTAGTATTTCTAATCGCTTCTAAAGCTTGGATCTTACTGGCTTGCTAGGGTTATACAATCTCACTGAGGGTCTAAACCACAAGAACCAAAACCAGAAACCGCAAACCTCAAGCTCATAATGGTTCTAGATCGTTTAAATATAACAGTCTCCAATAAAATTAATCGAGTAATATAATAAATGGATATTTCTTTACTTCGGGTAGCTATCTGGTCTATAACTTGTCAGTTTCTTTAAAGGCAAGGACCTATATTATAATTGTATAATAATATAAACTACATGGGTGCTATTTTTGTAGTAATATCTAGAGATAGATTAGAGTAATAATGTTCTCCCTTGAAATAATACTACCTATAAGTATCACCAGCCCTAACTCTTTTTTTCCTAATTTTGAATATGGAAATCCCCTAATGATTAGCCGAGTCACGCCCTCATCTCCGACACTCACCTGAAGCCCAGAGAGGTGGCAAATAAAAAGGAGCACCAGGAAGGACACACGAATGTGTGTATTTTATTTTGTTCCTTTCGGCTCTTTGTGGGCAGCCACGAACCGCGTTTTCATGTGGCTGGCCACGTCTCACTGGACATAAACTCTCCAGCGGCTATTGTTGTTGTTGTGTTTGCGTTTTTGTGGTCAGCCCGGCCTGGGGGTGGGCGGAATACAGGCATGGAAAAAGTTTCAAGCGCCTGGCCCGAGCAACTTAAATTATTGTCGTTTCTGGGCGGGATTATGGGTTAGAGTAGAGGGTGGTCGGGTGGTTGGGTGGTTGGACAGTGGGCTGTTTGGAACGCGTGTGCGCTGTCAAAAGCTATTTGAACAGGATGTGGACAGCAATCAAATGATTTTCACATAATTGCTTACCTGTCATTTATGTCACTTTCAGGAATGCGGACCAGCCTTGTCCTTCTGCGCCCTTCTCTCCCATCAGTTCTCTCCCTTTTGTTTCCGCTCCTGGCACTTGTTGTCCTGCCCGGGAAGCTGGACAAGTGTTTGATGGAAGAGCTCTTCCATCACTCACCCGGCTAGTCCGGCTACTGGGAAGCAATCTAGTGCCCACTTCCGCTCCTAAATGGCTCCCGATAACCGAAAGTTTCTCAATGGCCCGGCTCTGTCCACAAATTGCCCTATAATTAGATCTCCGGCTGTTCAAACTCTCACAGTTCCATCGGGAATGGAGGTGGAAGGAGTACTCGATGTCGATGTCCCTCGGGGGAAGTTCATCTCGAGAGAAGTTTTAAAATTATTGCAATTTGCTTGAATTATGCATGTGCGTTAGATCTGCACCTGCTGTTGGGATAGTTGGGATAATGACAGAGCCCTAGACCACGTCATCGAACCTCCCGACTTGGTGGGAGCCCCTCCCCCTTAATGGTATTTGTCCAGGTCAGCGCAATTTGTTGCATTTCACAGGCATTTAGCTTTTGGGAGGGCTCCTCTCTATTGCTCTATCAATAGTTAAACGTCCTGCTGTCTTAGGGCCCTGATCTCCTCCCCGGCCACTCCTTAAGTGGGCTGCGGGTCTCTGAAATATGCATAATGTGAAAACATCAGGTGAAGTTCCATCGAAAATTCATAGAGCTGCAGGAAGACTGCAGTTCGAAGACCAAAAGGTCCGGCTATTAGTCTAATGTCGAATCCCAAATTCATTACGCAGCCCTACATAGGTACCCCCACTATCCATCTAATGGTCTGTGGGGGAGGCATATATCATATAGTATGATAGTATATAAGGAATCTATATGTTCCACACATGTAAAGTTCCAAAAGAATGCAATTCCTCCCCGGCTGGTATTAGATATAGGGTTTTTGGGTATAGAGGGGTATACGTGCCCCCATTCCGTACATAGGAACTACCATATCTATTCTATAGCTTCTGTTGTGGTCAGTCCGGGACAATTATCGTGGTTGCCTAGCATCCGGTAACTTCCCCTGTTTCAGGTATTGTCACTCGATTTGTACGACTGCCATTGGCCAGCGACTTCCGCTGTCCATATACCGATCCTATAGCTTCCGATTGGTCAGGATTGGGGCGCATAACTGCAGGATTTCCGGTATAAATAGCCCCAGTTTCGTCAGACTGTATTCATTAGTTTTCGTCCAGGACCTTCGACAGGTGCTCCCTGTGCTGCTGATCGTCAGATACCTACCTGCCTACCAACCTACCAAGTATTATGTAACTTTCAAGTGAAATCTGAGGAAAGTTGGTGATTGTGAAGCGAAATCTATAAGATTTTTAGCGAAAACTCGATTGTGATATTGTTGAAAACTTCAAAAAAAAAGGTAAAGACCAAGGTGTAAAGTTTATGTCTGAAATTGGTAATATAATTAAAGAACTCAAGCTCAAGCCCCAAAATATCTCGAGAGCTCCCAATCGAAGGTCTCTAAACCCTTTCCTTCAGCTCTACCCACGCACCTGCCAGAGCTCTGCCACTTCTGTTTCAAGTCTGCTCTTTTCAGAGCCTCCTCTCGAGCCCTCCACCGCACTGTTTAATCTTCCGACGGGGCTGCTGTTGGGCTATTGTTGTACTGGACACATTTTTGACAACTTAACAGCCCCAGCAGCTCCGACAATTGATGTTTTGACATCTGAAACCTCATAAAATGAAACAATAACCAGGTCTTGGGTTAAGCCACCGACTAGGTGGAGACTCTACCATAAAAATACGAACTGGTAGGTCATATAGAGTGATGTTCTTATAGAGTATTACTCTGAAAAATGTGTTCTTTTGAAGCCTAAATCAAACTCAACCCAAGACCTGATAGACTTGATTTCAGGGTATCAGAGAAACCCCATTCTTTGAGAGCCATTTCAGGTTACTGCTGTGGGCAGATCACATCACTGAAATAAAATGACAATCGCCCCTGGCACTCTTTCTATAAATTTATAATATTTCATTATATTTTATTATTGCACATGCTGCAGATTCGTTCAATTATGCCACATAGCTTGAATCGTGCCGTGCCGTGCCACATAGAACAGAAGTTTTCATATATGGAGGGGTTTCTGTTCAAGCGTTGGCTGACTGGCATTTCCGGGCTGCTGGGCTGCTGGGCTGGTGAGGCTGTGGTGGAGCACAGGGCGTATACTTGATGACTGATGCTACCCAAATAGAAAACGAAAACGACTCTAATGCGGGGCACTTGGATGATGGATCGTCGTCAAGTGCAGCTGCGGCACGAACCAGATCGGATCGGGCAGAGCTTGGATCCGAAATGGAAACTGAATTAAATTGTTATTCAATTGCGGCGGGTAACAATCACAAAGCCCGCCTCTCACCTCAGACCAGGTCTGAGTCAGTGATGTCCAATGGAGGAGAGATACAAGCTGTTTTAGAGGGGTTTACTTAGAGGAAGCTATAGGAATCTATTTTAGGAAGTGAAATGTACTATAGCGATACATATCAGGTAGTAATTTGTGTATTTTTGGTTAATAGAAATTAAAAAAGAGTTATATTATTATCTTCAAAAATATATATATATATTTTTTAAAACAAAAACATCCACTCTTACTGCCATCACTGGCGACTCAGCCCACAATCGTTTGGCAGCTGCCGAGAGTTTGTGACTGGAGGCAGTGGGGGCAGTGCTCGGCGTAATGTGTCAGTTGGCTCGAAACCGACTGGTGGAGATCAACATAGTTGGCTAAACAATTGCTAAACGTCACTACTATTTGTGATTCGATTGCAGAGAGACACTGAGAATGAAGCGCGAAATGATCGATTCAGAGGAGGGACCACAGGACCAGAAGCGCAACCGCCGCACCGAGGAGACTGTTCGCATACTTATCCCCAGCAGTGTAAGTATTATTTGATATTTTAAGAGAAAAGTTTTCCTTTAAGTGACCTTTTATTTTATTTGAATTTTCAACAGATTGCGGGCGCTGTTATTGGAAAGGGAGGACAACACATCCAGAAGATGCGTACTCAGGTACTATTAGTAGACTAAGCCCTAAGTCATATTGCATAACTCACAATTGAAGCGTCTAGTATTATTTACAATTATACTTTATTTGTTGCACCATGAACTATAATTAAAGCGAAGAGAACCGGAAGATTAGGCTCCGGGTCGCGAACTCTCTCTCTCTCTGGTCCTGCCTCTCTTGCAGCTCTTTCTCCGAAACTCCTGGCTTTGACCCGCCTCGGCAGCAGTCCAATTCTGATAGCCCGATATCGGAACTCGAAGAGAACCCTGTCCCGTGAGCCGGTCTGGGCCCCTTCCCCATCTCTCTGTCTCTCTCACTCTGTCAAGCCCGACTATCTTTCATCCTTGCTCCGCGTACTCTCCATCGGAGAGAAAGAATATAACCGAATATCAACATGCTTCTCACTAACCGGGTTTCTGCACTCAGCTAACTCTCTTCTAATCATCTAATCCCCCCTCTTTTCTCACTGTCTCCACTTTTGGCTACCGTCTTGGAGCCTCTGTTTCTCTTTATTTATCGTTTTCTTTTCTTAAAACCAAAGAGACTCCCGAACTAAAGAGTTTAGGCAATCCAAGGACTAGTGTCTGGATTAAGTGTAATATACTACAGGCGCTTTTAATAAAATTTAATACAAAACTTTGACAAAAATGCAGTTATTTGTATAACCAAACAGAAACATGACTATAAAACGATAAATGTACATTGCTAATTAACCTTTTAACTAAATGAACAATTTTCTCTCTCTCTCTTCTCTCTCTCTATTCTTGCGTACACCCCATATGTAACCAATAAATCGATTGTCGCATTCGATTAATCGATAATTATGATAACCATATGTCTACGGTTCGAACGCCCGCCCGCCCAACAAATCGAATCTTCAACCGCCCGCTCATCTGAAAATCTGAAATATCTGAAATATCTGAATCTGAACCGAATCGAACCCGAACTGAAAATCGAATATCAAACCTCAATCAAACGCCCGCCCGCCCGCACCATCACTCTGCACCGCTGGTCCATGGTCTCTGGTCTATATTATATCATATATGTATATCAATGTCCCACCACCTGGGTACTGGGTAACTCGGATCTGTGTCTGTATCCCGTATCTGAATCTGAATCTGAATCTGAAAACTGGCCCTGATGAATCGCTTCGAACTCGAACTTCGAACCTCGAACCTCGAACCTTGATGCACCACCACCACCCCCTGTTGCCGTGCACTATATATGCTACAAAATATCTGCCTGCACATCACAATATATATATGTATATGTATATTTATTCTAATATTTATATATATATGCGTGTGCCCCCATTCCCATGACACACTGTGTGGGTGCCCGATCGACCTCTCCCCGCCCCCATGCATTATCTCTGTATGTTGTGTGAAAAAACATAAAAAATCAAAATATAATGAAAAAAAAAACGGCGAATCAATCAACCGAAAAAAAAAAATATATATATATAATGTATATTGCAATCGCCCGCCCAACGCCCGATCGACCAACCGCCCGCCCGCCCGCCTGTCTGAAACGCCCGCCCGCCCATCGACCGAACGCCCGCCTGCCCGCCCTGCCGTGCCTCCGAATAATGTGTGTGTTTTGGGGCACAGTATAAAGCCACTGTGTCCGTCGACGATTCCCAAGGCCCCGAACGGTAAACCACATCAATCTTTAACCTTTTAGCAATTACTCGTACCAACTAGATTATAAAGAGCATCTCTCCAACGTATATCCCGTGGATGCAGGCCACTGAACGGAGTTGCAGTCGTTCGTCTTAGCCCTAATATAGCTCTAGCTCTAGCTCTAGCTCTCTGTATGTCCTGTATGCGCTAGCCATAACCCATCTATATATACATATACATGACTACTGTGATGTGTCCCTATCCGAAGGTGGCCCAGAAGTAGAAGTTGTGCTGCCCTCCAGGAAGAACCGAACAGAACCACGGCCTAACTCGCTCTCCGGCTAATCCCTATCCCTAATCGCATACTAATCCGCATTAACCCATCCCGAAACTGCACGGCCTGAGCTGCTTAACCGAAGAACCGAAAAGGGAGCCATGAGTGTTATCCGTTTTTCCAAATCCTAATCCCCCCCCAGCAAGCGTCTTGTGCCTCCTCCTTGTGTGATTTAGTTCGATACTTGGCATCAGGGACGGAATCTCACTTGCTCTCCCACTTGTCACTCTATCTCTATCTATCTATCTATCTCACTGAATCTTCTTCCAAGTTTGTGCTCTAGTCCCCGAAGTAGACATAAGAGCCATGATGTGGATTGGATTAATGTTTGATTCTAATGTGCTATCCTTACTCTTTTCTTCTATTTTTTCATAAAATGATCTCCAATCTATATGCACGTTTATCGCTTGGAACAGAACCATCCAAATATCGGCGGATATCGAGTCCACTCTGGAGATAATCACAGAAATGCTAAAGTACTTTGAGGAGGTAAGTCGGGACATGGCTTGGGGTTTGGGATCCAATCTAACTAAGTATCTATTCCCACAGCGCGATGAGGACTTTGATGTACGTCTACTGATCCATCAGAGCCTGGCCGGGTGCGTTATCGGCAAAGGTGGCCAGAAAATCAAGGAGATTCGAGACGTAAGTACCCTAGCTATAGCTTCCCAGAACTATCTACGATAATGGGTAATTGTAACATTAATGTTTAAATAATGAATGGGTCAAAGGACACTTAAAATTACAACATTTGGAAACTAGGGACCTGGAATGATATCCTGTCATATCCTAACCCATATGCGAGTTCCCACGACCATCCTGTCGGTATTATGCCAGTGTCCTGCGGTCAACTGACAGCGCTAGCCAGCCATGACGAATGGAGGTTAACTTAATTGGGCTTATTACTCGGCCAGGGGAGCCGGACGGCAGGACGTGCGGAAGCCGGCTTGGTTAGTGGGAACTTGTGACGTGTTTTTGAGGATTCCAAACGGCTGCGGCAGTCACGTGAAGCCGAAACCCGTCAACATAACTTTGCGCTTGGTTAAATCGAAAACTTTGTGCGAGTTACGAGCTGGCAGCCCAGCCAGCCAGCCGAGATCCTTCACCAGCCAGTGGGTGACAGTGGAATGCAATTCCATCGATGGAGGCACGACTCGGAATGGGCGCTCGTGCAGTTGGGGAATCTGTTGCTGACGTCTGCTCGGATGCTTTCATAACGCACTTGTCACTCTGCCATCCACTTGGCTGGCTGGCGGAGGACTGGGAGGTTCCAGGACATGCCAAACGCGTTTCAATTGCGCAACCCGCCCGGGAATGTGGACTGGATGTGGCCCCCTACCAGAGATGATGTGTGGGGTGGGGTGGGGCATTCAAGTGAATCAATTGGCAGAATCCTTTGCTCTTCTCGAGCAATAAAATGGGGCGCTTGTCCTGGCCAGGTGAGGCCATCTGCTGCAGCGGCGCGGCTCATTAATTAGCGATGAGTGGAACTGCATTTTAATTGGACTGATGTCCCGCTCCGCCACCTGCCAGCCACCCATCCACCCACCCACTGACGAGCATAATTAGCCAGCCCCTCCCACCCCGTTACTGCCCTCCATAGCTCTCATGCATATTCATATTTTCCCACTGCTTCTGGTTCTACTTCTATGGAGGTCAACAAGTCCGAGGCGGCAAACAAAAAGCTTACCTCCCTCCGGCTCCTCCAGCGTCTTGTGGCCTCCTTTCTGGCGTTGCTTGGGTAGCTGTTTTGTTATTATGAGTTTCTTAGACCCGACTCCTGCATCCTTGCAGCTGCCACAGCAGATGATCAGACTCTGCCTCTGAATGGGCATAAGAACAAGAATGAAGACGAAAATGAGAATCAGAATCAGAATCAGAAGCCGTCTTGGAGGAGCATCCTTGGCTCCGCAGAGCATGTGTTTGTCGTCTTAACAGTTGTACCTTTTTCTGGTCTGCGGTCCCTTTTCTTCTTCTTCGGGTCTGTCTTCTTGGCTGAAAGGAAGTCGTCGTCCTCGGCCTGCCCTTCCCTGCCCTCCTGTCTTTGTCTCTGGAAGAACAACAGCCTTAGCAGCATGAGCCGCGCCAACAACTGGCCTGCAAGCAGCTGTTTCCTTTCCAGTCCTTGCCTTGGCCAAGCCATTTGGCAGCTCTCCGCTGGTCTCATCCTTCTGACTCCCCGTCTCTGGCCTGAGAGCAGATCCGGTTTTCCGCTTCCCATTGCTGCTGTTTTGGGGGGAACGGCATATATATTTAGTTTTAAACAAGTTTATGGTGGATTACTTCTTAGGTTAGGTATAGGCTCCAAAGCCTACCTTTCTCGAGATCTTGAGATCTATAGTTTTCTAAAAATATTTTTAAACTATCCCCCAATCTGAATTATTTTTAATACATCCCCTCCAACCCCTGCTTAAGATACATCTTTATTTATAAGCCCCTGGTCTTCATAGACAACTGTCGCCCATTAAAATGTTGTCCTGTGCCAAGGAGTCAGCCAGCACAAGAGGCATCTGCCCGGGTCGTAATAATGAGCGACAGCTGCTCCGGCCTCGCCTCCATCGCGCTGATCCTGCAGCCGTCATCCTTTGTAAGTGTGTGTGAGTGCTTCGTGTCTTTAAATCCAAAAATGCATTTGGGGATTCGGAGTCGTTCCTGCCCGCTGCCTGCCTGCCTGCGGCTCACAATTGTTGCTGGCTGGCTTGGTTGTTCCTCTTAATGAATGCCAAACAGGTGCTACGCACACACATCTCGCCACATAGAGGGTGTCTCCTTTGCCCTGCATCTGGCTGATGGTTTCCGCTGGCTTGTCTTTTTATCGCAGGACTGTTCTTTCTAAGAAACTATCAAAATAGAAGGATATCTAACCTACAAGGACATCTTAGTCTTAGGCATTCCTATGGATAGGAATTCGAAGCATTCCATCGGCAGCTGGAGGAGTCCTTGCCACGACATCTGCTTTCCTGACAAATTCCCTCGCATCCTTGTCGCATGGCTGGGTCTGTTGGCTCCTTTTGATCATTTGATTAATAAGTTGGGGGGGTGGGGAGCCCCCAAAACGGAGGGGAGTCTCGTCAATATCCGGTTCACTTTTCGCTGGTGCGCTGAGCACCAAATTAGTCGGATGCTTCCTTCCGCCTTGTTTGCCACATCCTCGCTGTTCTCTCCCTTACAGTGGAGGTCATGAAACTAGTATTTTGGGGAGGACTCATGGGTAATTGATATGTTTTCCTCTTCCTGGGCGCTGTGCTCCAATTATATCCACATCCTGGCGATTGTTTGCGATGGCCTTTGTTGTTTCTGTGAAAGTTTTTTAATTGCCGGCTGTCGTAAGACTACTTTGATTGCCTCCAGCGTGGGGATCTTGGAGAGCACCAGTAAGCTCCGCTGCAATCCTTTAATGGAGGCATTTCCAGGAACCTGCCTGGATGCTGCATCTATAGATTAGGTGCCTGTTTTTTCTCATTTTTCATAGTCCTGGCTCGTCCTTTTATTTTATTTTTTTGAATATCAATCGAGAGCGATTTGTTGTTCAATGGTGGCCTCGTTTCCCCCTCATCCTGGGGGACTGGGCTACACATACATGGCCACTGGGTTATGTAGTGCCTCTGGATTATGCTCATAACATTACTTTCGTTTTATTTTTTTCTCATCTCCGGTTAGTAGTCCTGCGCATGCGTTTCAAACAAAAAACAAGGAGAGCAAAAAAAAGGAAACATTTTATTTTATTTTTTATTTCTTTTATTTTTTTTGACGAAACAAGACGAGCTGAAAAATACACCGGTTCCGTTTGGTTGCTGCCAGCGGGAGCTGAGAGGAAGCAGCAGCTGCCCCAGCAGCCTGCCTGCCTGCGTATCCTTTTCGGCCTGCCACGACTTACAAAAACAAGAACAAAAACAACAACTGTAACCGCAGGACGAAAAAGGAGCAAAACGGACGCACATGCTTGGCCTGCCCGCCTCCCTGCCTGCCTGCCTGCCCGCCTGCCTGCTGCTATGCTGGCTCGGCCTCGGCTTCCTCTGCTCGGCTCGTCCTTTCTGTGTATAGTCCTTTCTGCCTTCCTGTTGTGTTGGTGTTAGTTCTGGCTTCACTGAGTGAGTGTGAGTGCGAGTGTGTGAGTGTGCTTCCAATTTTTCTCTCTGCCTGCGTCTTCGTCTCCTTACATGGAAACTAGCAATCGTTGAACCCAATTAGTTCGACATTGGCGCTGGTCGTGCACGGTTCTCTGGCTCCTGGACCTCGTGTATCCCCGTATCCCGACCACTATACTCGTGCTACCGACTAAAGAAAAAATTAAATAAAATCCAGAGCGAGTATTTCCAGTGAAAATGTGCGGAATTAAAGTGCTGAAAGGTATTCCACGAAGTGATGGTACTAATAAAATACTAACCACAACTAAATATTTAGTAAAATAGAAGCCAAGTTCGAGATGAAAACTAAAATTGTGATGAATTTTAAATTTCGACTCCAGTCTACAAGGCTTCTCTGTGGCGTCATTACCTGGAACTGGGTTGACCCCCCAGGGCGCCAAAAATATGAAGGGCATTAATATTCATCCTCTTGGAGAGCATTATTGAAATATTCAAACCTCGCTTCCCAGCTTTGCATATTTTTCGCATTTCGACAGACGACCAAAAGTATGCTACACTTTTTGTGAGACACGGTCGCCTCCACCGCCCGGATTTTTGATTCTCTGACCGACGACCACTGACATGGGACTGGGTCCTTTGTTTGTAGAGAGTATGTATGTGTGAGTGACTCAACGGCCATTGAAAGGCTCCAGTTGGAGCAGTGGCGTGGCCTGGCACTTCAGAGTTTTGATGTCGCCATTGTTGTCTGGAGCACACGCAACGAGTTGTCGCCTGGTTGGCCAGGGAGGAGGAGGGGTGGGCCGGGGAGAGGGGGTGAAAATGACGCAGCCTTTGGTCATCGCCACACCATCGCCCCACTCACACACGCACACGGCACGCAACGGGCTTAGAAATGATGCAATCATTAGGCGGCGGGCACAAATAAAAATGTACAAGACCAGGCAGGGGCAGGAAGAACCCAGGAGGAGGGGGGGAAGAAGGGGACCTCAAGCACACTCACACGGAAATCTGTTCGATCCCCTCCAGAGCCAGAGACAGGGCTCTTCGTACTTCCCTCTCCTCTTAAGTGGCTATCGAATTACTCAGTTACACTTCCGCCAGAGACAAGCCAGAGGAGCGGAAGGAGGAAAGCGGGGATGGGGGGGCAAGCACTTCCTGCCACTTTACATGCAGCACTGAGGCAGCTGCTGTCCCGAAACCCCGAAACGTTTAGGCAGCGCAGGTAGAAACTGCGTCCGACATCTGCTGCTCAATGCTGATAATAAGCATGAGCTGCGCCAGGATGCAGGACTCACACACACTCACACAAAGGGAGAGCGGGATCTTTGTGGGTCAGGAGCCGCACCATGGCTTAATGCGTTTAGTTTCGGCTTTCCATTGTAGACAGACCTTGACCAGGATTAGCCATGCTCACTGTGTGTGGCAAGCTGGCTATTGTCCTGGATTCTAGGAACTCCAGGCTAGGACCTCCTGCTGATTACAAAGCATGGTGTTCCCAGAAAAGGATAGCAATCGGTAGTTCTTAAAAAACCAACGTCCAAGGGTCATCACACGACATACTAATCCTTGTAATCTTCTCTTTCAGCGCATCGGTTGCCGCTTCCTGAAGGTCTTCTCCAATGTGGCGCCACAGAGCACGGATCGCGTCGTGCAGACCGTGGGCAAGCAGAGCCAGGTGATCGAGGCGGTGCGCGAGGTGATCACCCTCACCCGCGACACACCCATCAGGGGCGCCATACACAACTATGACCCCATGAACTTTGATCGCGTCTACGCCGATGAGTACGGCGGCTATGGAACCGGAAGCGGAAGCACCCGACCCAGCCAGCGCGGCAATAACCGCAACGGCGGAGGCGCTGGAGGCGCTGCCGGTGGAGCCACTGGGGGCAACGGTGGAGGTTTCGGTGCTGGCGGTGGTGGTGGCGGCGGTGGTGGCCGCGGGAACGCCGGAGGACGTGGCGGTGCTGATCGCTTCGGCGGAGCTGGCGGTGGTGCTGCTGCGGGTGCTGGTATGAGCCAGCGGGATAACCTGTTCATCAATCCCTGGGCCAACGGAGGCGGCGGTGGCGGCGATGTTGATGGCTTCGGCAACAATGGAGGCACTGGCGGCTTCTCAGGCAACAGCTTCGGAGGGGGCTCAGGAGGTCCCTTCGGAGGAGGCAACAGCTTCGGCAACAACGGTTTCGGAGGAGGTCCCGGGGACTTTGGCGCCAATTCTGGAAACTTTGGCCAGAGCCAGGGCAGCAACAGCCTGCCGAGCCTGGGCAGCTTCGGCCAGAACCCGGGCGGCAACAACAGCCTGCCGAGCCTGAGCAGCTTCGGTCAGAACCCGGGCGGTGCTGGTGGACTAGGCAACGGCCTGGGCGGTGGTGGCGGTGCTAACAACGGGGGTGTCGCCCCGCTGGGCGGTGCTAACGGCGCTGGTAGCTTCAACGCCGGCGGCGGCACGAATGGAGGACCCAACGGCAGCTCCAACACTGCCGCCAACATACCGCAGGGCCATGATCCGAACAACAGCACGCAAGTCACCATTCCAAAGGAGGTAGGTCGAAGCACTCGGGGGTCATGTTTCCGATAGATGAACTAATCGGATTTGTTTTGTGATTTCCAGTTGGCTGGAGCTATTATTGGCAAGGGAGGCGGCCGCATCCGACGCATCCGAAACGAATCCAGTGCATACATCACCATCGATGAGCCGCTGCCCAACTCGAACGATCGCATCATCACCATCTCGGGCACGCCCAAGCAAATACAGATGGCCCAGTATCTGCTGCAACAGAGGTTGGTGTCGCAATCAGACTAAGAAGATCGAAGTACGCACCCCATCCTTAGCATTTCAATTACCTAACACACTATCGCCCCTGGCCCACTAACATCCGTAACTCTGGGGAGTGTCGGCGCGGTATTAACTTTGGAAACGGTGTCTCTGCATCTGGATGTAACCAACTAACCGATCCTGGGAGTGCTCTCCGTATGGAAGACTAGTGATTTTGTTGTTTGGGTTTGGTAATAACAATAAATCCCTTGTCTTCTTACGGCGTGCACTTGGCTCATCACTCTATTCGCTGGTTAACCAATTAAACTGTGTCACGGTTCATCCTCGCCCCCGACTCTGGCTCAATCTCATTCATCAGAATCCATCGCAAAGGATTCCACCGTCAATACCAAGTTCCCTGCCCTCATTCCAATACACCCCCATGCCCCATTCCCCCATCCTCATTCCACATCCATTCAACTCTATCTGCTGTTCATTAAAAAGTTCATTAATTATGTTTTCCTTTGGCTGGCTGCCATCCCATCCCCTCCTCCGACTCCTTTCATTGCAGTGTGCACGAGAACGGCAGGCGAAACATTTAAGTGGGCAACAACTTGAACACAGGAGCAGGAGCAGGAACAGGAACAGGAGCAACACCATCGAAAGAACACTGCTACTGCGGCACTACATGTTTAAAATTAAATTTAAAAGAAGGAGCTGGTCGGCCCAGAAAGAGCATCCTCCAAATACGAAAGAAATTTATGTATTTCTTCACTAACTTTAAGTGAAAACTAAAGAAGAATCGCCGCCCCATCAACCCCACTACGCCCGACGCCCGACGCCTCATCCTCCATCCCCCGCAACAGATTGCCACTTTGGGGGAAAGTCAACCTTAACTTTGTATGATAAGATGTATGAACAAATAAAGTATAAATAAACTGGATTGTAAGCTCACTTTTTGGGGGCTATATAGAGTATATAGATGTACGGTTTTATTCACAAGTACGAACGCTTAAACAAAAACATTAAACTTTTAATCGATAATTATGTTCATGTAAGATAATCTTTATCATATTATGCAGTGGAATGCGTAAGGTTGCTATAATAAATTATTAAGCATTATTCGGTATTCGGTAGATGTACAGATTAAGAGCTGGGTTTTAGGGCTGTAAGGTCTTTAAGGTCTAATGATTAGAGTCTAGAGTATTTACAAGTTGGGGTGCCTGTTGCGCAACCTGGTGGGTTGGCCGGAATGGTGGTCTCTCAGCACCTGCATAATGGATCTTTGTTATGTGGTGGCGGGCGCATATACGTAGACTATAATTAATATTGCAATTTGTTTGTGCTTGTGTTTGCTTAGAATGCCTCCAGACCAGCGCCGTCCTCGCTTGTCCTTCCCGGAGACAACTTCCATCCCGGCATCCCGACATCCCGCTCAACCGACTCTCAATTCCGCTTGGACGAGTTGATTAAATATTTACAACAGTGCGTCAACAAATGCTTCTCGCCGGAGGAGGATGAGGAGTTGTTATTGTTGTTGTGGTGGTGATGATGGTGCTGGGGGGCGCCCAATTCGCGCGTGTATATGTCCAGGCCGTACTGACCCTCCTCGGGGAAGCTAGAGGGAGGAGAAACAAGGGGTTGGGGTTTGGTTGCAATGAGCGGCCATTAAATTTCCCATTTCCCTGTGCACTCACTTAATGATGAACGTGACAATGTCGTCCAGCGTGCTGTGAGTCACATACTTGGCCAGCTTCTTCTCCTCGATGCCGTTCTTGTGGAGCGTGGCCATAAAATCTGTGAGGGGGCGCGACATGCGGAACTGGAGGTCCAGGCTGCGTCCGGCGAAGATAAGCGGGTCCTGCAAGCAAGCACACGGCGGCACTCGAACCAAATCACCCAGCCAAATAACCAATCAACCTACCTGATGCGTGATGGGGATGAGTCCGAATAGGCGGGTGGCCTTCGTGGGCCCCCACTCGCCGCTGGCGCAGTCCGGCAGTGGCACCATCACCGTCTGCAGCTCCTCGCAGCAAATCTGGAAGTAATGGAGTGTTTTAATGGGCTTCTAAGGAACGTAACGAGTTCTGGGGAATAGCCATTCTAGAAAGTCTTTTAGTCGGGAGCTCCTAAAGGATTGTCCTTAAGGAGACAGTCTACCGCCTACCTTGAATTTGCACACCGATTTGAACTTCATGGGTTCCCCGGTGAGGTACTCTTGCGGAGTGACCGCATTGGCAAAGATGTCCAACAAAAAGGCGCCAGAGCATGGGGCATGGACTCGGAAGGCCACAATGTTGCCGATCACCGACTGCATCACGAATCTCTTGAGGGATACTCCGTCGTAGGACAGCTCCTCGTCACTGTCGTAGAACTTGAGGTTGTAGTGGAAGATCAGGCAGCTCTGCATGTCCGTGGGCATCGCGATGCGCACTGTGGCCGCTCCAGTGTCGTCGGTGAACACCACAGCTCCATAGCCCTCGTCCGCAAAGTGCAGTCCGTAACGGAAGAAGAGTGACCGGACGAAGGGCAGGTTCTCGAATTCCCGCAGCGTAATGGGGCGCTTCAGAAGTTGCCACTCCTCCTGCAGGGGATAGAACTCGTATATGAACTCCCTCGGATCCGTGAGGAAGTAGTGATCATCATACTCGTAGCTGTGAAGGAAAGAGGACACTATGGAGGACATCCTTTTAGTTTAAAAGTACCTCCCTTACCGTAGACTATCGTTCTTGCCGCGCCCCTGTTTGGGCGCCTCCTTGGCGTTGACCAGATGCCGGGCACCCCAGTTGCACTGGACGAAGCGCCAGGCGCCAGCAACGTAGACCGCGTTCCAGGAGTTGCGGAATCGCGAGTCCTGGAACTTAACTCCCGGCTGGTATCCGGCGCTCTTCGAGTAGCCCTTGATGACCACACAGTGCAGCCCGGCGTAGCTGCAGAGGCGCTTGAAGAGCACGTGGTAGCTCTCCGTGCCGTACTTGATGCCTCGCAGCAGACCCATGGGCGTGTCGCCGCGCAGATCGTCGTCGAAGTGCATGGCGTTGAGGTTCTTGACCGTAATCCAGCGGAAGATGGTGCGGGCCTTCTCGATGTCCGTGGTGCAACGCCCGACCAGCTGGCGGACGAGGTCCGTAAAGGTCTTCTGATCCTCCTGGGCCACCGAAATGGCGATGCGATCGACGTCCTCGAACTCAACGGGATCGGTGTAGATCTGGAACTTGCTGACCGCTGGTGGAGCCGGCACTGGGGCATTCAGAGGATACTCAATGGGCACGGCGCCCTCGCTGAACTCATCGTCCAGGAAGATGCTTTCGCTCTGCATGTACTCTGACCGACGGGCGCTGATCAGCTCCAGCATTTCGCTGGACTGTCGGTCCACCAGGGCAGCCGTCTCGTACCGCTCGTGCTCCAGCATCTTCCGGGTGATGCTCTCCTTCTTCTTGCTGCGCCGCAGCGTCATGTTCTTCTCCAGATCCTCCTTCTGCTGCTCATGGCGCAGGGTCAGGATATTCGCCTCGTCGCGACTCCGGCGTGAGGTGGCCAGCTCCTTCTCAAACTTGTGGGTGAGCCGCTGCAGCTCGCGTTCCCATTCGTCCTGGAACTCGTCTTGGATCTTGCGATCCTCCTCCTCACGCTTGCGTGCGAACTTCCGGTACAGGTCATCCTCCTCCTTGCGGTGTTTCATCTCGAGGCGTGCCTGCTCCTCGCGAGCCTGAAATAGGAAAATGGAAAAGAGTCTTAGTCTCAGAGAAAGCTGCAGTTTCTTTTCGATTGCATTTCCAGAGTTTGTTGTTTTTGCAATGCTTGGTTTGTTAACTTGGCTAATTATAATGCCATGCTTGAGCTGGCACAAGCCCGGCTCAATGTCTGACATTAGGCCTCCGATTCCGAATGCAGTGGCATCTTCTTGCACATCCCCTCCCCCTGAATCCGCCCACTCACTGCACTACGCATTGCGTGCCTCCACTGATAATAGACCAGTGTCCATTGATAATTACAGGTACATTGCATCTTTTTTCAGTTTACTCAAGCATTAAGTAACATAGCCTCAATATGAGTTGGAGGATGCACTCTTTGGGAATCAATTTTCACTTGCAAATATCCATAATCTATCAATTAGCTTTGGCTAAGTACCTTATGAAATGTTAACAGCTACTTCAAAAGATACAACATCTTTAACTTAGTATACTATACGTATTTTAAAGATTACTGAACCATCCCATAAATTAAAAAGCATCTGATATTGAAGTAGTCAGGTATTTTAACCCATAAAAGACATGAATTACGGAGGTATAGATGAGCCTTTAAAAGGATGTTTTTAATATTAGAGTGGATTAAGTCACTTAGTTTCGACAATAGCTCAAGAATGTTGATACAAGAGAACTCTTTAGCCCTTTGATCCTGATGAAACTACAGACAGGTCTTCAAGATATAATAATCTATAAGACAAAGCTATTTTTACGTGTTTTCTTATTTTAATTCCTATGATATTAAATAGTACTTGTGCAATACAAAATTCCAAAAGCGTTTATTCTCGCCGCCTACCTCTAAACATTTCAGCCACAATAATAGAGGGTAGGCGTAACTCTTTTCCTAAGCCAGTCATTATTTTGAGTCATATTTCCCCCATTCTCAATGTTAGCACATTTAATCACCGATCTGCAAGCTGCACTTAACTTCCTTTCATTTTTGACGTTGCCAGACTGTTTTTTTTTTCGTTTTTGCGAAATGGCGACTTCCGCATGGGAATATGTATCATTTGAAAAGCATTTAGCGCCATTCGGCAGGGAGGAGGGGGAGGCGGGGGCACAACAATGTGTAATTAAAACCGAAATCCAATGTCAAGTTCAAACAATAACTATAAAACAGAAACAAAAATAAAGTAATAAGTGGCAAAAACAAAAACAAAAGCCCAGAAACACCTGAAACTGAAAACCGAAAACTCTAAACGGTTCAAAGGCCCAGTGACAATGGTCAGAAGCAGCAATCCGAGCGATGATGCCGGAATTGCGTGAGCGGATTTGAGCGGATTTTAAATATGACCATAAAGTCAGAGTCAGAGCCACCCGAACAGTTATGCGACGCCCACAGTGACACGGCCGAAAAGAGCAAAATAGAAATACTAACAAAAAAAAAAATATCAAATCAGAGTCGAACGAAAACGAAAGTCCAAAAATGTGGAAATTAATTATTGCGCAAGCTGGCAGGCAGGCCAAAAATGATTGAAAAAAAAAATAATAACAAATGCCAAAGAAACCAAAACTAAAACCAAAACAGTGACTTAAATTGTAAATTGGCGTCGATCAGAAAACGCGCAAAAAGCTTTCAGGTATGAGGAAGTGTCTGCGTTTGCGGCTGCGTGAGAGTTTTTATATTATTACGCCAAATTACACGGCGATTACATGGCGTTTAAAAACGCGTGCATTGCATAAGGGCTCCCAACGAGAGACATCCATAGAAAGAGAGTAGATAGAGAGAGTTGGGGAGAGCAAGCTCGCACTGTGGAGCGTTACTTTCACTGTACTGCGCATAAATTAGATTTGGCAAACGGCAGCAGCGCAGCCGGAAAAACAAGTGACGCCGACTTCAACCGGTGGCACTGCCTCGGTCTGTGCTACACTTGCGATCGCACAGGCGCGGTTAAGTGGCTAGGACTGGGTCGGTAAAATCAGGATAATGGCTTTTTTCTAAATTAATGATCTACGCTAGCATATAAACAGTTGGAAAATGGAGAGGATGACTAATTTTATTTCGGTTTTTTGGCACAGAGAAATTTGTAAAGCGTTTAATTGAGTTTCTGGTTTAATTTGAATTTTATATCAATACTTAATTTAAGGATTTTCAAATAATTTAATCAAATTTAACTGTTTGAACTTCCTTATAAACGGCATGCAGTTTGTCACCTATTAAAACGGCCATTTTCTTGAAAACGAACTATATTTAGTCTCTTGAATGTAAATGCCGGAAAGGAGCCTTTTAATCAAGACTCTACTTTTCAGCCAATTAAAGATTGCCATCTTGTGTGTTACACTTTTGACTATATCTGTATATGGAAATCAATGCAACCTGCCAAAATAGTGAGCGCCAGGGTGGGGGTGTACCAGTACATAGGTGGGTTTTCAGGTGTGCTGCGTAGCGGTTGTAAAACATATACAAATTTTAATGATCGCATGCATGCAGTTTTCCACATATTTTCCACTCGTGTTCGCTGTCTTGTGGCTGGCTATGTGGTGTGTGCCATCAGACACCTGTTCGAAATTTGTTAAATTGAGCGTTGCAATAAAAATATTTGCTGTTGTCTCTGACTGGGAAGGTGCTGGAGGTGGTTGTATTTTTGTTATTGCGGTGGTCAGTCGCGTGTGGCATTCTCGAAAGTGAAAGAAAAATCGGTTGGTTGTTTCGGTTTTTGTTTTTTTTGTTTTGCATTTGCAATGGCACTGGCACTGGCAACTAGCAACCAAAGAAAAGCAAAATGTGTGCGATTTGAATTTCGTTTTTACGTAAAATGCGATTATAATGCTTTCACCCGAGCATCATGCGAAGATTACCATTCCAGTCGTGGCAAGTGCCAACTCATGGATAAAGATGGGAGCACCTGATACCAGCCGTAAGTCGTAAGCAGCTTGTGGCGGCCAAGCGGGCTAATAAATTATAATCTGGCTTAGAGATCATCCCATCAGCTTGGTCGAAAATCGAAAATCGCCTCGCCGATTTCCCCGCTAACTAGATCAATTGGCAAATGCACTCAACTGCCAATGATAATGCAATTAGTTCAATCACATATATTTCTATCGAGTGCTTATACAGCGCCATAAATGAGAACCATTTTCTTTTATGTTACTTTTGGTGGCACATAGAACCAGAGTCTTGAGCAATTCCCCATGAAACCGCACGCAGACAGGTGTAAATAGCACACTAGCCTACATAATCACCTACTCTGGCACCGGGCAGTGCATTAATTAAGCTCTCGACTCTCCGGCTGCCCAGGAACATTGCACAATCGGTGGAGCTTGGAGAGAATGGGAGATACACACTTGACCAGCTAGCCCCGCTAGCCACTTAAAATTTCATTAGATGTTCTGCACTGAATAATCTCTTAATTTGCGGCCACTTAGCTTCGCATCTCGGTGGATGAATCGGATCGGGGATCGGGACCATAATCGAGGATTACTTACCAGGTAAAAGTCGATCGGCTTCTCCCGAGCCTTGTTGTAGGCCTTCTGGATCTCAGTCTGCTTGAGGGCGTGGGCGATGTGCAGGGCACTGGCGTCGAACCGTCCGTATTTGTAGTCGGAATCGTTTTGAGACGGAGAGCTGACGTCACGGCCGCCATAGCCATTTGGTGTGGACTGGCGAGAGCCCCCCAGAGGGCCACCTGCAGAAATCCCGCAAAGAATACCAGTTAGCCTTGATGGAAATCAGTGCACCACCACCATATACCACAGATACTGACCATCGATCTCGCTGCGCGTTCCCCGTATCTGCTCGTTCACGAATTTGTTGGTACGCGGCGCATTCAGGGCCTGACGAATACCCACCGAGGTCTGGTCTAGATGGCCGGGTCCGCTCTTTGGTACATGTGAACTGCAATAGACCTGCGGATGAAGATGGTGGAAAACCCTTTTATCGTCTATAAAGATTATAATCTTAAAATACTTCTGGAATGTAGCCTTTCTATTGTGCTTTCGTAATAGCCATTGATATCCATCTACAATTAAATTTTCCTTTTTCTCCTGGAATGTCTTGATATTTCCTGCTGAATCACGGCACGTCCATATCCAGTGATCAAATGGATATACCCCATTAGCCTTATTGGGCTTCGCTGTGAGTGCGTGAGCAGACCCCGAAAGTCAGACCCCGCTTGCAAATGCCCATTTTAACCGCTTCACCTACACACAGCAGGTGGCAATAGAGTCATGTAACTGCAAACGCGGACCTCAGTACAGTGAGGTTTGTGGTTTTAGGAAATATTTCAATAATTTTTTGTTTTAAAATTTAAAAATAAAAGAGAAGAAAGTGTTATTAGGTATATAGATTCAAGTCTCTAATTATATCATCTATTAGTTCCCACGACTGCCTGTCTAACCGCAGCTGTATAGCCACGAAACGCACTGCACTGTGCCTATATACTCATACGTAAGTGTATCTATATTGCATATGAATGACAGACCGCACTGACACACATTTGTGTCGCCTCGGCAAACAGCAGTAACGAAGTTATTTATTATTATGCATAGGCTAAAAAAAACGAAAACGTCGTTTGGATTGCATTTTGCATTTCGCAGTTTGCAGTTTGCAGCTTGCAGCTGTGCAAATATTTAGTCTGTCGAGTTCGTAGCCTAAGTCTTTCGTCTGGTGCGGCACTTACCTCTTTGTCATCCTGCTTGTGCTGATTATTGAAATATGTCTTGAGCGTCAGCTTGGTGCCACAGTGTACGCATTTGAAGCAACCGGAATGGAAGAATGTGAAATCCTTGAGCGGACCCACGCGATCTACCTGATAGACAGTCTCGCTACAGCGCAGGCAAGTCGACTCGTAGAAATTTGGCCGATACATGCTTGGGGATCTAAGTTTCCACCTTTGTGCCTTTTTTTTCTGGTTGCTGTTGTTGTTGTTGTTTTGTGTATTTTTGTTTGCAGCTTCCGACTGGTTTTGGGGCAACCAACCAGTTAAGATTGTCACTTTTCTTTTCCACTTCTAATTTCACTTTGGCTGGAATTTACGGGTATTCTGCAGCACGCAGCTAGTTTATCGAGTTTCGAGGCTAAAGATTCGCTTTTTGATTTTTTATTTTTCGATTTTTGATTTTCGATTGCTGGTTCTGGGGGACACGGCTCATTCGTCATTGGCCATCATCCGCTCATCCCCGTCACCCGTCCGATTCTGGCAGAAGCTGTACAATGAAAATGACCAAAAAACTATGTATTAGTTGGGAGTTGAGTGGGAGAGAGATTTCCTTTTCGGGCCGTGATTAGATCCATCGGCCAAGACCCACCAAATCGGGCCCACCAAGACACAAAATTTAGTTTCTGCGCAGGCGTCGTCGTAGCCAAAACTTTCGTTTATTTTGGCGCTTTTGTGGGGCTATTATTAATGAATTTTAATTAACTAACGTTGGACGACAAAAAGGTTTCCTAGCTGGAAGCCACTTTGCCTTGCCATTGACCTCGCTGTGAGTTTGGCCCAAACGTGCCACAATTGAACTTGGAGCGGCTGCCACTTGCAACTTGCAACCCGCTGGCACATCGCTCGTGCAACTCAGCAACTGCCGCCTGGCACCGGCTATAGTTGCATTTTTTTATTTGATTAATTGACGCGATTGTTGCTGGCAGGTTTCCTTTCGGTTTTACTTATTTTTTGTTTTTGTTTCAACAATTAAATTGAAGTGGAAAAAGCAGATTGTGAGTCTAGTGAGCAAGTGCATGTAACTTTAATTGAATGCATTGTTGTGGATATTGCAGTTGCTTTGACCAAAATTAAAATAAATGCGGCTCACTGGCGGCTGGCTCTCAGACAAAGCCAAAGCTGAAGCTGAAGCCAAAGCCGAAGTCATCGTCATCGTTTTGCTTTCTTTTCAAGTTTAATGAACGTTACCACTATGGTGGTTGGGTGGTTGGGTGGGTGGCTTGGGGGGTGGGCGGCAAGGCCTTATGATTAGCGCCGAAGGTTGCTGGCCTGATCTGAGCATTGCATGGCCGTTGCAGCTGCAACACGAATGGAAAAATGGAAAATAAAACGGGAAAATGCAAATGCGGCGAAGGCCAGCCACTAACAGATTTTGTAACACCAAATTATTTTGATTGGCTGTGAATTAAATTTTGTTCCGCTTTTGTGGCTCGCTCTCGATCGGCCAGAGCGAATGTGTAGCAACAAATTGATGTGTGAAACCCGAAAGGGGGGGCACTGGGCACTGGGGATTAGATGGCTGCCTAAAACGACCCTAACTCGGGTCGTTCAACACCTCGCCGATGAGTAAGTGGCTCGGCATTGTCTTCAGCCCCCGCTCACGTTCGAAAATCAATCAACAATTCACATTCCATGAATGGCAACGCCCACGCCCACGATGGCGACAAAAAATAGTAGTTTGATCTTTTGATGCGATCACAATCGGTGTGATTGAATGGTCCAATTATGCCGTGCTTCTGTCATAATTAGCGTGTAATGATAATTGTAATGGACATGGATATGTTGGGAAGGCCCTTCTTCGCCAGAAAGGGGGAAATTAGTGGGGGCGGCGATGACAAAACGCCTTCTGGGCAACTTGCATCACACACCATGCCATCGTGGCCACTTGAGTGTGACTAAGACGAGCATGGAGAGTGGTGGTAACCCGAGATGGCTATTCTCAAGTGGCATAGAATTTCGCACACATGCCAAAGCCATCAGCTAATATTTTCTGGTTCGTGTTAGCTCTTTCCAGCCGAATGCGGATGAAATGCAATGGAAATAAATGGAAACAAATGACAATGGCAGAATCGAAAGTTGCTCGGCAGAGGCAATTGTTGCAATCAAAACATTTAAATAAATTGATAAGCAGTCGGAAGCATTTGCATGGGGCGAGCCTCAGTTTCAGTTTCAATTTGGCCGAACGAGTTTGTTGCCTAAGTCTTTCGTTTCAAAGCCGCCTCTTACTCTTTTTGTTGCTATTGCCTAACGAAACGCTAACAATGACAATTAAATAAATGCCAATAATAACAGTAAAATACGGTAACAACAACAACAACAACAACAACATCATCATAATGAACTTGAATTGGCATAATTGCCACAGCTAATCACATTAAAGCCAGATACGAAGATTTGATAAATGCAAAGAAACAACCGCCGAACAGAAACAACGCGGCAACTGGTTATTCAGCCATCCCATCGGATGAAAAAAATCATAGAAATTAAAATAAAATGCAAATGATTGCGTCACTTTGGGTGAGTGCAGAGCAACAATGTCAAAATGTGGATATGTGAGAAACTACCATTTAAAACTTGGCTTTAAAGCAACTCTTCTAACTTGGAGAACATCCGGGAAACGGCACTCGAACGAGTTGTCAAAAACAATCTTTTATTTACCGACTCAAAAATCGAAACTGGGCTGTGAGAATTACTTGGGCAAATCGCAGATCTCTCAAGTACTTGACGCTGTGCCATTTGCCAAAGCCTCTAATTGAAAGGAACAATGAACTGCTTTTAGAAATCGCCTATTCGCCTCACAATAAATTAGAAACACAAACACCGAAAATTATTTATGAGCCATTCGGCGGCAGTAATTGAAAAATAGAGTGCAGAGCGGAAAGGGTGCTTGGGACAGGGGCAACCATGCAACCACCGCCCATGACAGGTGGTGGCTTCTAACCAGCCACCCCAGCCATCATCCGAGAGGTGTGCTGGCATGTGTGTGAGTGCGGTGTGGTGTGGTGTGTTGTGTGTTTATGCCGTGACGTCGCAGCCACAGCTTCAAACGTCAGCTTGCAATCTTTCACTTTTTCGTGTCTGCCGCGCTCGTTCCAGTTTTTGTAAATTATTTCTCTTTCTTCGTTATTATTTTTTGTTATTTTCGCCTAGATTATACACACGCGATGTTGCAGAGAGCAGCTCTCGGTATAGCAGCCCGGGGTATTGTTGTTGCAGTTCTAGGCCCTTTTTGACACACTTATTGCAGTAGCAGTCCGGCTGTCTTCCGGATCCCCTCGCTCCCCGAGCTCCTCTAATGCTTCTATGCGTATATGCTAAGCAACTTTCTTCTGGTCGCGAAGGGGCGCGTTGTGCAAAAGTATTTATGATAAATTTCACACACACTGCTCACTCACACCCAGCCACATACACAATCACTCGCAGCGAGATCCAAGCTCATATACACACACATCGTCTCGGTCGGGGAAGGGCGCCCAGTTTGCAAGTCTTTCCGCCTGATATTCCCATTCTGCGCTTTGTTTGCTCACATTTTCAACATTTTTGAGCGCCTCCATCAGTCTTGGGCAGCAGGTTTCAAATATTGGGAATGTAACAAAATTTCATTACCAAACACACACACTCTAACGACTCACTCACACAGATACAAAATTCGCGGACCGCCGCTGCAAGACGTTGCTCAGTCTACGATCGTTTTGAGACTCTTCGGAGAATTTGATTTTCTCTAAGCCTAGCTTTGGTTGGTTGGAAAAGCTCTAAATGAACTAGTTCGTTCATATTAGTTCGATAGTTCCACCTGTTTGGTCTTCAAATTTAAAGAAAAAATTACAAAATTTAAACTTGATTATTATTTTTAATAATAACGGGGTTCACTTTATTTAAGTAGTTATAGTTGGTTATTATTTAAAATTAAAAACAGTTTTTAAGGTATTGGTTTTTATTTTCTCATATCTCAGGTCCTGGACATCTGAAAAAAGAAACAAAAGATTAAAAACGTATAAATATTTTACACGATACTCAAAAACTAGTAAATAACAAAATTAATAATAATTAAAATGAAAAAATAATTATCAGTTAGATAAAAACAGAGAACATTTTATTTTTTTTATTTTATTGTTTTAAAGCGCATATTTTTAATTGAAATGTAATTCATCTCTTTAAAAAATATATTTTTAAAGAAAATATAAGTAGTTTTGATTCCCATTTATAAAGATAATTATCGTTTTCAAAATATTCGAGTTTATAAAAGTTTCCCGGGTCAGGGAAAGAAAGTGTGACCAGCTGATTTAGCCCCAAAACCCCAAAGTTAAAAAATTGTGGTTACACTAACATAGCTGACTTTTATGGGAAAACAGCCAAGTTGTCAACACAAGTTGTGTTCAATAACAAGAGGAAAACGCAAAATAATATTATGGGGAATCAACTTGGGTTTTATATTAGCAGCGATGACGAGGATGCATTTGATACTTCGGACAGTGAACTAGGCCTAAACGTGATCAATTTTGCAGTGAATGCCATGGACATGGAGCTGCGATCTCCGTGCTATCACTCAAACGACCTGCCAGTTATTAGAAACAAACCCAATCTGGAGAAATTTCAGGTAATTATGAAATACCCCGCCCCCAGCGACCAAAGAAAGTAACGCGGAGTGTCTTTTCATTTCGCAGAACACTGACATATATAAAGAGATAAGGGCCTCTAGTGGCCTTGTAAGCACAAACGCTGTCGAAAGCTGGAATCTGGTGCGTGCCCTTCAGCAGCGAGAGAATGGGCTGGCAGCTCCCCGCAACTCTTCGTTTTCAGACAACCAAAAGCGATACATCTCTAATATGTATATACCAAATAAGAAGTCGCAGCGCCTGATGTCGCTGGACTCCAAAGTGTTTGTGACCAAGTTCAATCGCACTGGCAGTAAGCTGCTGACCGCATGCCAAGGTCAGCCTTAGGTTTTCATAGTGCTTCCAAACACTTGTCTTACCTTAAACCCGTTGCAGATGGCTTTGTGCGCATCTATGACGGCGCTAAGGGAACATACCACCTTCTGAATCGCATTCGTGCCCGAGATGTCGAGTGGAGCATCATTGACGCTGACTTCAGCCCGAATGGCCAGCACTTTGCCTATAGCACCTGGTCCCGATCATGTAAGGTCGAACAAAGCACTTTTCGGTACTGGGTTAGACGTTATTTCTTTCAGTTTTCATAATGCCCGTAAATGGAAATGAGGACGACTGCCAGTGGATCGACGTCAACGGTCTGCCAAACCATCGCCTGGCCATATTCTCGCTGCGCTACTCGCCCACGGGTGACAAGCTCATCGGCGGAAGCAACAACGCCATGATCATTGTGACCGACATTCGCACACGAAATACTCAAATCTTGCGCACCCACCGTATGCCTGGCACGGACGTGAACTGTGTCAGCTTTCTGCATGACAAGGACCCCAATGTGATAGTCGCAGGCTGCGACGATGGCCTGATTAAAGTTTATGACTTGCGTACCTCGTTTCGGTCACGAGAGCTCTCAAAGTCTGTCGCATCCTTTATTGGGCACTTTGATGGCGTGACCTACATTGACTCGCGTAACGATGGCTACCATGTGCTATCGAATTCCAAAGACCAAAGCATTAAGATCTGGGACATGAGGCAGCCCGGCAACCTGCGCAACCGCAGCCGTGCCAGGCAGCAGCAGCTAGACCTCGCCATGTGGGACTATCGCTGGAATCGTGTTCCACGAGAATGTAGGTCCTTCAGTATATTCTCCTTATGTTGTTTATTGGGAATCTTTTGTTGCAGTTTATAATCCGCACAAAGCTCTTGAAGGAGACTCGAGTATTATGACTTATCGCGGTCATAGGGTTACCAAAACGTTACTCCGGGCCAAGTTCTCGCCCCTAGAGCAGACTGGTCAACGCTATATATACACAGGCTGTGCCACTGGACGTATTATAAGTGAGTTTTGAAATCTTACTAAATACTTAATCCAATTCTAATGGTTAAAATTTTGTTTAGTTTACGATGTGCTAACTGGTAAGATTAAAGAGGCTATAGAGGGACATAGGAATGTGATAAGAGATCTGGACTGGCATCCGGACCGAGCGGAGATCGTGTCTGGATCGGTAAGCAGGGAATCAAATCTATAGTCTTCCAGTTTTAAACGTTTCTCTTGCAGTGGGACACACATGTGCACTTGAACAACTTTAGTCGCAGCAACGCGAATCGCCTGGCGAAACCGGACAAGAGGCCGCTGCGTCGGTCACGTCGCTTGGCGAATCGCAATTTATCGCCGGACTAATGTTTACGTTAACGTATTTCGTAATTAGCGCCTAAGACCCCTTAAGATTACCTGTTAGAATGGACAGAGTACATTACATTCATTGAGAAACCACTTGCGCAGGCGAGCGAGTTGGGCTCCATCTTGGTTCTATGAAGAAGACTGAAGACAATGGAACAGTTTAAAGGTTTTTGTTCAGTTTAATTAATTTGTTACACATTAAAATGTAAACCAAGAAGCTTACCAACTACCTACACTAAGTTGTTTATGTACAAAACAATCATTATAAGAATCACGTTGAATTATATTTCGTTTGCTAAAACTATATACCCTTAAACGCTATTCTTTTCTTCACTGATCGAATCGTGGCGCGCTTCACCGTTGTTGAATATTTCTTTATTTTTTCTTTTCGGGTGAGGGCGGATTTGTTTTTCCAAAGGTTTATGATGCGCTCTTTGTCGTCATCATTGTGCACCACCTTCAAGTCAACATTCTCGCTGAATCCATATCCCACGAGGCCGGCTAGCGACGAGTTCGGAAAGGCAGTCAGGTCGAATAGTTGGAACTTGTCTGCGCAAAATTGAGAGATGGTGAAGGTATTGAATGATTTTAGTCTTTCGTGGATTTCCTCCAATGATAAGAGGTCTTTTGGGAGTTCTTCCTCGCTATTATCATCGGATCTCGTACTGGCAGAACTTACTTCGTCTTTGCGCTTCCTTTTAGAGTCTTTTGGCTTTTTCGTTGTGGCCTCCTCGCCGACGATTGGGTTAGCTTCGGACGAGGGATCTTCAGGTACGGACTCCAAGGATGCTTTGGATTTTTTCTTTTTCTTGGACGTGATTTCGGCTGTTTCAGTAACGACTATTTCCTCGACCTCTTCTTTCGATCGTTTCTTGGATTTCTTCTTCTTTGAGGTCTCTCCAACTTCTTCGCTAGAGTCCTTCGACTCTAATTGGCTGCTATCCTGAGGGATTGCATTTATGGGTTCTGACTTTTTTGGCTTAGGTTCATCATCAACTTTAACCGAATCTTCTGATTCTTTTCTTTTACTCTTTTTCTTCTTCTTTGGGACTGGCTCTTCCTCTACAGGTTGGGACTCTTCCACCTCGTCGTGCTTTTCGCTTTTTTTCTTCTTTTTAGAGACAGGTTCCTCCGCAACATTCTGGGTTTCTTCAGGCTCCTCAGTTTTTTCACTTTTCTTCTTTTTCTTGCGCTTAGGTGGATTAGATTCTTCTAGGCTTTCTTGTTTATCTTCCAAGATTGTAGTCTCTTGTTCTATTGTTTCCTCTTCGGGAGAACTTTTGGATTTTTTCTTCTTTTTTTGTTTGGGAGCCGGTTCCACAACTTCCTCCTCTTCGGGGAGATCTTCCTTCCGTTCCTTGTCTTTCTTTTTCTTCTTCTTTTTAACAGGCTCGACCTGATCACTTTCTTCGATGTTGTCCTCCTGCACAACACCGTTGGTAGTTTCTTCAGGGTTACCATTGGAGGCATCTTCGGTTGCAACATTTGCCGACCCGTTCTTGAGTCGTTTTTTTACGGCCTCCATTTTTTGCTTAAAATAATCAGTTACTGAAACACCCGTGGTCAGCGTTTGCACTCCCCCGAAATTGGGATTCACTGCCTTTTCCTCCTTTGGTTCCTCGACCTGGACAGGCGTCTCTACATTGGACGTTTCCTTTTTGCCAAAGATATTGGCCAAATCTTTCTCGCTGTACTGCGACAAGTCCTTGCCGCGAGTGAACTTCTTGTAATGCACTCGGGCCCTACTCTGCTTTGACCTTTCCTCCAGCGACATTCCGCTGATGTTTTCCTTCAACTTCTTTGTAGTTGGCGCCTCTGCCTCTGGCGCTTTGAAGCCAAATCCCATCGGTTTCGCCTCCTCCTCAGACTCGGATTCTTTGCCGTTGGTTCCATTGTTTTCACTGGAGCCACCGTTCAGGGATTTCAGCAAGCCGTTGAACCCCTCCTCGTGAATGGTCCACTGATCGTCCCTCGCCTCATAACCCAATCCGTCGGCGTCGTTCTTAAACTTTACGCGAACAAACTCTTGATTGCCATCCTCATTGGCGCCTAGTCCTTTGCCTTTGGACCAGCCCATCTTCTCCAGCATCTTGGTGCCAAATCGATTGTCGTCTAAAAATGTAGTTTAAAGTTGGATTCACACACATGACGCTCAAGTAGCCCATAACTTTACCTTCATAGAGTGCTTTGCCGCGCGGACACAAGTTGTATCGCTTGCGGCGACGTGGTTCCGCTAACATAGCCATTGCGGGTAAATAATTGTTGCTAGTTTAATCACTAAATAGTAATAAATATAATTCGCATGGGTTTCAACACGTGCAGTTATTTTCTTATAAATAGAGATGGCAAATCAACCGATATTTCCGCGCTCTTGAAATGGCATCTCTAATCGAATCGATATCACAATTTTTTCGTTGATCAACACTGAAAGAATCCCGTGAGTCAACACGAAAAAACCCCATCTCTATTATCAAATACCAGTGTTTTTTGCATTGTTTATTAATTGTTCGAATTGGATATCTGCACTGCCCCGATAATGGATATAAGTGCAGATGTGGATCAGATCATAGCCAAGGCCCCGAACTGGAACATCGAGGGTGACTGCGCTCTCTTGGCGTTGATGAAGCGCATTTCCCAGGTCAGTGGCTACATAAATTATCTATCAACAAAAAATCTGAATTCTTATCTGAATTTTCCAAAGAATTTGCATGAGAGGGTGGATAAGACTTCTAGCCGGTTTGAAGAGTTTGAGGTCAGCGTTAAACGTGCCGATATAGCCCTCAGCAATGCCAACAACAGCCTGCGCTCCCTCCAGTTTGGCCAACAATTTGTGGAGTATAGGGTGGAAGAAATTAAGGACGAAGATTTGGCCATGCCCCAGGATAAAAAAGAAGTGCGTACCTATTGTTATATTTTAGGTCATTAGGTATAAAAGGTCTATGTCTAATTACAGCCGGAGACCCCTCCCATGAGCTCTGAGGAAATGGCTAAACAATTTTTAGAGAACAACTTGCGAATGTTCCGCAAAAACTACGAAGCGGTGACCATCGAAGTGCCAGATTCCGATGATGAGGATGCGCCAGTGACCACTACGTATGTATTTTCTATTTTTGTAACACATATAATACTAAAACTTATTTCACAGCACCGTGTTCCGAGCCAAAAATCCATATGACGCCATTCCTCTGCCTTATATTATTGGATCTAAAGAGTGGAATGAACACAAGTACGCCGGGTTGTATGACAGTAAAGAAAATAGTGAAGATGAGAAGTCTGAGGAGTTCTCCTCAAGCTCATCTGATGAGAGGGAACCAGTGCCTTCAACATCTAAAAAGGCCGCGAACAAACCTGTTGAGCCTCACATGTCAGACTCCTCTTCTTTAGCCTCGTTGCCTAAGGAACCGAAAATTATATCCCCTACGAAGGCACCTAATCCTCTTCCTACATTTCCCACACCAACGCCACCGGCTGGTCCGGTCAAGGAGCCTGCTCCAAAGTCTTCACAGCCACGTCCAATTATAAGCAGTCAAAGGAACCCGCATGAGCATGACATGTTTGCGGCGCTCCGGCAATCACCGCCAAGCGATGATCCGCCGTCGACTTCCTCATCCCCAGCATCTTCACCAGCCTTTGGAAATGTTCCTGGAAGGTTGCCAAAAGTATCGACAGCTTCTATTAGTTCCAGTAGCAACAGCCCGGCACATCAACCGCCTCCAACACTTTTTGATGAAGCTATTGCCCCCCAGACCTCTAGGGAAGCTCAGCTCCCAGAAGCTTCTAAGCCAGCTGAAGTCAAACCAAGCCAAGTTAAGCGCAAGCCTGTCAATATTTTCAGCGATGATGAATTTAATTCATTTATGTCGGAAATCACGCAGAAGGTGCAAGCTAAGGCAGGCAGCAGTTTAAATACAACTCCAGCATCTGACACTGTGAGTCCTACCCAGAGTTTGCGGAAGACCACACAGCCTGTAGAGCAAAAAGTTCCAAAGGAAAGTCAGACAAAAATAAATCCAACTGTTCCAACACCGTCAGTACCGAAGCGGGTCAATTTATTTGATGATAGCCCTCCGTTGAGTCCAACTCCAGCCACAAGCTCGACATCGAGTGAGATCCCTCCCAAAGGCCCTCAACAGAATCCACCAAAACCCCTTTCTTTTGATGCTCCTTCCTCAAGTACCAGGCGGACTAGTGACCTCCCGCCAAAGAATCCACCAAAAGCCTTGCCAAAATCATTATTTGATGATGATTTGGAGGACGATGATTTCTTGAGTTCCTTCAACCCAAAGCCGAAGCCAACGGAACAAAAACAAAAGCCCAAATCTCTATTTGATGATGATGATTTGGATGTGGATGATATATTTGGCAAATCATCCTCTAAACCAACAAATTTGTCAACAAAAGTGGCAGGAAAAACCAGCTTATTTGATGACGATGACCAGGACGATGTCACGGATATATTTGGCTCCAAGAAACTAACCACAAAGAGGCTCGAAGAATCCCCGCCGAAGTCTTTGCTTGAAAAGAGTGTTGAGCCTCTGGTTCCACATAGAAAGAGTCTTTTCGATGACATTGAGGAAGAAGATTTATTTGGAACACCAAAGGCTAAGAATTTGTTTGCAAGTAGAGAGCAGATTAGCCCCATTTCACCAGAGAAAACTCAAGGGGAAGTAGAAAAGAGCCGTGATATCAAAGAGATTAAAACAGAGGAGATTCAGAACAAAGAATTTAAACAAGTGGTACCAGATGATACCTTTAGGCCCATCCATGATCAAAAATCTCAAGCCACTGTGGCTGTAGAACATCAGCAAGAGGCTAAGAATGAGCCTCAAATAGTTTCCACAAAACCTACTGATTTGTTTAAGGATGATTTTAGTGACGATGATTCCTTTTTGACAGTGTCCCAACCCAAGGTAAAGCCTCAGGGCTCTAAAGAAACAAAAGAAACGATAAAACCTGCTGAGAGGAAGTTTGTGCCTCCAAAGCAAGACATTCCAATTCCACAAAGCGAACCAGATAAGTTATTTGATGAAGAAGTAGTCCAAGATGAACCCAAGACGAAGAGTATCCCAAAGGTCCCTGCTACTACAAAGGAAACCATCGATCCAACTGAAGACTTCGTAAAAGAGATTGATCCGGAGAAAATTCCGACGGATAAAATAGATGATGAGCCGGTTAAGAAACAAAAAGACAGTTTAGCAGGCAAGTTTTCCCCGATCTCTGAGACTCCACCGCCCGATGATCATCAAAACCAACAAGATCCCATTATCAGCATGGTGGCCGATATAACCAACAAGTCACCCAAGACAGAGCCCACGCCGCGTCGTGCAGCGGATCTGGCCGCAGCTCAGCAGATTATGCAGAACTACACAAATTTATTTTCGGAAGAACCGCCCGATGACAGCGAGTTCTTCCAGACGCTCGGAAGCAGCGGCCTGAGTAGTTTAAGTGCCTCAAAGATCTTCGACCACGAACAAGACTTCTTTGAGCCGGCTTTGCCCAAGGTTCCAAGTGCCACTAAATCATCCGTGGTTTCGCCAAGCGAAGTACAACCTTCCCCATCCGATTATGGTGGCATGCGGTTGTTCAGTGATGTTCCACCCGAGGATTTTGGTTCAGATCCAGTGCCGGAAAAGCAGGTCGAACCCCAAAAAGTCGAGACCTCATCCACCACCACTCGCATCCACACGATTTTCTATGATGATTTTAGTGAAACAGCCAGAGCCGGAACTGTGCCCACCACTCCAAAACATTCCGTATCCACGGAGAAGCCTCCTCCAGCTGACGAGCCTGATCGTAGCAAGGTTAAGGAAGCCTCTGAATTACCCGCTCCAGCGTCTCCTGTAAAGAAACTTAAAATGCCCAACATCAACATCAACGTGCAGGCACTGCTTCCGGGCTCAGGGGCTCGGCCCAAAGTACTCAAAAAGCCAGAGACTCCGCATTTGGATGAAGACTCTCAAGTTCCAGCACATCCTGATAGCTTAGTAACAAGTCCAAAGGAAGCTGTCACTCCGCCATCGACAGAAGGTGGACTGCAGCACGTAAACAAGACCCGGGTCCGGGGACCACCTCGCCGGCGTCCATCCACGCGAAAGGGAAGACAGGAAAACTATGAAAAAAGCTTGCTAGATGATGAAAGAATAAACAAAGAAGTGGAAGGATCGAATTTGGAAAGCCAAGATGATTCAGAAAGCATTTCGATTCAAACCCCTTCGTCAAAGACAGCTCCCCAAGAAAATGTACTTTCTTCTCCAGTGGCTCTTTTCGACGAGCCACCAGAGGATAAGCCCACTCCCGAGAAGGCATCTGTTGGCACCAAAAAGAGTACTCCCTCTTCATTTCCTAAATCTTTTTTGGATAGCCCTGATGAAGATGATTTCCTATCAAATCCTCCCAGGAAACAGTCATCTGTTGGTGCCAAAAAAATTACTCCTTCCACGAGAGCTAAATCCTTCTTGGATAGCCCTGACGAAGATGATTTCCTATCTAATCCTCCAAAGAAACAGTCATCTGTCGTGGGAAAATCAGTTTCAATTGGAAATCCACCAACTGCAATTCTAAACGAGCCCCCGGAGGATCAAGCACCACTTAAAGTGACAAATCCCCGAAAGGTTGCATCATTTTTGGACAGCTCGGATGAAGATGATTCTCTGTTTAAAACGGAGAATATTCGGCCAGCGGTTGGAAGGATAAGTGCTCCTACGACCAAACCTATTGCTAGCGAGACCTCAAAGGATCTACCAAAAAATATTGTACCCCCTAAGGCAGGAAGTTCCTTTTTGGATAGCGATGATGAATCACCGTTTCCGGTCCTGGCGCCTCCTCCAAAGCTCCAAACGGTTACTGCTCCTGAGAAGAATATCTTGGCTGCCACGAACCCCTTAAGGACAAATGAGCCACCTTTAATGCAATCGAAAACAGCTCCTACAAAGCAAATCAAGTTATTCGACGACAGCGATGATGATGATGATGATGACCTGTTTGCCACAGCAAGTCTGCCTGCACCCGTGCCCACCGCACAGACCACCTCCAAGCCAACTACGCAAAGCAAACAGTCAGCCAAGCAGAAGGCTTCCTTCTTCAGCAGCGATGAAGATGACGAACTGATTCCTGCCAAAGCTCCTCCCAAGAAGAAACTGCCCGCCAAGACAACCAAGAGTCTCTTTAGCGACGATGACGATGATGATGATCTGTTTGGAGGGAGGTATACTTCCAAAGCTAGCACCTCCAAGCAGACCAGGCCTGCAAGCCGTTCTACTGCTAAGCCCGCTCCCAGCAAGACCTCCAGAGCGAGCTCCAAAACTCCCAGCGATAATCCACTGGCCGATTTGCTTTTTGAGTGAAAAACATTATTGCCTTTTATTACAAATATGTACAATTGTCGATCTGTGGATGGTTAGACTGTCGATCGGAGTATTGTTATCCGTATTCCTAGTAACTTAAATAAACGATGAATTTCCATTTCGATTAGCGGTCGATTCTTAAAACTAGTAACTTGGGGTTTCGCTGTGATCTGGTCACAAGCTAGTCGATGATTTAACCAGTTATTCTATAGCTACGTTTATAAGCTTGTTATTTGCAGAATCAATTATTTGAAATATGCCTGATATTGGAACTATATTTGTTTGATCTTTTGAACTAATCGCAATTAGTGAGGAGAGCTTCCTTTATTTACATTAAAAATTGTTTAGGAAAGAGTGCGATAAGCAGACTTCTGTTTGAATTTGTGACTTAGATGCTCTCTATAATTTATTTTCAAAATTTGCTTTTTTTAGCACACTCTTATGATAACTTTTTTTGCAAATATTGCTTTTTTTAAACGTAGCATTCGATTCTCCCAGTGTAACGTTAGTCTACGAACTGAAACTGAGTTAGTTTGTGGCTCTTTGGTCGTTATTCCGAGGAATCTCATTCTAGATTGAGCAGGTCTTAAAACTACTGAGCGTAACCTAGGGGGCTGACTTATGGTGGATCCGGGACTTGGACGGGCAGTGCCTCAAAGGGCTACATCGCGATACTTCCGGTAGTCGTCGGACTCATTACCCAGTGACAGTTTACTGTTGGCTGTGATGTACGGATTGGCATAGTTGGCATAGCCGAATCCCCCGTAATACTGCAGCTGCTGGCTGTGAGTGGATCCGCGACGCTGCAGCGGCTGGGCCAGAACCGTTCCTGCAAATCCTCCCGTGGAACTGCAGTTGGAGGGCCTTCTGTAGATTCCACCAGGCTGATGGAGGAGCTGTTGCTGCTGCTGCTGTTGGTGGAGCAGCATGGCCAGATAGTACTGCTGCTGCTGGGTGTAGTTTTGGAGGAGATTGTTTCCGTAGGCAGTCAGGTCGTTCTGCACCTTACTGATCCCGTCCAGGTTCTCCAGGGAGACGCAGTTTCGGGATAGCTTGCCAGGAGGCGGCTGTTTGTGGCTGCCTCGAGGCCGATTACCGCGCTGGTGGGCAGGCGGAGGTGTAACCTGCTTCGGCTCAATGGAACAGTAAATTGGATCATTGCTGGCCGACCCAATCAACGAGGGCGGTGAGGGTCGGTGCGAGTCCTGGAGATTATTCTTCAAGTCGTCGATGGTGATGTTGAAGTATTTGGCGTTCTTGTCCTCAGTGTCCAAGACATGACGTGGATTGTACATTCCTGGGAGAGTGCAGCGCAGATCCATCAGTGATTGGGCCCGATGTCCAGCGGGTGCTCCTCCAGCGCCACCCCGCTGCATTAATGTGGCATTGTTGAACTGCTGGGCCAAGGCTGGGGCAAACATGCTGGCGTTGAACTCGTTTTGCGATCCAAAAGCCTGGCTACCGGCCAACTGGTTATTCATTCCCATTCCCAGTGGCATCTTGGCCGTCGTCTCGTCGCATAGCTGGTAGCCGGCATTCTCAAAGCCACTCAGACGCTGGCTGGAGCGGCGGGAGTCCGCCTTGTTCATCGGGACACTGGGCGCTGGCGTCTGCAGGGACAGGCGAGTGGCCAAGCCCTGCAGCTGGCTGAGCACCTGCGTCTCCCGGCGCCACCGAATGCCCGTGGGAATAACGCAGATCAGGGCGAAGCAGTTGATGATTAGACGGATCAGGTAGGATGTCAGCTCCGTCAGCCCGTGCACCGATTGGAGGCCCTAGATAAACACACAGACATTAGTAATCTGGTTAAATATTCAGTTTGTAACACTTACCCAGTGCTGGGTGGTCATGATCATGACGAAGACCAACTCGGGAATGGAGAGCAGACCGATAATACCCGACCAGGCGAAGAGGGGCCAGCACAGCCCACTGACCAGCCCGTGGATGAGGATCGTGGTGGCCACAAACATGACGAAGTAGAGCGAACAGAGAGTGTAGGCTGCGAAGGGCAGCTCGCCGTGGGCCTCCAGTATCCAAGAGACCTCGCACGAGAAGGCGCCCAGGTAGACGATCTGCGGGGGGAATTCGCGGAAAGCAGAAACGGGTAGAGAAATGGAAATTAGCCGAGATTCGTATTCAAAGAAAAGCGAAAACATAAATCAGGCGATGGCAGACAGAAGATGTGGATGTGTACAAAAACCGGAGACAACATTGCTCCGCAACCATCCATCAATCAATTAATGAGCTCCCACCGCCTCCTCCTCCTCCTCCTCCTGGTGCCTCCGACTCGACTGTCAACTTCGATGCCAACAAAAAGCATAAAGATGAAATTTTTACATCTGGCACGATGTGCAAAAAACGATTTCATTTCATTTTCACTTAATGGAGCAAACATTTTTTCACACTGATAACGGTAACCGACAGGTAGACATTCGGACACATGGAGGAGGCGGGCGGAAAGATGATGATGTGATGGGCATATATCACCCCAAGTGGAATAGCTCCCCGATTTTGCACTTACCAGCAAGAGAACGGCAACCACGCAGCAAATAATGAATAGATTCGCCTTTATGAAGCGCTCCATAATGCGTTCGTTCCAAAAGTTTTGTATGCTATTGCCGTTGCCCGGCGGCCGCTTCTTCAATGAGGACGGCGACTGCTTTTCACTGGCCTTCTGATAATTCATTATTCGTGTTTCGGTTTCGGTTGCGATTGCGGTTGTGGTTGTCGAAGATGGTGGAGGAGATATGTATGCGTTCAGACAGGTGTGAGGTGAGTTGCGGTTTTGCAGAGAAACTATGCTGGATGCTAGCTGGAGGGGGTGGTGGCCTTGGCTCCCCTTCGGGAGCAGGTCAGTGGTGCGATGCGAGGCGATGCGAAGCGATGTAATGCGGAGTTCTAGTTCTGGGTTTATGTTTGAATGGGTTTCGAGTCCAGACCGCTTGTGGGTTGAATGAAAGCGTTAAGCGGCCTAATTGAGCCGTGTCATGCTAGGTTGGTGCTGAAATGAGAATTCGAATGAGTGCCGAGCTCTTCAGATGAGTTCAGTTCGATACCCAAACAAAAGACTTAGGCAACGAACTTGTTTTGGATGCTTCACATATTTCCGTCAAAAAAAAAAAAGACCAACACCAGCACAAGCACACAAACAAGCACTCACAGTCCAGCGTCGACTAACGGCCTGTGCCATATTCTCTAGAAGATTTTCACTTTTCTACAAAGCCAGTTCGTCGACCAAGTCTTTTGTTGTCTATTTGGCATTGCTTTGGCAAATATTTAACCCCACACAAATAATAAAGTGTGCTAACCGAAAAGAGAAGCTTCTGCTTAAATGCAGGCTGTGTCTGGCAGATGTATGTTTCTGCCAGTTACCTGTTGCCTTATGTCACGACAAATGAATTCGCAAGCTTGGCTAAACCCAAATCAATTAATCAATTACACATGTCTACAAAGTCAAAACAAGGGAACATTTTTATACCTGAATTTGTTTGTAGATTCTATTTTTAGCGAGAAAAAAATTGACAAAATATCTAAAAAATATTTTGTCTCGGGATTTTGATGCAGAATTGTAGCGAATCGATCTAGAAATCGTTTAAGGTACTCCGCTTGAGAATCGGATGAGAATTGGGGAAGATATAGCCATCACTGTGGACCCTAGAGGGGAAAACCCCATTTTCAAGGGACCCCATCACGAAAATTTGACAAAAAATTAAAAAAATATTTTGTCTCGGGATTTTGATGCAGAATTGTGGCGAATCGATCTAGAAATCGTTTAAGGTACTCCGCTTGAGAATCGGATGAGATTTGGGGAAGATATAGCCATCACTGTGGACCCTAGAGGGGAAAACCGCATTTTCAAGGGATCCCAACACGAAAAATGGACAAAAAATCTAAAAAATATTTCGTGTCGAGATTTTAATGCAGAATTGTAGCGAATCGATCTAGAAATCGTTTAAGGTACTCCGCTTGAGAATCGGATGAGAATTGGGATAGATATAGCCATTCCAGTGTAGCCTATAGGGGAAAACCCCATTTTCAAGGGATCCCCTCAGGAAAAATGGACAAAAAATTGGAAAAATATTTTGTCTCGGGATTTGGATGCAGAATTGTGGCGAATCGATCTAGAAATCGTTTAAGGTACTCCGCTTGAGAATCGGATGAGAATTGGGAAAGATATAGCCATCCCAGTGTACCCTAGAGGGGAAAACCCCATTTTCAAGGGATCCCCTCAGGAAAAATGGACAAAAAATTGGAAAAATATTTTGTATCGGGATTTTGATGCAGAATTGTAGCAAATCGATCTTGAAATCGTTTAAGGTACTCCGCTTGAGAATCGGATGAGAATTGGGAAAGATATAGCCATCCCAGGGTACCCTATAGGGGAAAACCCCATTTTCAAGGGATCCCCTCAGGAGAAATGGACAAAAAATCTAAAAAATATTTTGTCTCGGGATTTTGATGCAGAATTGTGGCGAATCGATCTAGAAATCATTTAAGCTACTCCGCTTGAGAATCGGATGAGAATTGGGAAAGATATAGCCATCCCAGGGTACCCTATAGGGGAAAACCCCATTTTCAAGGGATCCCCTCAGGAAAAATGGACAAAAAATTGAAAAAATAATTTGTCTCGGGATTTTGATGCAGAATTGTAGCGAATCGATCTAGAAATCGTTTAAGCTACTCCGCTTGAGATTCGGATGAGAATTGGGAAAGATATAGCCATCACAGTAGACGCTATAGGGGAAAACCCCATTTTCAAGGGATCCCCTTAGGAAAAAGGGACAAAAAATCTAAAAAATATTTGGTCTCGGGATTTTGATGCAGAATTGTGGCGAATCGATCTAGAAATCGTTCGAGGTACTCCGCTTGAGAATCGGATGAGAATTGGGGAAGATATAGCCATCACAGACCCTAGAGGGAAAAACCGCATTTTCAAGGGATCCCATCACGAAAAATGGACAAAAAATTGAAAAAATATTTTGTCTCGGGATTTTGATGCAGCATTGTAGCGAATCGATCTAGAAATCGTTTAAGGTACTCCGCTTGAGAATCGGACGGAAATTGGGAAAGATATAGCCATCACAGTGGACCCTAGAGGGGAAAGCCCCATTTTCAAGGGGTCCCATCACGAAAAATGGACAAAAAATTGGAAAAATATTTTGTCTCGGGATTTTGCTGCAGAATTGTAGCGAATCGATCTAGAAATCGTTTAAGGTACTCCGCTTGAGATTCGGATGAGAATTGGGAAAGATATAGCCATCCCAGTGTAGGCTATAGGGGAAAACCCCGTTTTAAAGGGATCCCCTCAGGAAAAAGGGACAAAAAATCTAAAAAATATTTGGTCTCGGGATTTTGATGCAGAATTGTAACGAATCGATCTAGAAATCGTTTAAGGTACTCCGCTTGAGAATCGGATGAGAATTGGGGAAGATATAGCCATCACTGTGGACCCTAGAGGGGAAAACCCCATTTTCAAGGGATCCCCTCAAGAAAAATGGACAAAAAATGTAAAAAATATTTTGTCTCGGGATTTTGATGCAGCATTGTAGCGAATCGATCTAGAAATCGTTTAAGGTACTCCGCTTGAGAATCGGATGAGAATTGGGAAAGATATAGCCATCCCTGTGGACCCTATAGGGGAAAACCCCATTTTCAAGGGATCCCCTCAGGAAAAATGGACAAAAAATTAGAAAAATATTTTGTCTCAAGATTTTGATGCAGAATTGTAGCAAATCGATCTAGAAATCGTTTAAGGTACTCCGCTTGAGAATCGGATGAGAATTGGGAAAGATATAGCCATCCCAGTGTACCCTATAGGGGAAAACCCCATTTTCAAGGGATCCCCTCAGGAAAAATGGACAAAAAATCTAAAAAATATTTTGTATCGGGATTTTGATGCAGAATTGTGGCGAATCGATCTAGAAATCGTTTGAGGTACTCCGCTTGAGAATCGGATGAGAATTGTGGAAGATATAGCCATCACTGTGGACCCTAGAGGGGAAATCCGCGTTTTCAAGGGATCCCATCATGAAAAATGGACAAAAAATCTAAAAAATATTTTGTCTCGGGATTTGGATACAGAATTGTAGCGAATCGATCTAGAAATCGTTTAAGGTACTCCGCTTGAGAATCGGATGAGAATTGGGAAAGATATAGCCATCCCAGTGTACCCTATAGGGGAAAACCCCATTTTCAAGGGATCCCCTCAGGAAAAATGGACAAAAAATCTAAAAAATATTTTGTATCGGGATTTTGATGCAGAATTGTGGCGAATCGATCTAGAAATCGTTTAAGGTACTCCGCTTGAGAATCGGATGAGAATTGTGGAAGATATAGCCATCACTGTGGACCCTAGAGGGGAAATCCGCGTTTTCAAGGGATCCCATCATGAAAAATGGACAAAAAATCTAAAAAATATTTTGTCTCGGGATTTGGATACAGAATTGTAGCGAATCGATCTAGAAATCGTTTAAGGTACTCCGCTTGAGAATCGGATGAGAATTGGGAAAGATATAGCCATCCCAGTGTACCCTATAGGGGAAAACCGCATTTTCAAGGGATCCCCTCAGGAAAAATGGACAAAAAATCTAAAAAATATTTTGTCTCGGGATTTTGATGCAGAATTGTGGCGAATCGATCTAGAAATCGTTTAAGGTACTCCGCTTGAGAATCGGATGAGAATTGTGGAAGATATAGCCATCACTGTGGACCCTAGAGGGGAAATCCGCATTTTCAAGGGATCCCATCATGAAAAATGGACAAAAAATCTAAAAAATATTTTGTCTCGGGATTTGGATGCAGAATTGTAGCGAATCGATCTATAAATCGTTTAAGGTACTCCGCTTGAGAATCGGATGAGAATTGGGAAAGATATAGCCATCCCAGTGTACCCTATAGGGGAAAACCGCATTTTCAAGGGATCCCCTCATGAAAAATGGACAAAAAATCTAAAAAATATTTTGTATCGGGATTTTGATGCAGAATTGTGGCGAATCGATCTAGAAATCGTTTAAGGTACTCCACTTGAGAATCGGATGAGAATTGGGAAAGATATAGCCATCCCAGTGTACCCTAGAGGGGAAAACCCCATTTTCAAGGGATCCCCTCATGAAAAATGGACAAAAAATCTAAAAAATATTTTGTATCGGGATTTTGATGCAGAATTGTGGCGAATCGATCTAGAAATCGTTTAAGGTACTCCGCTTGAGAATCGGATGAGAATTGTGGAAGATATAGCCATCACTGTGGACCCTAGAGGGGAAATCCGCGTTTTCAAGGGATCCCATCATGAAAAATGGACAAAAAATCTAAAAAATATAATAAAAACACAATTAAGACACACTTGATAAAAAAGAATAGTCTTATAAGAAATCATTTATAAGCCAATTATCTGATGGAATGGCCGTCAAAATCATGCTGTTGAGTGTAAGCAATTGAGACGCCTCGCCAACACATCACTCTGAGCCGAGTTAGCGGCTTAGTCAGATACGGTAATCTGCCCATAATAGACAAGCGTCATCAAAATAGTGGCGACGAACTTGCTGGCAATGTTGTCAGCACGCAGGTGCGCCAGCAACATGATGCGACGATCCACCTCGCGTGCGTGTGCGGAGGCGTCTCCACTTGGGATGGGAATGGGTGGGCATAGCTCGTCTTGGGTTGGGTGCCACCGCCTGTGATTGCTACCCCAAAAATGGTGCGACGCGCCGGATATGCGCACCTTAAATCGTTGGACGCTTACTTGCCCCCCATTGACATTCCGCCAACGTTGCAAAGCAAGTGCCGAGCTTTTTCCTGCTTGGCTTTCTTCGCTGGCCGGAAAGAATTGCAAGCTAACAACTTCTTTTTATTGCTAATTAGCTGGACAAACTCATTCTCGCTGGGTTGTCCGGTTTTTTGGGAGCAGAGCTGTCGTCGCAATCGAAACGGGTTTTTGGCGGAAGGTCCGGCGGCCATTAGCACTGAAAGGCAGAGTGGCTGGCGGGCAGGCAGGGGAAGGGGGATGGAAAGGAGGCAGTCGAATTCGTAGCGCCCTTGACTGAGTGCCACACCCATTGCGGAGCGACCCCTTGCCACTGGGCATGGAATTCGTGATTACGAAATTATGCAGATCCAACATAATTTCTGTGAACCCGGTGTGACCGAAAAAATGCGAGCAGCATTTCAAAATATTTTGCATTGTTTGGTCCGCTCTGCGGCAAATTAAATTAATTTTGTTATTGTTATCCATAATGCTAGGCTTGCAGCAGCTCCATGACGAGTTCAATAGCATAAGTGCAACAATGGACATGGCAGCACAGTAAACTCCAGCTCCAGGCCAGTGAATGCATGAATAAACAACAATGCAGCAACTAAGTTATGCAAATTGTTATTATGAAGCCGATGTAAATCGAAATGGAATCGAAATGAAATGAAATGAAAAGCCCAATGCGTTACCGTTATGCTGTGCGTTTCAAAATGCAATCATCTATTATGATATATAAACACAGCATGTATCGGAGCGATGTAAAAAATACCTTTCACTTTGCCTTATTATTGCCAGAGTCAGAGCCAAGACATCCCAAGCAGTTACAACAGGCAGAAGAAAAGATACCAAAAAGTATTCGTATAAATGGAAAATAAGCACGGATCGTAGAAATTATCAGTGAAGCAAGAAACGATTTCTCAGCGACACACACGCTCCCCCAGATACGCACTCACACACGCGTCCGGCGAAATTGTTCAGAGTTGAGTCATGCCGAGTACAAAAGCTGTCTTTCATGCAAATTGCGTCGCCCGATTTTGTGGGAGACTCTGGCTCTGGCTCAGGCCTTGCCTTAATGGGGCGTTCTTGGCACTTTTACTCACACAAGCCGATTAAGCCGGAGAACTCGTTTGGAACATCATCGCAAAAGCGAAATGCGCTCGGCCACAATTATGGTATGATTGTTATTTAATTGTACAACGGTTAGGCCACAGGCACCAGGTCAAGTCGTCAACTCTGACTGGCTGACTAGCTGACTGGCCGACGACGGGACGTGAGAACAGCGGACACACAGTATGTGTGGCTAAAAGATAAACTGCGGGTCACTCACTCGCACTCGTGAAAAACCGTAACAGAGCCGGGGCTGCTAACGGTACACGTTCCAACTTGGCGCGCTCGCAACAGTTAAAAGTGAAATTCAAAAGACTGAGGAAACGAACTTCGCCACCGAACGATATGCCTGTCCGCGCGATCTAAGCGTGCGCTACCGCTACGACGGCTGTTTGGCAACTGAAATGTTAAAGCATTCCAGCCCCAAGTCTTCAGCCGAACCCCAGCTCTGCTCTGTTGCTCTGCCGTGCTGTCGTTTCGTTGATTTACATTTTTTTTCCTCTTGGTTTCGTTTGTTTTGGGGCAATGCTGCAGCAAGTTCACTCGCTTGACTCTTGTTCCAACAATTAAAACTTAATTTCTAACTGCCATTGGATGCTGTTGGTGGTGGGCTGGAGCCCGGCCGTGGCATTAGCATAATTTCGGGGTCCAGAAACAAAGCCCAGACGAAAATGAGGCCTAACGGTCATACTTTTGTTTGGGCCAGCTTTTACGCCTGATAACAAATGGTCGCCGCTTGGACGCTGCGGCGGCAGCTTGTTCTAATTAATGCTCGCTGGGGTTTCTTCTCTTCTCGTTTTTCGTTTATTTTAAATTCAATTTGAGTGTGTTTGTGTGTAGTTTACTAGCTATTGTGCTGCTGATATATGTTTTTCATTTGGAGTTTCCCTCTTTCTTCGGGTTTAATTAAATTAAGTTATGGAATTCAAATGGTAACTAAAAACAGTTTCAATTCCACTCAGTCTCTGACTATCTATAAAAGAAATTATAAAGTTCGTTGGAGAATACTCTAAATGCCTAGCTAATAGCTTAGTGATTGTAACAAGGTGACGTTGAAAATGTAAACTAAAACAGCCTGACTCATTAATGGCTAATCCTAATACAACATTAATCTATTCCGCGTGATCGGCAGCTTCTCCGTTCTGGGCTGGCACAGCGGCCTCAGGTTCATCCAGCACAGATTCCAGCTGTCCGATGCGCCTTATCTGACCCATAAGCTCGGCTATCTCGGCTGTGCGGTTACGGTACTTCCTCAAAAACAAGTAACCGCGCAGCATCTCGTTGTCCAACACACATCTGTCAAAGAAACCAATTTAGATATTTGGCTAAAGCTCCCAATAAATCTCACTCACATTAGAGCCGCCGCGCCAAAGTTGCCAGTGGTTTCTAACTGGTCCAGCCAACGGTTGATTATCGTTTTGATCAAGGGATCAGTGGCTGGAAGAGATACGCGTGCGTGCGCAAGGGCTTCTTTATAATACTCGTTCTCCAGAAACATATTTATGGCCTCTTTGTGCATTCCCAAGCCGAAAAGATATGTAGCGGCATGAAGAACATAGCCCTTGTCTTTCATTTGCCTGGCGTAGGAGCGACAGCACTCCTTCCAAAACCTGGAATAGGTCTTCAAACTTAGAAAAAGCCTCATCACACGAAAATATGGTAAACTTACGAGAAAGATACGGCGGGTGCCAACGAAAGGTGCCATTCAGTAAGGGTATGGTTGTGCATGTGCTGAAGCAGTTCTTCACGCAGCTTGAATGAGGATATGGACAGGCACAGTGGAGCTATGTCCGGAGTATCCGAATGCTTTAAATTGGTCACTGAAATAAATGATCTTACTATGAATTACTCTCCTTTTTATGGATTTCACTTACGCTCTCTACAAATAAGGTCCTTGGCCATCATTTTTGTGCCAAAAAGCTTAGACAACAGCACAGACTTGTCTATCTTGACAGCGTCTTCGGTTAGGACAATGGCCAGCTTCTCCAGGGCGGACTTGTTAAGCTCCTTTGTGGCAAGGAAAAGACAAGTGCGGCTATGCTGTAGGAGAAGGCTATTCAGTAAAGATAAAACTACAAAGGGAGACATGTTTTACTTACGAAAATAGCACTCTCAGCTGCTTCATTGGACTTGCATTTGGCACACTCCTGAGGGACATCTTTTTGTGGCTTCGAGCCTAGGCTAAGGGCAGCCATCTCCACCACAGGGACTTCCTTTGTTGGTGCGCTATCCTCCGTTTGCTCCTTTGGGGCTTCAATCGCGGCATCCTTTACTTCTTCGGCAATTTCTGGCTGCGGCTTGGAGGCAGCCTTACGTTTATCGCGCCGTTGACGCTTCTTCTCTGCTGCCGTGAGAACTGGCGCGAAGGGCTGAATAAGGGACTTGCTGGCCCACTTCACATTAAGCAGTGCATCCACCTTGGAGCAGATGGTTTTCTGGTTGCCGGTGAGAGCGTTTTTGATGTCCACGAGCTCCACGGAGACGGACTTGCCGGAGCACATGATGATATTCTCGTCGGAGGGCAGGAAAATGCCACACCACATGGGGCAGTGATAGGTGACTACAAGCGGCGGCTTCCCCGGATCATCGGTATTCCACAGGCACACCGTTCCCTCGATGTGGAAGGTGAGCAGCTGATTCTTTCGGTTGTTGCTCCACTTTAACGACGTGACGGAGGCCTTCTCCGCGGTGGCCGTGAAGGTGTGCACCTTCTTCCAACTACGATCTTCCGGATTAAACTCCATGATGAGCACCAATTTGTCGTTGCCCACCACAGCGAACTGGTTGGTGTCCACGGGACTCCAGGCTATATCGGTTACGTAGCGAGCCAGCAAAGCGGACTGGCGTATGAAAGGACTCCAAGTGTTGTAGGTTTCGGAGTTGCGCTCGTGCAACTGCAGCAGTCCGTCCTCAGTGCCCACGAATAGGAAGTGTCCACGGACACTCAGATAGCTCGGTCGAGCAATGGAGGTTACAATAATGGGTTCTGCAAAATAAGACAACCAAGTTTGTAAGAAACTTCAACAAACTTTCTACGAGAAGCTCAGTAACCAGGGCAACCCAAAATAACAAACAGATGAAAATTCCCAATCCGTTGGCTTACACACATTTCCTTTCTAAGAATTTAATGACATAACAAATTAAAGTTCGGTTCGTTACCATGCCGCGCCACAAGACCTTGGTGGACATTGGCCAGCGCATTATGAAGCGCTTCCAGCTGCTGAAGCTGGAGGTGGAGGAGGACTTTGTGATCTATGCGGTTCACTTGCTGGCCCGAGACTCCCGACGAGGTCTGTTGAAGAGCGACCTCAACAAGCCCACGGCCTGTGCCCTCAACTCGTTTGTGGACATGGTCGTGGACAGCTATGTGAGCCCCACAGACTGCACCATGGTCAATGCCAAGATGGCCTGGGTAATGAAGAAGGGCTTGACCATTGACCTGCAGTACGTTAAGAACCAGTACGAAGAGAAGTTCCACCAGGAACTGGAGATACTCATAAAGGACATTCTCCAGTACCCGGAGACCTGCAGCAAGGTGCAGTTGGACCAGCTGTTTGCCAAGATGCAGGTCTTCATTGTGGCCTGCTACCACCTGGGCTGCCCCAAGAACCATGTCCTGCTCAAGCTGACGGCTCAGGCCCTAAATAGCGTCATCGGACGCAGTGATCTGCAGAACTACGTGCTCAAGAAGAAGTACCATCGGCTGGAGTATCTGCAGCGTCTGGCGGCCACCGTGGGTGGCATCGTAATCTACAACAACGACGGTCCTGACGGGGATCGCGACAATGTGAGGAGTGGTAAGTGCAGTGAAGAGATTCTTTTAGGATTCTAACCTTTAGGGATCTCTTTAAAGTCATTAACGATTTGGAAATGGCGCAGAAAAATACCGAAGCCGCCTTTGCGGCCAGCATGGAAAAGGCTGATGGAGTGCGAAACATCTGCCAGGCGGCTCTGGAGGAATTAGTTACGATCGATTCCAAGGAAGAAATGATCAGCTACAAAGTCCCACTCGAGCACATGGACCGGCTAAACCAGTTCTCCCTGACCTATTGCATGTTGCACCGATGCCTCACAACCTTAAACTCGAACTACCAGACCACTGCCTACTTGATCGAGGTGGAGCTCAAGCGATACAACTGCGTAGTGGCCAAGATCAATGAGACACTTGCCATGCGCACCGCCATCGAGTCGGAGTTGATCTTCGTAAGTTACAAATTCCCTATGGAAGTATCATTTCTAATCCAAGTTTTCTTTCAGCCGCACTTCGTGTACATTGCCCAAGTTTGGGGGAATCTGAACAACTATCTGCACCACATTGTCGAGCTAAACAAGCTCAGGGAGCAGTTGGAGGCTCTGGTGGTTGATGACCTAGTGACCCTGGCCGAGGCCACTGTTGCGGAGCTGCAGGCGTTGCACAAACGCATCAAGACCGCGAAGGTCGTCACCTTTGAGGAGCGTATGAACGCAGTCAAGGGCCTGAAAACGGACGGAAACTTTTGCAACCTGGCCCAGGCGGACATCAAGGAGTTCTGCGGCCTGTTCATGACCATGACCAACGGCCTCTTGATGCCGGCTAAAGCAGTCCGAAAACTATGCTCCAACGTGGATATTTCCTTCGGCTTTCGGAATCCGCAGTTTGCGCGGTTTGCCGAGCTCCGCTTCGAGCCTTTCATTGCCGCCTTCAGAAACGTGGTCTTCAACAGCGCCAACTTGACTCTTCTGTTCAAGATAGATGACCAGCTCATAGCCCAGGAGCTGCAGGATCTGATTGTCGAGCCCCCCAAGCAGATCGATGCCGGCAACCAAACCGAAATGGTCGTCACCAACGATCTCTCGCCATCGAATTGGATCAACGTCACTTGGAATGTATGGGATTACCACCGGGAAACCATAAAACTAGCCAACATGCGCAACCACCAGACCCACGATTCGCAGACCAAAATAAGCTATGGTACGCGTAACGCCCAAAACCAGACCTACAATACCCGACAGCACAACTGAAGGAACTTACCGCCCTTGGATTTTCGAAGGTCGAAGAACCCGAACACGCGGTTCACCACGAAGTAGATGAAGTCGTCCTGCCACGCCAGGGAATAGATTTCCTTCTTGTGGGGAGTTCGTAGGATGGTCTTCACCTTCATGCGTTCCACATCAAGGATTCCCACCTATTTGTTAAATATTTCAGATTACATTGGTCTCCAATAAAGTAAACTCTCAAACAAAACTTACGGTCCCATCAAAGCCGCCAAAGGCCAGCTCCAAACAGTCGGGACTCCAGGCCAGGGAGTACACATTGCTTGACACATAAACGCTATCTATCGGCAGGCAGCTGGTGGACAGCTTCGATATGTCAAAGAACGCCACACGGCGGTCCGAGCAACCCAAGGCAATTCTAGACGAAAAAAATCTCAATAACTGGCTTAAGGATGAGTCCATCTTATACGTACTTGTTCATGTCATCCGGGCACTCGGTCATTGCCCGCACTCCAAACGCCACAGTGCCGTATGTGGAGCTAACCTGTCCAGTCTTTACGTTGAGCCTCCCGATCTGGCGGTTGTTGCGGCACACCCAAATTTCCGGCTGACTCGGTGGGCATGCAATCATAGCTATATCGGTCAGGTTGCTGCAGCAGGTCTTGTCCCTGTTGATCTTGTAGCGCAGCATCTTGCGATCATACTCGAGTGTCCAGAAGAACAACTGGTTGCGGCTCACAGACACAATTGTGCGCTCGTTCAGCCAATGCACGTCATTGTTCTTGCCTGGAAGGATTCAGGAAGTTAAAAAAAAGGAAATTATGATCATATTTCAACAAAGTTTACCTGCAGTTTTGCTCTTTGAGTAATTCTTTCCAGAGTGCCCTCCGGTGTTAGTGTTCCAGATCATCATCACCTCGTTCCCATCGATGGAGACCAGTAAAGTGTCCGGGCGAGGGGTGCTCACCGACAAAGAACTCAGGGTATCGGTGCTCCCTGACATAATCGACTTCAGATTCAGATTCGGTGGCTCAATCTTGGCCTGGGGCGTTTCAGGAGCATGCACCTCCGCCTGGTGATAGATGTGATGAAGAACTTCTCTCTTGGGCTTGGCGGCCTCGCCATCCACAATCACGGCATCGTCGCTGGACGAGCTGTATTGAATGACCTCCAGGCTGCCCTCGGTGGACTCGCTATTGTCCTGGTGGTTGCTAATGGTGCTGTCATCGCTCGGAGGATCTGTGGGCTTGGTGGGCTCACAGTCCTTCAGCGTCACCTCCACATGCTGAACATCGGCCTCCTGGCGATGGGCCAGCAGCTCAGCCTTCATGCTTTCGCATGCTTCTACATAATCCAAAACAGCAGCTCCCGATGGCTTCTCCAAGCCCACAAATTCTTCGCCGCAGACGTCGGACGACTTGCGACGGACAGCTGCTGGAGCTCCAAACTCGCCATCGAGATGATCAAAGTTATAGATGTCGAACAGATCATCTGAATCTGCCGCCTTGCTCTTGACTAACGGAGGAGGCTTTGGCTTGGGCTTTTCATCCTCTGTGCCGTTGCGGCTGCGCCATTTCTCTGGCTCGGCTTTTTCATCAATTTCCTCTTGGCAAGCGTTGACTTCTCGCCAGGCCAACCCACAAATGGCCGCTTTGTGGCCACTGAACTTGTACACGATGCTCATTTTTCGCAAGTCACAGACCATTACGCTACCCGCGGCGGTTCCTACGGCGAACAGATTGTCGTTGTAGGGCGAGCAGCGCAGCATAGTGAGCTGATGGTTGCGCGGCGCCAAAAATGTGGGCCGGCGGCAGTAGGTGTTAGAAGCCACACAGTAGATGACCAGGTCGCTGGCATCTACCGACAGAATATTTCCGTTGGCCAAATAGCTCATCAGCAAGGAACTGCTGGTGTGGTGGGCACCGCGCACATCTCGCGCCTCGTGTTGGTGCTGATGCGCCTTATGTCCGGTGACCGCCTCTCCGGAGTCGCAGTCCCAGACTTGGACACTAAGATCATCTCCGACTATAGCAAAGTGCTTACCTGGTTTGCCCCACAAGGGACTCACATCCAGGGCCAATATATTAATGCGCGTCGACATGGTTAGCACCTCGGGCCTTTCCTTGCCATTTGCCGGCGGTGCGGATATAAAATTGATGCACCGAATACCGGCGTACAGAAGGCTGCCATCAGGAACGGCCGCCGCCAAGGAAACCATTCCCGGCGGGGTAGGCACATTGTTGAACATCACCGAATTATTCATTGCATAGGAATCAAGTTTCGTCTCGAAGGATTCCCGCTAACATCCGGCGTCAAGATATTTCCTTTTCATCCAATGAGTGTTAGAAAGCTTGTCAAGCTTTGTGGTGCTGCCACTATTCGACGCTATGCCACTATGGTGAAGAATAATAATGTGTATACGATTTTTAACACAATATAAGAAATAAATAAAATTTTTGCTTTGTGAATTGGATTGCCACATATGTTTCAGAAGAGTGAAGTTGGTGTTTCACGAATTACTTAACAGATTACAATTATTTTACTAAAGAATTTAAAAATTGGTAATCTCCCGCTATTTAAAAGAAAACTATCCGGCAACACTCAGTTCGTGCAATTTTATAATACTGAATTGATTCCAAGTGAATGGCTATAAAGAAGAAGAACAATAACAACGTAAAAAGTGAAGAAAGGTCGAGAAAATTTTTTGACACTTGTATAGCTTAATAATCCGATAAACTATGGACGCAAAACGTGAGAGAAAGTCGTCTCTGGTATGTAGGATTAAAACCCTTCGAAAAAAATATGGAAATTCCTAAAGAAGTCTGATTTGTAGGCTCCACTTTCGCCATGTCCCATTCCCGATATTACCGATGACGATTTGGTTAGTATTTCGGTGCGAGACCTCAACCGGACGCTCAAGATGCGCGGCCTGAACCGCGAGGAGATCGTGCGGATGAAGCAACGGCGGCGCACGCTTAAGAATCGCGGATACGCCGCCAGCTGCCGTATCAAGAGGATTGAACAGAAAGACGAGCTGGAGACCAAGAAGTCGTACGAATGGACCGAGCTGGAGCAGATGCATGAGGACAACGAGCAAACTAGGCGTGAGGTGACCAACTGGAAGAACAAGTACAAGGCACTGCTGCAATTTGCTGTCCAGAACGATATTCCTATTCCTAGCGAGCTGGAGGGTTGCTGATTAAATTTGATTCGATTCGACGAAGGCGATCACATTCCTGTTCCAGTCAAAATTCTAATAAAACTAAATAAAAACACCTGTAACTAAAGTACAATAGCTGGAAAATTCCCCTGTAATAACAGTCGCAATAAACGAAATCCCAAAAAAACCCCCTTGACCCGCAGCGAACATAAACAAAGTACGTGTCGGCGTTTCGTGGCGGGTCCCAACTATCAAGAAGAAGAAATGGTTATGCATTTACCCCGATAGCATCGCTACGCGGACGTATTTATTGAAGTATTTCGAGGCTGGGGTAGCAGAGAAGCCGCCACCAGGTGTCCCGCAGACGAACCACAGGCCACCCTTCGCAGAAATCTCCGCCGCACCCCGCGTCTATCACATGGCATTTCGTTTCTTTGGTAAATCCCTCCTCTATGGTCTGCCGTTGGGCATTACCTTCCTGGATTGCGTGGGCTATGTGGCCAGGGTGGACGGTGAGTGATTGGGTAGCCGCACCACTATCGACACTGACCTGTTCTTTACAGGAATCTCGATGCAGCCTGCACTGAATCCGGTGGCCGATGAGCGGGACTACGTGTTCCTGCTCCGTTGGGGCACGCACAACAGCGCCGTTGAGCGGGGCGATATAATTTCCCTTATCTCACCGAAGGATCCCACCCAGAAGATCATAAAGCGGGTTGTGGGCTTGCAGGGCGACGTCGTCTCTACTCTGGGCTACAAACACGAGGTGGTGCGTGTGCCGGAAGGTCACTGTTGGGTAGAGGGCGACCACACGGGTCACTCACTAGACAGTAACACCTTCGGACCTGTGGCCCTGGGTCTGATGTCGGCGCGTGCGGTTGCCATTGTCTGGCCCCCGGTGCGCTGGCGTGTGCTGAAGAACGAGCTACCTCGACGAAGGAGACCCATCCAGGCGGCCAAGACCACTAGCAACTATTACAACTAGACTGACCCGATGGAGACCCTACTTCTAAGATAGTTCCAAACGTGTACATATGTACAGATCACCAAAATATATTTTATAATCCATTGTTGTGTTCGCGTAGACGCGGAAAGCTAGGATGTTCTAAATTAAAAATTATGCTAAAATGTAAATCGGCCTTGGTTCGTTTTCCAAAAGGGTCTTGCGGACAAATATTAAGAGGAGTCTACGATTATATCGGAAGAATAAGAAAAGATAACCTTAACAAGAATATTATAATTTATTTGAATGTAAGGCTTAGATTATAGAATCTTTCGAGCCTGAATGCCATATTCTTCCATTAGCATCAGAGTCGGCTTTAGTGCCACTCCTGCTCTTACAATCTCGTAGTATCCCGGAGTGGCCAGGTCGATCACTGTGGAGGCTAAGCGGCGTTCCTCCGTTAGACCGATACGGCCTGCGTCGAAAACAGCCCCCAAATGGGGCCACAGCGACTGAAACTCGGAGACCTGAAGACTGCTGGGTGCACTGGAACGGTTGGCGCTAGTTAGGGCCAATGGCTGATCCTTCCACACTGCGCACAAGTCGCTCATAAACTGAAAGTCGGGGATGCGAATGCCGATCTTGGAGGTGGTGGGATTAAGGAACCTGTTGCTCAAATAGGACGTCCGCTCGATCACGATGGTCAGGGGGCCCGGGAGCAAGCGAGTTAGCAGCTCGTCGCTGAGATGGGCGGCCTGACCAAAGCGACGGAGGGCGGCGATATTGTGCACGCAGATAGCAACAGGCTTGTGTTCGTCACGGCCCTTAATCTCGTAGAGCCGTTGGATGGCCTGTTCGTTGTTGGCGTCGCAGGCCAGACCATAAACTGTGTCTGTGGGCAGGGCTATTACCTCGCCATTAAGAAGGCATTGACGGGCTAATGGAATTGCCGTCTCATCACCGACAGGGCACACTGTCGTTTTCTTTTCCGCCATTTGGGACTGCATGGCGGTAGACTTTGGGTGGGATTGATGCCCCAGAAAGCTTCTGGAAAGCAGAGTCTGTAAACGGCGCATTAGTCTCGCCAGTTGTGACCGCACTCGTGGTTGCAGCACTTGTAGAAGGTGGTCATCGGCTCGTCCGCCGATCGGGTCTGCAGTTGCATGAAGTACGCCCTCTTGTGGCTGCACTGGGGGCACTCTGCGTCTGTAGAGTCCACGTTCTCCCACGCCGCCTTGCCGCCCAAGACGTGGTCAACCTCCTGTGGGGAGAAATAAAGCATATCGCGATCTTTAACTAAAATTGCATCATCGGAAAATGCCCGGGTACGTACCTTGAGGCGAGGAAAGGTCTTTGCGGAGATTTTTCGTTTGATCTTCGAAATGTACGGGCAGGTATTGCAGGTGAAGCGATGGCAGCTAGTGTCCTCCTCGATGATAAGTATGTTTCCGCACGATGGGCAGAAAAACAACATAATAATAATAATAAACAACGACACGAGCACGTTGAATATTTTCAGTGTGGCCGAGTGTGGTTCCCCTATTGTTGCGCCAGCCCTGAAGACTGACGATGTTGCCAGATAGATTTGTGCAAAAACTTTAATACTTTCCAACACTTGCTAAGTACGATGCCAAATAGGAGCAGTTCGCAAAGATAAACATTGAAGAAAAAAACTATTGACTAAAACTTAATTAAATAACCTTAAATCATAAATCAGTCAAGATGTCGGCGGATGTACGTGATATTCTGGACATGGAGCGGGCCAACACCCCCGAAATAACCAGGGATTCCTTCCTGGCCACAAAGAAGCGCAACTTCGAACGGTGAGATGTGATTTTTATCACGAAAAGCTTTATATTCATGCAATTTATGTTATTTGCAGGACAAAACATGCTTCTCGTCGTCCCGAGGGCATGCACCGCGAGGTGTTTGCCTTGCTCTACACAGACAAGAAGGATGCGCCACCTTTGTTGCCAACGGACACGGCCCTGGGCATTGGAGCCGGCTATAAGCAGACCAAGGCCCGCCTTGGCATGAAGAAGGTGCGCAAGTGGGAGTGGGCGCCATTCTCCAATCCGGCCCGAAACGATGCAGCCGTCTTCCATCACTGGAAACGGGTCAGCGACGATTCCGCAGACTACCCCTTTGCAAAATTCAACAAACAGCTAGAGATCCCTTCCTACACCATGACGGAGTACAATGCGCACTTGAGAAACAATATAAGCAACTGGAGCAAGGTCCAGACAGATCATCTGTTTGACTTGGCCAGACGGTAAGTCATTACTGCGAATTATTCCGAAATCCATCTAATGAACTCTGTTTATAGCTTTGACCTTCGGTTTATCGTGATGGCGGATCGCTGGAACCGGCAACACGGCGCCAAGACAGTGGAGGAATTGAAGGAGCGTTACTACGAGGTGGTGGCCTTATTAGCGAAGGCGAAAAATCAAGCTAGCGAAAAGAAAGTATTTGTTTACGATGCCGAGCACGAGCGGAGGCGCAAGGAGCAGCTGGAGAAGCTGTTCAAGCGCACCACCCAGCAGGTGGAGGAAGAGCAGATGCTCATTAACGAGATGAAAAAAATCGAGGCTAGGAAGAAGGAGCGCGAGCGGAAGACGCAGGATCTGCAAAAGCTCATTTCACAAGCAGATCAGCAGAACGAGCACGCATCCAACACACCTAGCACGCGCAAGTACGAAAAGAAGTTGCATAAAAAGAAGGTGCACCATCAACCGCGGCCCTCCAAAGTGGACTCTGTGGTGAATGCCATTGAAATCGGTAGCAGCGGCATAAAATTCGCAGACCTGAGGGGATCTGGGGTTTCGTTGCGTTCACAAAAGATGAAGTTGCCGGCGAATATTGGTCAGCGTAAGGTTAAGGCCCTTGAGCAGGCTATTCAGGAGTTTAAAGTTGGTAAGTTGGAGCGCTGAGCTATGTGTTTAATTACGCTAATTGGGTTGTTCTTCAAAGATCCCGCCCCACCGCCTACTGAGGAAATTTGCACATCCTTCAATGAGCTGCGTTCCGACATGGTGTTGCTATGCGAGCTGCGCACAGCCCTATCCACCTGTGTCTACGAGATGGAGAGCCTAAAGCACCAATACGAGGCTGCCTGTCCGGGCAAGGTGAGTCGTCTTCCCTTTGAAATTGCATGTGGATAATTGTGGCTAATTTCCGTTTCCCTAATCAACGCAGACGCTGAATATCCCGCCCTCACTGGTGCCCATCAAGACCGAAGCCCTGGACAATAGCACAAATTAATTAAGTTAACTCACCCGTTTCCAGTCAGTCAGATTCTCCAGACGCCGAAGTGTGTGCGGCGTGCTAATCATTGTAACCCGTTTTCCACTGTCCATATTTGAGCATTTGCGCTACTCCCAGTTCGCTTGGGAAATAAATGGATAAACAAGAAAATTGTTTTGCGGCACACTCAATGTGAAAAGCAAAGAGCCCACAGTGCAGGCCAACGGTGGCCAGCAGCAGATGCCATGTCGAGTGTGAGAACTTTTCCTCGGTCGGGCCGGTGATTTATTTCTGTGTGTTTTCCAGCTAGCAATGCTCGGTTAGTGGCTCCTATTTGGGTTAGGCTAGGCCACTCGATCGGGGATGCCGGGATCGGATCATTGGCGAACCAAAAAATAAAAAAAAAAAATCCAACTTGGCTGCGTTGATATGTTCAATTCCACGATGCCAGCCCACACAGTTTGGGTATTCGGATGCAGAGGCGGAGGCGGCTCATTCATCGGACCAGTATTTGTGAATGAACGAATGCTAAGGCAAACACAACACCCATACGAATGCAAACCGAAAACGAGTCGAGGGCCAAAGAAGCGGAAGGCGGGAAGGGAAACGCACATGAAATCATTGTTGGCGGGTCGACCTGACTTACCTGAGCGTAGGCCGCTCAGTCGAGTTTCAGACGTTGTCGGGTCCAGTTCGGTTAGTTGCTTGCGGTCGTTCTCCATCGCTTTGGCCAGTGTACTTCTGTGTGTCTGCTGCCTCCTCACCTGGTTGCACCTCAGCGCATGCAACGCAAACGCAAACAGAGTTCGTCTGAGCGGCAAATGTGAAAATGCAAATTTGACCAAACACGAGTGCCCAGTGGTATTACCCGCTTACTCTCCTACCTGACATACCGTCTTTGTCATCGCAATCATCCCTCGATCTCTGGGAATCCTGGCGGGGGGCAAGGCAAACGCAAACATCAACAGAGTCGGGCTCGCATCCGTTTCCGGTTCTTTCTGACGATTGTTCCCTACTTTTTCATGAATGAAATTCTTAATTCGTCTCTGCGTCGTTCGCGTCTCTGTGTCCTGAGTGCTGTGTTCTCTGTTCAGTGTGTGTTTTTGAGCCGCATGTCCAGTTCCAGTTCCAGTTCGAACTCCAGCGGTGTCAACTGACGGCCCAGCAATCGCATTGTTGCCGCTGACGGGGGGCGTCAGTGCACCGTAAAGATCTTTATCGCATTTTAAATACGTTCTCGGCCAGAAGGCAAGACCCGGTCGTCGTCAGGTCGTCAGGTAGACGGAAACCAAACATCGGCCCCGGCCAGGTTAATGCAGTTTATTGTTCTATGAACGCTGGGCCCGCACTGTTTAAGTTTCGCACGCTGATAAAGAGCCGAACCAGCCGCTCGAGGAACACTACCACCATCCGTGGACTTCGCCCGGCCAACAAAATGCTGCCAAAGCTCAGGTGAGTTAAGTCGAGGTTCTGCGATAATTTGATGGCAAATAAACATTTATGTGTGCTCTATATAATAGATACGCCCACAATGGTTTATGCGATAGAAATCAAGTTGGCTTTCGCATTAATGCGTTCGAGATACATTTGCTATTCGGGCTCACTCTCTCCCAGCGTGCCTTACAGAAATTAGCACCTTTAATCTAATAATAGCTGGGGAATCGATCGCGGACTTAATTCGGTCGGTGCCTGGGGGGCAGGTGAACGGTTGAGATTGGTTTGTAATGAACTCGTATTAAGATTCAAAGCCCTAATGATTTCAATGGGCTGGAAGTCATTTAACGCCGCCCAGTCGCCACGATCATGCCACTTCCGTTGTGTGTGTCGTGTGTGTCGGGGACGTTGTGTGTGTCTCAAATTTCATTTAATTTCACGGGCTAATGTTTTCCCAATTTCTGAATGAGAAGAGGGGGCAGGCCTAGAGCCTACGCACTCTAGAAAAAGGGAGACGGCGCGAAGGCAAGAAAACAAACCCACACACGGAGGCTCCACTGTCGCCGTGCTCAGTTTACGCGCAATTAGCGCTTTGTTGTTGATTCGCCTTCTCGTTCGCTCGCAGTCTTCCACCTTCTTGCCACTGCCGCCGCTGCAGCCACCTTCCTCCTCTAATTTCGTATAACCCATCATCATTTTCACAGCGGGCAGCTCTGGATCGTTGGGCTTAAGTTACTGCGACAATGAAACACGAATGGAAAAAAGTCTTTTTATTTTCATTTCATTTTCGAACGCCCACAACGACAATGAAAGCGGAGAAAAAGATTGTTCATAATTAATGTTTATATAATTTTTTTACTGCTTTACATGCGGCTCATTAGCCGCGCGGGTCGGCTCAGCTTGGATTCCTTCCTAGCTGGCTGTTCTTCTTGACTTGAGATGGCAGGTTCGTTGCCTAAGTCTTTTGTTTGCACTGCCAGCCGTGGGCGTCCGTTTGATGCGGGAAGCGAAGCGGGAAAAGAGATAAAGTATGAAACATTTGTGCTACTTACTTGCCGCTAGCTGTTGCTCCACAACCAGTTGCCAAATTTGGCAATGGGAGCGCAACACCAACAGCAAGAGCAACCAACAGCACCAGCTTGCTGCCCACTTACTTTTTTGTGACCAAAGTGTGTCGCCGTCATCGGAGACCATGAAGTTGAAGCTTAACTCCCCGAAGATGATGCCGCGCTTCTAATGACTAAGCATTGTCTTAGCGAAGGGAGCCATTTCGAGGGTTTTTATTTTGACTAGGCCCAGTATCCGTAGCGGTTTCTAGCAGTGCATGCATAACTTATACAGCCATTCACTTAGCATACTCCTCCGCAGCATCCGAGCAATTTCTTGCCATACAACTTTGGATGGCAGTGTCTCCGACTGCGGCTCCGTCTCCGACTCAGACTCAGGCTGTGGCATTTGCATTTGTGTGTGGGCAGATCAGCTCTCGGTGTGGGCTAGACCAAGATTTCTGGCACGCTCGCGTTTGTGTCTATAGGTAGTGTGTGGCATATGCCAACTGATGTCGCATAATATGTTTAATTTAGTTCATTTTCAAAAACCATTTCCGCGCCGCCACTCCAATCAGCTTTTCTCTCGTTTAATAATTTCCCTCAAAATTTCATTGATTTTTCGGCTCCCCAACGTTGATTTCCATTTTATAGATATTTGGAGTGTCTGGGCGCTGTGGCTCGGCGTGTCTTGGCTTTCGAAATGTCGCAATTAACAGTCGATTTAGCATTATGCACATGCGTTGGCGGGCTCCTCATGTCTCAACTGGCTCTCGGAGGTTTGCGTGGGCTGTGAACTTGGTTTTTAGGTTTATTGTTGGCTCTGCTCTCGCGGAGGTGTTCGTGGAGAGTGGGGAGCATTGAAGAATGTCAGACTTTCGGGTGAGGCAGCCCATGTATCTATCCATCCATCCATCCTGACTGACTGACTGACTGACTGATGCAATTTCGTCACAATGAGATTACCAATCAAATTAATAAATGCAGCTTAGTCATTATGTTAAAAAAATATTCCAATTTTAGCTTTTGTATTCTATTCACTCAGAATATACATATTCGCTTTAAATGAATGACCCAAAGGCAAGTGAAATGAGCTGCAGGAGCGGACGGACCAGAACCGAAACAGTGTCCATAAATTTCGAGCTCAAATTGCTTTTAGTTGTTCGAAGCGGCTGCCGTCGGCCATATTCATATGCAAATGGCATCCAAAGCGCACACACACTCCGTTTCAAAATACGGCTTGGGTCCGAACGAAAAATCCAATTTAATTTAAATTAAACACAGCCTGGACGAAGTTCATTGATGTTCATGTTCGGACCCAGGCTAAGGCCCATAAAATGCAAGATTTTGTAAATAAAATAAAACAAAAATGCAGCGCACAAAACCCGGCTTATGTTCATTCCAGTCAATGGTTTGTTTACCTTGCCCCAAGGGAAATCCGAATCGGCTTGGATCGGATCGGATCAGCCAACTGTTCCTCCCAGGTCCGCACATGTGTTTCTGGGTCCGATTGTTTGCGGATTGCCGGAATATAATTTAGCTGCTTACAATGCCAACAAAAGATACAACCTGAGACAGACTCTGGTTGGTCTTGCAGTTCGGCGATTGTTGTCACTTATCGGTTACTTTGGCTGCGATTTGGTTAATTGTTCGAGTGTCGGAGTGTCGGTACTTGGCCGATCAGCTGCCCACGTGTGAGTTCAATTAAAAAGTAATTTGCCCAACACAAGCACCGGGCCAAACAAAGGCGAAAACAAGCCAAGACGGCAGCGTACCACCCACACGTTTCCGTTGACTTGTTGTCGTCGGCCCACTCTCGAAAAAATAATACTCACTAATTTTATTTCTCGGATTTGTTGCTGGGATCTCGGATCTATATGTGAGTTTACACCAAAAACATGTTTGTCAGACCTGTGATTTGCAGTTCGCTGTGACAATATTACCAGCAATTTATCTAAAAAAAATGTATTTGGCAGATGAAGAGGAAATCCACTCAAGTGGCTTAAAATGAGGTTAATTGGAGTACAATTATCATGGCTAAAAAATTAATTATCTTAAAACTATTGACATCCCTCAAGTGAACTGTACTCTGATATTTCCATTTATTTGCTTGAATTATAGTTAGGGACTGCAGAAATATTATATTTCCCATCCATGTCAGAATACCAGCATCCGTTTCCGTCTTAGCCAACTCAAAAGGGACGAAGGGCCATCACAATTAAATCCTTTCGTCCGTCTTCCGACACTCCTTGCCCGGAGTTTCCTGTCCCCTTTGTGAGAATTCCCTTTTTTGTTGGTGTGCCTCGGCATGCTAAATACTTTGGGGCAGACCACAATTGTTGCTGCTGCTGCTGGTGGTGTGGCTACTTCAGTTTCGAAAGCAGCTGCTTCGGTTTGCCTGTTGTGTGCCGCACGTCTGTGGTTGCCACTTTGCGTGACATTTCGACCTTTGGCTGGCTTTGGCTTTGGCTGCAACTTTTACTATTTTCATGCTAGGCACAAATTTCATTTGCCACACACACACACACTCACTCACCGCATAGGAGCCTCATTTCGATGCGCTTTCAACACTCGAACAATGCCCCAGCAGGTTGATATTCAATATGGCCAAAAAAATAGCAAATTACAAATTTCGCCTTTGGCCTATGCAACATGTTGCTGTCATTATGATTAGCAACATGTTGCCTAATTTGCTGCCAGTTGCAGTTTTTCTGTCCGACATTTGCGGCTAAATTGGCTTAAAAAAATAAGTTATTTAGTTTATATGTAAATAATTAGCCAACTGTAATGCCCAGCTGACTCTCTAAATTGCTGTACAGTGGAAAAAAATTTGAATTAAAAGAGTAACTGGCATTCGCTGTCTTACCAACTTGATTACTTGCTGTTTTTTGGTTTATTTTCATTTATTTTTCAGTTGTTGCCAAAGAAGGCGAGCTAACAAAAACGCGTTTTTAATTGTTTGCTGGCTTATCGCATGTTTTGGCCATTTTGGGAGCGTAATAATGCTTAGCGAAGTAGAGAGGAATCAAAAAAACCTACAGCAAATAATAATATATTAAGTTTTCTTGTGTGCCAGTTAGCTACAAATTATGTGCGAAACATATAAGAATTCGATTTATTTTTTCTTTTCTAAATAACTGAAATTTTTAGCCAGTTTCTTAGTTTTGTTGCAACAAGATACTCATACTATAAGAGTGTAGATACTTGCAACACACACACGCTCACGCACACCCATTTGCGCGGCGTCATTATCATATCTTTGTATCTTTTGATCTTCATCCCAGCATCATCAGGCAGCCAAAGTCGTTCCGTTCCGTTCCGAAGAAAACGTTGCAATGCCGTTACCAACTCAAGCCATTTTCAGCCATTTGGCCAGGCTTACTCCCATAAACCATCTCATACGTACATCTGTATACCAGAGGGTTTATTTCCGTTGACGTGCCTTAATTTCAGTCGGTTTGGGACTGGCTCTTGCCACTTTTCTCCATCTCCTGGTTGTGTGTCTGCGATGGCGCTATAAACCGAGCGCCTACACAGTACACATTGCAGGTTTTGTAATCTTAGAGAAGGGGGGGTTACTATTTCGAAACAAGAGGGATTACTTGGACTTTGACTTGGATTTTTAGAATTAAATAGAAATCAAGAAAAATTAATCTAAGACCGTTTCTTGCGTGAAATTTTATTGCCAAACTTTCTTGATAAAAATTCTTTAAAAGATAAGATGAGTTCCAAGAACCTAAAAGTCAACTGCTGCTAAATCAAATATTTAAACTTTAGTACGATATAGCTCATTAAAAAAAGAGTAATTTAAATTCGTTTCCTGCGTCTTGCGTTGTGTGGGAGCTGGCCAGATAAATAATCAACTCGAAACTGGCGTCTCAAGTCTGCACACAGAAAGGTGATGGCGACGGCTGCCTTTGGTTTTCTTTCCGATTCAGAGGCCTTCCGTGTCCCTCTGTTCCTCCTCTCCTGCACCTGGTTTAGGCCAGGTATCTTGATTAGCGATTCCGTGCTAAGTTGTGGCCAAACAGGCGCTGAGCAGGCAGCTAGTTGGCCAAAACCGATTGATGTCTTGTGTGTTTCATCGCCCTGCTGAGTCACCGCGGTGGCGACAGGTCAGCGTCGGGATCCGGACCAGGATGGGGGAGTGAGGCGTGGCATTTAATGCATAATTAGCCACACAGAGGATGGGAAAAAGCCAAAAGAAGTGACGCAGTGAGGGAGTGCGGAGCGGAAATCAAAGGCACTCAAACGTTTCGAATCGGTGACCAGTTAGCGTGACAGGGGGCGGAGTTGAGAGGGACGACAGTGGCTGAGCTGCATTTTAAAATATATTTTTATTGTTCAGGATGTGGCCGGTGTCTGGGCAATGGTCAACGCAACACAACACTTCATGTCGGTAAAGTGCTACACAGACAAAAAAGATAGAGGATTTCGGAAGAGGGAAGGCTGTATAAGATTCCAAATGGATTATATTTCTCTCTGTGCAGAATAAACTGATTTATTTTGACCACGTACATATGCAAAACGCATTCTAATGGAACCGGCAAGCCAATGCTTCCTCTGCCCATGTTTCGGCCATTGTAGTTTTCAGTTAGCAGTTACGCTCTGATTTTTGAGCCTCCACCTGTTAGTGTTATTGTTTGCATTCGGGCTTTGCTGGTAACGCTTCCCTGATGCCCTGCGGTGCGTTGATCGCAATAACCATTGTTGCCCCGAAACGGAAACGCCGCCTTTTGTTGAGCGGAAATGCAAAATGATATTGTTCAGCGGCAAGAACCTTCCATCCAGCAGTCCAACATATGATTGCCATTGCCTTTGAATGGGTGTCGGATTGCAACGTGTTGCATTGCCGCTATCAATTACCCCCAGTCCCAGTCGCCGTGTCAGTGGAAAGTGCCATCAAGATCCCCAACGCCCAAACAAAAAGTCAGATCGCCCACTTGAAAGCCCTCAGCTTGTGCATTTGAGTCTGGAGCCCAGCAAGCAATTATGCAAAGTATTCACATATGTATATACATCTCGAAGGTTAGACAACTATGGGTATAGAGTGGGTATCTAGCCCAGTCCGAGGAAACCGCGAGGCGTCCGAAGGGGTGACAGGCTTCGAAGGTTGCATGCCACACGTAGATTGGGTAGATTCTGGGGATTGCGACAGAAGCGGTCCCAGCCCTTCCAGTATTTGAAGCCCTCTCGTTCCTGGATCATCTTGGCACAGGCGATGTCGTCTCCAATGTCATCATTTGAAAAGTCTTGAAAATAATAAAATAAAATAAGAAAAATGAAATAGTGGAAAAAATTTGAAAGGATATTTTTAAGCATATTTTAAATGAGTAAACACAATACTGGAGGCGCAGATCACAAAATGATACTTTATATTCAGATCGGATATAAATTGGCAGAGCTATGCAGATCGGAAGGAGGAAAAATGGGGTAATTCAGAAAATCAACATTTTCATAGGGGTACCCCTTGAAAAAATTCGAAAAATTTTAAAACGATATTAAAGACATATTTTAAATGAGGAAACACAGTACTGGAGGCGCAGATCACAAAATGGTACTTTATATTCAGATCGGATATAAATTGGCAGAGCTATGCAGATCGGAAGGAGAAAAATGGGGTAATTCAGAAAATCAACATTTTCATAGGGGTACCCCTTGAAAAAATTCGAAAAATTTTAAAACGATATTAAAGACATATTTTAAATGAGGAAACACAGTACTGGAGGCGCAGATCACAAAATGATACTTTATATTCAGATCGGATATAAATTGGCAGAGCTATGCAGATCGGAAGGAGGAAAAATGGGGTAATTCAGAAAATCAACATTTTCATACGGGTACCCCTGCAAAAATTCGAAAAATTTTAAAACGATATTAAAGACATATTTTAAATGAGAAAACACAGTACTGGAGGCGCAGATCACAAAGTGGTACTTTATATTCAGATCGGATATAAATTGGCAGAGCTATGCAGATCGGAAGGAGGAAAAATGGGGTAATTCAGAAAATCAACATTTTCATACGGGTACCCCTGCAAAAATTCGAAAAATTTTAAAACGATATTAAAGACATATTTTAAATGAGAAAACACAGTACTGGAGGCGCAGATCACAAAATGGTACTTTATATTCAGATCGGATAGAAATTGGCAGAGCTATGCAGATCGGAAGGAGGAAAAATGGGGTATTTCAGAAAATCAACATTTTCATAGGGGTACCCCTTGAAAAAAATCGAAAAATTTTAAAACGATTATTAAGACATATTTTAAATAAGGAAACACAGTACTAGAGGCGCAGATCACAAAATGGTACTTTATAAAGAGATCGGATATAAATTGGCAGAGCTATGCAGATCGGAAGGAGGAAAAATGGGGTAATTCAGAAAATCAAAATTTTCATAGGGGTACCCCTTGAAAAAATTCGAAAAATTTTAAAACGATTATTAAGACATATTTTAAATGAGAAAACACAGTACTGGAGGCGCAGATCACAAAATGGTACTTTTTATTCAGATCGGATATAAATTGGCAGAGCTATGCAGATTGGAAGGAGGAAAAATGGGGTATTTCAGAAAATCAACATTTTCATAGGGTACCCCTTGAAAAAATTCGAAAAATTTTAAAACGATATTAAAGACATATTTTAAATGGGAAAACATGGTACTGGAGGCGCAGATCACAAAATGGTACTTTATAAAGAGATCGGATATAAATTGGCAGAGCTATGCAGATCGGAAGGAGGAAAAATGGGGTATTTCAGAAAATCCACATTTTCATAGGGGTGCAAAAATTCGAAAAATTTTAAAACAATATTAAAGACATACTTTAAATGAGAAAACACAGTTCTGGAGGCGCAGATCACAAAATGGTACTTCATATTTAAATCGGATATAAATTGGCAGAGCTATGCACTTCGTGAGGAGGAAATATGGATAAATTAGGAAATAAAATATTTAACTTTAGAAACCCACCTTCGCACTTTTTATTGCATTGTCCTCCTTTTCGTCCTTCAGAGCAATAATCCCTGCTATTTATTTGGAACAGACCGTAGTTTTTGCTATTGTTTTCCTTTGTGCTGATCTTGCTGGTGTCCAGATAACTTTCATGCTCCACCAAGCATATCCCTTTAGGGAGGTCTTTTACTTTTAAACTTTGTTTCGTTTTAAAATATACTCACAGTTTGAAAGAAAAGTCTTGTCAAAGTTATAGTTCTCCACCAGCACCCGAGTGAGTTCACAGCGCTGATATTTCTTTGTTTCCACTTGCTCCAATCCCAGAAATAGGATGGACACTGGAAACAACCACAGCCATAGAGCATTCATTTTCAGCACAACTGAAAGCGAGAACTTTGTTTATTTAGATTGAAGTGTTTTTTATGCAAATTTCCTCATCACATATGGACAGGCTCGACCCGTCCCGCGAAAAGCTAAACTTTTGAATAATTTGTTGGTTCTTTTAAATGCAATTTCCTACTTGATGGGTTAAGAACCTGAATACCCACTGTGTATACTTTCACAGTTTCATGGATTTTCACAGATTCCCATGGAATTCATGGACCTCTTTTTTTTTAGCACCAAACAAGAACCCATCAATAGTGGCTAATGATGATCACACAAACAAATAGCCATAAATTATGGCTTTGTTTACTCCCACAAGATTCTGTGGCCTTGGCGAAATTTTGTATCCAGTTGCTTGTTAGTAAACATACAGCTTTATCAATTATATTATGTCTAGATAAAATTTCCCTTTATGACTTCTCAGTGTTCCTACAATATAATGTGGTAGGCTTTTTATAGTCTCGTTTTAGTATGATAATATTTTCAAGCTAAATAATTACCATACATTCGATATGGCAATTGTGTTTAAGCGATTTCAGTTAGTTAATATGTGTAATTGGTTCCGCCGAACTGGTAATATAACTTTTACTGGCAGTACATCAAAAACAATAACATATTCAAATGTGTTTCCACCACACTATCAAGGCTTTTCAAGGTTGCCAAAAAGTAAGCAACCCAAGAATCGGCGATTGATCATTAAAATATACTAATATATTCGAGTACACGTTTCACTTTTAGTTTGATTTGCATGAAAAATAATATGTAATAATGGGATTGAGTTACTTCCTCCGACAGAACACTTTTACTTGAGCAAACTGTTTGTTTACTTTGTTTGCTTGATTATCGTGAAACAACAGCGTCTCTGGCAGCAGGAAACGGGTTTGTGGAGAGGAGCAGAAGTATCTGGGCCTACAAATTGCGGGAACTGAGATACAGAGTATCTGTATCTTCTTACCTACCGCGTTTCGTGGGTCTCGTTCTGCGTTGATGGCGTGCTTTAAATTATCATTTGCCCAGCCGATCGCTAGCTCGCCGGTGCGACGCAGTTGACCCGAGTTTAAGTACTGACTGCCTAGGTATTTCTCAGATACAATTGCGCCTCTATTCGCGGCTCAATCGAGGAAATTCTCTCCCAAAACGCTCCAAAACGGTGAGCACGACGACGGCTGATAAAGTTGATAAGGCATCATCGGCACGCTGTCACGGTTGACTTGTTGGCTGAACTCTCTAATATAGAAATATATGATGATTTCGGTCCAGTCTAGATCTTTTTGTGGGGTATTTCCCATGCAGGTAAGGGTAGAATTATTAGCTTCCAGCAATTGCATAACGCTTCTGATAAAAAAGTACTTTAGTCATTAACTGATCAAGTTCAATAACCTCATTAAAAGTTCATATTACGAGGTGTTTAATATGAAATTTTTTAAATAAATAAACCTTTTAGTAATGTAAAAACATGCATAATGAAAGAAGATTAAGAATATACATAATATAATATGTATATGCTTTCGGAATTAAAATGAAAAATAATATATTTTTTATTAATAAAATATCATAAATCCCAAAGCAATCGTTTTCTTTAAAGTTCTAAAGAATCACCCGATGTCAGACCTGGGAAACAAACCAAAGCCTTGTCTTTTTTTCAGAATTGATATCAGCGATTTCTCCGAAAATATTTATATTATTTATAAACAAATAAAAACAATATACTGTGGGGTATAATAACTTAAATTTTATTGGATTTAGTTTCTATGCATAGAGTTAATTAAGGCTAAGAGCCAGTCGGGAGAAGTCCTAGCAGCGCGATACGTCGGGCAGCGTACGCCCACGACATTTGCTCATCCACCCGGGCCAGGCCTGGAATCCATGACGGTTGAAGATCTGCATGGCGCAGCGCGAGTCATCCGAGATCTCGTCGTTCAGGAACTCTGAAAATAAAAACATTTTTATATCTGCAATTTTCGTGGGCGAATCGGGAGTTGTGACTCACCTTCGCATTTGATGTTGCAGATGCCACCGCGACGACCTTTGCGACACCAGTTTTTGCTGTTTATCTGTAGGTTGGCGGTTTATTTTAATGGTTTCAAAAAAAAGTTGGAAGGTTTGGGTTAACCCACCTGAAAAAGCCCATAGCTGACGCTCTGGTTGGGCAACTGCATGGATTTGGAGGTACTGCGTCCGCTTTCCGACTCCACCAGACACACCCCTGTCAAAAAAATATCATGAATATAAAATGTATCCTAAGGATTAGAAATCCTTCAGGTAGAATCGATAAAATACTCACAGTTGGAAAGGTAACTCCGGGGAAAATCATGGCGCAGCAGCTCCTTTGCCAATTGGCATCGAGTCAGTAACTTGGATTCCGTCTCCCATTGCGAAAGCAGGAGGAGATTCAGCACCAGGATGAGGGCTACTCCCTTGGGCAAATGGCTAGCCATAATGGGATGCTGGCGATGAAGGGATGGACTGCAAAAGGACCACTGCTAATCCTGTATGGGTTTGAGGTCTTAGAGCGCTTCCTCCACGGCAACTGCAACGTCTAGGCACTTTGCTGCGGAATTATTTGAATGAAACTAGATGCGTAGCTCCCGAATTCTGGGTTTTTAAAGCCTCGTACGCAGTTTTTTTTCCTATGGGTGTGGGAGGCGACACTCGGGATCGACCTGGTGACATGAAAAATATGTAGAGGGCATTCTACGAGTTGTGGTTTCCCAGACATGTATTAACTTAGAATATGGATTAATTACAAAAACATAAGATGTTATCAAGGGGGCACTGTAAAGTAGTAATGTGTTTGAAAGTTTTTCCTGATAATAATTCACGGAAAACCCCTCTCCTTTTGTCTCTCAGTGTATTCAATAAATCGCTTTGATTGCGTTAAGCTCTAAATTGGCAAATTGTCTTGCAGAGATAGAGATAACAATGGGAATCTTTAGCCCGAAACGCATCCACTGGATACTGTGGATGCAGTCGCGTCTGTGTGGGCTTTTGTGTGTCACAGTGTCAGTGACAACTGCGGCTTGACCTAAAAACGCACGATCTGGTGATGTGCGAGGTGCGAGGAGTGGATCCCTCTCGGTGTCCGAGTGTTTTCGCTTTCAATTCCCATTCAACTAATTTCCATGAAAATTTTTCCACTTCCAGCAGCCCGCTGATCATCCTCCTGTTGCTGTCTGGCCTGACAGCGGCCAATGAACTCAAGGATCTGCTAGAGGACAGCACATCCCCCACCACCAGCAGCAGTAGCAGCTCTCCCACACCACCAACCTCCATCACACCCACATCTCCCGCCGCCTATGTAGTATCTGCAGCTGCGGTTGCTGTGCCTGCCCCCTCGGCTACTGGGAAGGCCAAGTTGAAGGGCTCCTCGGGGAAGTACGTCAACAAGAGCTCGCCCAGGAAGCGCAAGGCGGAGCAGGTGTCGTCGCTTCCACTTCCCGTGGACGATGGGCTCACCGAGTGGAAGTGCCCCAACATCACCGGCACCCGGAATGCGGAAATCGAGTGCGGATGCGACCTGCCACACACGCTGAGGTGTAACATTGATCTGCATGGATTGCTGGTAAGCTTTTTCATATGGATATTTGATTTCCTTAAGATCTTTGAGGGCTAGCGAGTGTATTCTTACCTCTGGAAGGTGTTGTTAAGAATTCTTTATAAAAATTGTAATTTATTTATACTTTTCAGATCCTGGCAGAGCGACTGCGCACATCCCCGTACTCCATTTCCTTGCTGGACTGCTCTTTGCGGAATGTTTCCTTCCTGAGCGACGCCAAAATCTTTGATGGCGTTTCGCTGCATGGACTGGTTATCTCCTCCGGCGAAATCAAGCGGGTTCACAAGTCCGCCTTCCTGGGAATACACGGCCCTCTGCAGGCACTGGGTCTTCCCGGAAACGCCCTGATGAGTGTGCCTTGGAATGCTCTGTCCACTTTGGGCTCCCTGGAACGACTGGATCTAGCCAATAATAAGATCAAGGCCTTGGGCACAGCCGACTTTGTGGGTCTGGGCAACCTGGTTTACCTTGAACTGAGCAACAACCAGATATCCAGCATTTCCCAGAGAACGTTTGTCAACCTGCGGAAGCTGGAGGTACTGAAGCTGGGTGGGAATCGCCTCGGCGACTATCCTCAGAGCTTGAGGTCACTGAGTCAGTGCCTGAGCCTAAGGCAGTTGGATCTGACGGCCAATAATCTGAATGCTCCGCTGAGCGACCAAACGCTTCCCGGAATGAGAAACCTGGAGAGCCTGAATCTCAATCGGAACTTGATAAAAAGCATCCAGAACAAGGCTTTGGCGAACTTTTCGCGCCTGATAAACCTTTCCCTTCGTCACAACCAGATAGATGTCCTGCAGGACCATGCCTTCTATGGGCTGGGTGCCCTGGACTCCCTGGACCTCAGCTACAATGGAATCGTGGCCATTTCCAGTGCCTCCCTGCAGCATTTGACGCGTCTCACAGTCCTGGACCTGACCCACAATTTCCTTCGGGCTCTGACTTCGGATCTGATTGCCCCACTACCATCACTGAGAGAACTACGATTGGCGGGAAACGACATATCCATTGTGGCACGCAACGCCATGGACGGAGCCCGGGAGCTGCAGAGCCTTCAGATGCAGGAGAATCCTCTTTCATGCGACTGCAGCATCCGACCATTCGCCGAGTGGCTCCAGGAGTCCCAGTTGCACTCTGCCCTCTCGGCATCCTGCGTCACGCCCCCTCGACTCGAGGGAGCTCCTCTCCTGCAAGTTCCCGTTGAAACCTTAAGCTGCGACATGGACAACGTGGAGAAGGACAATGCCAACATAATGCAGCACCTGGAAACATTGGCCAAGCCGAATCAATCATCGCCTGTCAATTATTTATCTGAAGAGGTAGGTTTATGAGGATTCTAGTCATCTAAACGTCAGTTTAACCCATTTATATCTTGTAGATTATTCTACACGAGTTGCACTATTCGGCGGACTATGGTCTGATCCTGACTTGGCTCTTGAACCTCAGCAAAAAGGACTATATGTGTGATGCCATCTTCGTCTACAAGGAACAGAAAATTAACGAGCTGCTTATAGACAACTCTCCGGTAAGAGAACCCTTATAAGTTTTAAGTATTTGGAGTCTAACAATTTTGTATCCTTCAGATTCATTGTGAAAGCAAAATAGTCGATGGACAGAACACGGTCAGTGTCATTGTGCCGGACAGCTCATCCCTGGAAATTGGAGAAAGGTCAGTCCGATATTTGGAATCAAGTTAAAATTTTTACTAATCTGCTCATTATACTTTAGCTATCGGTTTTGCCTGGTTATGGTGCAGGAGCAGAATCCCAAGGCGGAGTTGAACATCGGTTGCTCCAACATCACCCAGTTGCAACTAAGCAGTCCGGGATCTGTTCCGGTGTCGCGTCAGTATCAAAGACCTCCCTATTACACTTCTAATGAACTGAGGCCGGAACTGGGACATGACGCAGGTGAGGATTACGAGCTGAATCAGCGGCGCTTCAACTCCATGGTGGGCAGTCAACAGCAGCAGACGCATCCACATCCCCATCCGCATCCGCAGTCCACGATGTTGCACAGTTACACAGTGATCGATTCGCTGAACAAGAGTTTCCTGCCGGGTCTGGGCCTGGGTGTGCTGGTCACCTCGGTGTTGGTACTCATCTGGGGAGCCACCCGCATCCGCCAGAACAATAGCGCCAATGGCGGGGGCAGCGGCAGGGGCAACGACAGTGTCGGCAGCAACAGCAGTGGCATGCACAACAACAACAACAACAGCAGACCGGGCACTCCAACGGCCACCACCTGCTACGCTGCCTCGGATCATATAGCCCGTCTGGCGGACGCAGAGAACGGATCACGGTACCTCAAGCTGCAGGCCACCACGAGCCTGTGAAGCAGCAACATGCAACAGCGGGGGAATGTTGCACCTGCCCACTCAATGAACCATGTGATAGTACAGTGGCAACTGTACCGACTTGCGTAGTTATAGACCATAGAAGCTAGTTCTAAGCTCCAATGCACTAATCCAAATAGTTGGCCCACACTAACCCATTTGTGCCATAAGTTAATCGATACGTAAGATTCCCATAAATATAAATGAACTATACGAATTTGTGGTCAGAATAATAGAATTAAATGATTAAATTATAAATATTTTTTAAATAGATTTCAATAAAACAAGAAGTATATAGTCTATTTATTCGATTTCTCTTGAAAATAGTATCCTTTTTTTGACCGTGGAAGTATTATTCTGACCACAATCGTATGAGTTCCCTCATCTGGTAGACCCTTTCGGGTCTCATCCAGAACTTTTCTTAAGTCTACGCCTACTTTTTATTAGATACGGAATTTGTAAGTCATGAACCGTTAGTACGTAAGGCTTAAATAATTTATTAACCAATTCCAAGCACACACTACAAAAGAGAAACATAACCACAAGTAAAAATAAAATGTGAAAAAGTAGAGGTCTGTTGCATTTTGGGCAGGAGGTGGCCGGTCCTAAGGTCAATTGGGCAATTTTTCGACTCTATTTTTAGAGTCGGAGAATTACGAAACAGCCGCATAATGCTAAGTGGGCTATTAACCCCCCAACGGTGACGTCACGCCACGGACATCACGATAGCATTCAACTAAATTAGTTAATTTGCCAAGGAAATGAGCTCACATTCATGTAGCTCTTCGGGGATTATAACTCCACACATGCCAGCCCTGGCATGGGTAGTCCTGTCCTATACAGGGTAACCCGTTGTGGGGCTTATCAATCCTTTGCGGTACTTATCGACTTAATGGGAATTTTTAATGCCTATCCAGAAATCAATGTTGGCAAACACCATACCAGACTTGGAGCCCTTTAGCCACCCCCTATTTCCATTCTATGACCATTTGCAATGCATCCACGCCTTCGCCTTCAAGGGTGCCGCCTCCCACTTGTTTCAGCTCCGGGTCTGTTGTGGCCATCCGCTGATATGGCGACGGAACTCGTCGACCGGCCGAACGGTCGCCACACTCAGGCTGGCTGGCTAGCTGGGTCAGTTGTTTTGTGCCAGGCCGTCGGTCGACTACAATGTCCACTCGACGCCGACAACGTGACAGCATTTATCGATTTTTGGCACCCCCAGCGGAGCGCTAGGTGTTGTCGAGGAAAAAAGCTCCTGCCCGCAGACTACAGACCCACTGGGTCGGACACACGCCGTTCCCATGAGTATGCTGGGTTTTGTGTATCTGGTTCTTATCCTGGGCTGGATACTGATCGTCCTGTTTCTCAAGTGCAAAAAGTCCTTGGCAGCTCCGTTTCGGTTTGGCGAGAACTACACCGATGCCATCGCAGGTACAGCCAGCATTTTAATTCAAAATAGAGTCATTTTTTTAATTTTCAAAAGAGATTTTAATCACATCCACTTAGGATAGTTGGGGTTATTTGCTCCATGCAATTATAATAAATTGCTTTTTAATTTTCAGTGATATTTATCTATTTAAAAGGTTAATGAAAGCATATTGGGATATATATCTTTGACCTTTCATATTCAAGTAACACCTCATCCCTTCCACAGATCGTCGTCCTTCGGTGCATGTCATTCAACTGCAGCATGATGATGTGGAGCGGGAAGATCACTACTTGGACAACTTTCACCGGAACACTGAGAACCTCCAACGCTACTCGCACCGTTCCCAACGCTCCACCCTCGAGGAGCGCACCATCGAGCGTACCTATCCCACGGATGCGGTTATCAATCCAGCCTACATGCATGACGAGGACTACATAATAAATGGTGAGTTTGACTTGATGGATTTAATCAAAGCCATATAATCGTGTATACTTTCCAAAGCTCCACCACCGTCGTACGAAGAGGTGATGCGACAGCCCCAAGTCTATCCCCAGGTGAGGCACAACAACCACAAAGCCAGCGACGCCAATATTTAGCCCCGAAGGTTGGAAAGGTCATCGAACTGTATATAGAGATATAGTTTGTCTTGTTCAGCTGTGATTTACAGATACATTTTTGGTTTCCTTTTTATTTCACTTGCACCTAACATAACATAATCAATTCGATTGATTGAACTTAGGCGGCCATCGCCGTCTTGCACAGCGAATAATGGTAGTTTACATAAAAAATGTACAAAATGATTTACATAAGTATGATTAATAGTTATGATTAATGATTACAAACAAACAGTCAGTCCACGTGTGCAATTGTTACAGATTGTAATTGTAAATAAAGTAAAATGAATACTAAAAAAAAATGTGTACAAAAGTAAAACAACTCCCTCTATCTTTTGGCTAAATTAAGTCACTAAATTCGATATACTCGTTCATACAAACACGATTGTTTGTACAAATTGTTAAATAAATGTGTTCCAACGTGGCTCAGTGTATTCACAGTTCTAATGACTTCAGTTTTGGCTCTTGCCTTTGGCTATCTATGGGAGCACCTTATGAACGCTGTGCATCTGGATGAAGGCCTCCAATTGTGTGGGAATAAGACCCTTAAAGTCCAGCCGGTTGGTGGCGATGGTGCGGGCCGACAGACACTTAAGGCTGGTGTGTGCATTCTGGTATCCATGCAGCAGGTTAGCCAGGGCAGCTAAAATCGATATATGTCAATTAGGGTCGAAAGATAATTTCCATCCACTTACGTTGCTTGCAGGCCGTGGCCGCCGTCTGACCCGCTGCATTCACGGCATCCAGATGGGCTCCTGCCTGAACGAATAGTTGCAGAATGCGCGCCATCTCTGCCTGGCGATCCTGGATGGTGTTTACCTTGGTCACCAATATATGAAGAGGAGTATTGCGGGCGGAGTCTACGGCAACAACCGAGGCCCCACAGTGCACTAGAACCACAGCAGTCGCATAGCAGGGAAATCTACAAAGAGTTCATCACAAAGTGTCCTTTTTTGTTTCCAAACAAGCACCTTACCTGCACATTTCGTTCGTGTAGAACTCGTCTACGGGCATTACTCCGTTGACTGCCAGGTGGAGCAGTGTCTGACCGTCCTGCAGTCTAGTGTCGTTCTGTATGAACTTGCGCACAACCAGGAAGAGTTCCTGGATCTGCTCCTCGTTAATGTCCTGGTCCGTCTTGCGACGCGCCAGGTGCGTGACGATTTTGATCAGATAGAGGGCTGTGATGCAGTTTTGATTGTTTTGATCTTGGTAGATGCTAGCGCACTTGACCGGCTTGGCTTCAGAGATGTTGAATTTGTTGTTCTGAATCTCTTGTTGGCATTTGGCCAGAACGGGCAGGACGTGATCCAGAGTGAGGGTGTGGTTCTCCACGCGAAGAATTTGTGCGAACAGCTGGGCGAATCGCAGGAGATCCCGATCCACAGAAACCTAGAAACGCGTTGTAAAATTAGTTTTCAGCATAAATTGAATTTTTCGGTTCTATTTACGTTGTTCCGCATTCGCAGATCGATGGCGTAGTTCCACAGCACTTGGCACTGGCTAAAACGGCCTTGGTCGGCCATCACAGCTCCTCGGTAGACGATGGCCTGCGGTAGCTCTGGATTGTTACGCCCGAGGATACGCTCTCTGATGGCCAGAGACTCCATGTGGATGGAGTGGTGATTAAGCTTAATGGCATTCAGTTCAGGAAGGTTTTCAGTCTCAAACCAATTGTCGTACGCAGGCACGGGAGGTTGCACTTTCTTACGGATCACGCCACGGGGATCACTGTACCGCATTTGCATGGCTCTTAGAAGGTAGGCGTACGCTTTGTTGATGTCGTACTTGGTTTTGTCATTGGCGTATGTGGCTCCCAGCAATTCCAGTGCTGCGATCTGCTCCTCGGGACTCATCAGGCCAGGTCGCTGAATGAAAGCCTCGAGAACTTCCTCGTGCAGCCGCTCGGCAGCTTGCAAGGCGGGGGTTATACCCAACTCGTTCTTTTTAAGTGTAGCACCGTGGTCCATTAGCGACACAACTACATCTAGGTGCCCGCTTTCGGCTGCATAATGCAAGGCAGTGGCTCCACACAGGGCCTGGTCGTTGGGTCGGGATCCGTTCTGCAGCAGGGTGTTGACCACCAAGTGGTGACCCTTGTAGGCTGCGATCATTAGGGTGTTGTTGTTGAACAGGTTCGTGGCATTCACATCAGCACCGTGCTCGATCAGGAACTCGACTATGTCCAGGCGTCCTAAAAAGGGTGGTATTTCATTACAAAAAAATCAGAAAATGTCCTTAGAATCTTACCTTCATAGCAGGCTGCTCTTAGTGGCGACGACTGCGCCTTTGTGTTATGATTTATTGAAGCCCCAGCCTGGACCAACAGCTTGACGATCTGGAGATGCCCCATTCCAGCAGCAACCCAGAGAGCGGTGGCTCCGTAGACAATCATGCCATCGAAGATGACATTACACTCCCGCTCTAGGTCCACGTCGTAGTGAGAAAGCAGGGTCTTGACGAATTTCACATTGCCACTCATTGCCGCCATTGTCAGTGGGGTGAGCGACTGCGAATCCGGCTGATCGAAATTCTGGGGGAAATACAAAATACGAAAAACATCGAGCATTAGAAATCAAAACTTATGATGTGCGTGCGCAGCCGTTTCACAGTCAAGGTTGGACGAAAATAGTGCGTCGCGCTAAATGAAATGTAAGGTATAAATCTTGGGGGAAAAACGTGCACAGGCGGACCGATTTCTTTGTTCGATTTACAAGGGGAATATCGGCGAAAACAGCATCCAGGCTGGCCAAAGTCTATAAAAGTGGCAATTGCGTTGTGGCCTCGGAAACAACATCTGGGTCAAGAAACTGCTGGGATGCGAAGAGTACTAATTGGCAAAGAAATGCAACGAATGCAAGATTTATGAAAATGGTTCTATTGTTTTAGGATAAACGCATTTAAGTAGAGCGGATGCACTTCAAAGATGCATGTCCTTTGGGTGGTGACATATTTTTCTGTATCCTCTGAAAGCGTATACAGTTTTAAAGAAAAAGGTTTCACGTTTCTGTCGCCCAATTAGATGCCATTCATTATTAATACTAATTACACATCATTCTTTTAACTTTTCACTGCCCACTCACCGCCGGATACGTGATGTAGCTGGTAACAGGCAGAGTATCATTGGCTCCACGCCAGAATCCAGCTCCTGGCCAGGCGGATTCATACCAGCGTTTGCGAGTGCTGTAATTTGGGGGAAAATGTGAACCAGGTACTGGGAGAAACTAATCTATCTATTACCGATACAGCTCCGCGTGCATAGTCTGAATCCTGAATATTAACTGGCAGCTGGCAGGACGAGCTCTGAAAAACTCGATAAAACTTCGCCAGGACCTCGATTCCCAACCCTAAGTTTTGCATTTTGGGGGTTGAATTGGAACGCAAGGAGAGTCAGAGCCTGCGCAGCCACGAACAGCTGTTTACGGAGAGGTCCTTGAGGGTTTGTTTACCGCCCGCAGCTGTTGGCCCGAATTCCTGAAAGCCATCGCTGCACTGAGAGGACATCAAAGGGTGGAATTTGAAGCGGGAGTCAACCGCATTCCTGTTAATCTTCCACCGAAATTCATCGACGACTGCCGCCCCCATTAACATGAACAAGAGCTCCGGTTGCATTATTTATGGGAACCTTGATTCTCCGCAACGGAGTTCGATTAGATTACAAGGCAGCGCCTGAGGTGTCGAATATATTCGCTTATAAACAAATTAATAAACGCACATTTAATATTTCAGGAAACAGCTAAGCATTCGGCCTGGCATCAGGCCAATTCCGTGTCCAGAGAGACACGCCACTCATGAGTAATTGGTTAAAGATGGCCCACCAGTGGCGGCCATCCACTTGATAGTCAATCGAATGTGACAGTGACTCTGTGGACCTTAAATAGGGTTTGGAGGTGTATCACATGGGGAATCGTTTTGAAAAATTTGCAGCAATTACTGCCGGTTGCCCGCGATTTGCTTGTTTTTTGGCAGGCAGTAAAGTTACAAGACTACAATAAAAACATCCACAGTGATTATATTATTAAATCACCCATATATTTGAATAAGAATTCTAGTAAGATTTATTGGAATGGGAATTGAATCTTGGCTTAAACTTCTTCGATCTTCAAAAAATATATTTATATTTTTATCCCAACCCATGAATAGATGATTAGCGAGTGCTCACTGTACTATGGGAATAGCATATGGGCCCCATCCACTCTCTCCCTCTTTCTCGTTCTCTCTCATAAACAATGACAAACCAAGTAAATACCAAAAACCAGCAATGGAGCGTATAAAATGCGCTCTATGCGGCTTTACATATAACCAAATAGGTATACGTGCGGTGCCCATTTTCATTAATGACGCAGTAAGTAAATTAAGGCAATTACGCAAAAAACCAATCCACACACATTTTCCAGCATCTAAGCTGGCGCCGCACCTGCCACGCCGTAGGGTACTCACTGTATTCACAAGGTGCGTCTGCATCGCCCTGCTGCTCACGGCGTTCAGAATCTCGACGAACCTCATCATCTGTCCACTGCGCGCCGCCAGATAGAGGTTGTTCAGCTGGGAGAAGCGTAGGCGCTCCTCCAGGGGGAACTTGTCGCGCACCTCCTCGCAGATCTCCACCAGCATTCCGTGGGCCATGCTGAAGCCTTCAAAGTCCAGTTGAAAGTCGTCGTAAATGGACGTGTGCTCCTCGCCCTCGTCGCGAGGTTCTTCCGCCGGATCGACCTCCATATTCCGTTCTGGCCGAGATGGGGGTGCTCTTCTTTGGGTGCGATCGACGATCAATGTGCCCACATAGTGGGGGTGGAATTTCCCTCGCACGACCATAGCAGCCCGCCTTGCTGTATAAAATCTGGTCACACTATTTAACGCATTTTCAAATTGGATTGTTGAAAGTTTTAAAAATGGAAATTCTTAAAAGGAACTTTATTTTTATTAAAAAAAAAATGTCTTTTACATTTTTTTTCTAGCTTTTATCAGCCTTTTCTTTTTAATTTATATCTTTTAACAGCATCCAATTTTAGTGGATTTAGTTTATAGGCCCCAGTTCCCCAACAAAACTCTTAGATAAATGATTTTAAAATAGTTATTGTACATTTTTAGATTATAGCCGTTTATTCACGCTCTTGAGATTTACATTGGGAAGTTTCATTTGGAATTCGTGAAACGTTATGCTACCATGAAACACTTATGAAATACAGCTTGAAATACTTAAATGTTGAAATGTACCGTGAATCAGCTTTTAGTTTCTCCTCCATCATACATCAGCATTCTAGGATTTATTTGTGCGAAGTGTGTGCGTTATCCGTGGCGAGTGTAAAGAATGTATTCTCGTAGGCGTGCGTGTGCGGCTTATAGGTAACATCGTTCTGTGTGCTTAAGCATCAAAGTGAAAGTTTTGATCATTGGTCCAGGCCTGGTTCATAATTCATTGTCATTGTTTATATATTCTTCTTATATATGTTGCTTGTGGGGGGCTGGAGACTCGGATTCCTTATCCTATTTTCGAATCCGAGCACCAAAGTGAGACGAGGCCTGTCCAATGCAAAAATTTCATCGAGGCGTTTTTCAGGATCATATTTTTCCAATCGCCCATCCATTCTGGTACGATATCGAGCATCGGTCCTCTTGGAAAACTATGCCAAAACGCTGCGGTTACTTAACTCTATATAATTGTTATAGTTTGTTGAGTGGTTACTTGATTTTTCTCCACTACAATATCATCGTACGGTCGGTACGTTTTCTTAAAATATAGTTGTTTGCATTTGCTCCAAAGTGTCGATCTCTTTGGTATCGTGTGTTTACGCAGCATCCTCCTATGCTACTCGCCGGGACTGCACATCGAATCCACAGTGGTCATCAACGTCTCGATCAACAGTTCACTTGTTTCTAAACAGCAATTTGAAGCCGTGACACTCTTCACCGGTCACCGGTCATAGTTTACGGGTTCACTCACATATCCAACTCAACCAACTCGCTCGTGTGAGTTTACAGATTGCGTGTACGTCTGTGGCGTGTACTTGGAATTTCTGCTTTAACGCTTAAATTTTGATATTGTTTCTAATCTGTGTTAGTTTTTCAAATAAGGAAAAAAGTTCGCTTAATGTTGTTAATTGTCTCCCGTTCTTCATTTGTTTCTTTCTTCGATGTGATTGTGTGTTCTACTCGTCCTATGTGTTTATCGAATTTTCATTAGCTGAAAGGGTTAAAAATATCTTTAGAAATAATAAAATACCTCCAAATATCTACCAAGCAATTGCCATTGGAGGCTTGTTCTGTATAGTTCTGTATATGTTGTATGTTTCAGTCATAAATAGTGTAAAACAAGTTGTGGTTTTTCAATGTTTTTTATAAAAATTCAATAATACAAGCAAGCTTAAGCAATTCATAAAATTAATCAACAATCTAAGGCAAGGGAAAACCCTTAAAAACTACTAAGCGTTATAGTAAAAGCAACTAATATATGCATCTCTGAAGAAATAAGTCAATTACTTGCGGAGACACGAAACGATGCTTTAGTTGGAGGCCGCAATGGCCACCGGAGCGGCCGAAGGTGCTGCAACATTTGAGGTTACGGCAGCTGGAGCCGTATTGTTGAGATCACCCTTCGAGGATGAGGTTTCCGCCACCTTCAAGCCGTTGGCGCCACTCATGCTGTGGCGAGAGTTGCGCTTGCGCTGCGGACGACCGCCGGACCCAGCCGTCTTATTCGGTGACGGCGACTTAGTGGTTGAATCTGGTACGGAGGACACGCTTTGCGATTTGTCACCTCCGGCACCAAACTCGGCGCTAGCCGAACGGGAACTGGCCGCCCCATTCTTGCTCGGCGTGCCTGGTGCACGACGATTGCGGCGACGGTTGTTGTTCGATTTGACAACCGGCTTAATGGTGGTCTTGCTGGGATCGAAGAAGCTGTCCAACAGCTCCAGAAGCTCAGTCTTGTCCTCGTTCTTAAGCGTCCCGATTGACTGCAGGGCCATGTCCAAGCCTTCGGTACGTTGATCCGCCCAGATGGCGTTGAGGGAGTTCAGATCAAAGCCGTTCTCCGCCAGCACAATGCGGAACTTGACGGCCCGCACCCGGTGATACAAAGTGGTCTTGAAGTAGTTCAGGAAGACCGGACGGAAGGAGTTCTGGCGCTCCAGATTCTCGTTTTGGGTGTCCAGCTCCTGGACGTCGGACCCAACCAACTTGGCGAAAGGCTTCAGAGCATTGAAGAGATTGGTCAATGCCTCCGATGACTCTGGCTCGGCCTTGCGGTCAGAGTTGCTAAGCTGGAGGGCCACATTGAAGGCCAGCTTGGCACGTACGCTGGCGTTTCCATCGAACTGGTCCCGCTCGAACTGGATGCCATTCTTGGGAGATCGCTTGTCGTTAATGTTGCTACTGCTGCTATTGCTGCTGTCAGCGACATTGCTCTCGCTAGCCGAACCGGATCCGGTGGATCCATCCTCCTTGGCCTTGGTCAACATCTTTGACAGCTTGCGCAGGCTGTAGTGCTTAATGTTGGTGTCGCCCATCGAGGCCTTTGCCAGGTTCAGGCTGTTGGCAAATGACTTCACCGACTTGGTAAAGCGCTCCAGAAGTCCGTACTTCTTGAGTGACTCCAGAATCATGTACGGAATAAACTTGCGCTCCTCATGGTAGAGAAGGACAATGCCATCCGAACCGGCAGTCTTGGCATTCAGTTGCTCCAACCAGTTGAGAAAGTCCTTTAGGGCAGCGATCTCCGACTTTGATTTGATTATCTGAAGCGTAAAGTTAATTTTTAAAAGTTAGAATTAAATTGGAAAATCACGATGACTATGCAAAAATTATGGAAAGGAAAACTGTCAAAAAGTGAAAATTATAGAAAGAGAAAGGGAGAAAGGTTAAAGAGGAAGAAAAAATATATGCATGTATGTGTGTACTGTTAGAATTAAGATTTACCTTGTAGGTCTGCATCGACTTCAGCATACGATAAAAACCAATCGAAATAACACGAACTTGATGGCGCTGACGCGCGGCTGGATTCAGATTCATATAGGGCATGATGTACTGCTCGAAGTGATCAGTGGGGGTATAGGCCGCCAGCTGGACAATCTGCAGCAGCATCCAAAGTGGGGTTAGGTCGAAGGGGAATCCGGAATTTTCCGAAGAAAATTGTACATACCTCATCGATTAGACGACGTCCAGTGGTGTCAATGTCCACACCTACCAGGATGTAGTTGCCAGCGGGAAGCTCATCCTTGCCCACTGCCGCCGATGAAGATTGGTCGGCAACGGCAATAGAAATTCCTGCGTCGATGGAATCGGCAACCATTTTGGTATGAGATCTGAGGGAAGCAATCTGAAAACAAAATTTTATTTAGGCTTGACGAACGGGGAATTTCTTTGTGAAAATTTTTCTTTTCTACCAGAAAATGTTTGTTAGAACGAACGCGAACCGCTTGCGCAGAGTTTCGAAGACGAAGTGACTAACCCGAAGAATTGTTAGAGGGGATTGAACGCCAGGAACCGATGGAAGCTAACTGTATTCTTCCAGATGCGCCATTTTCCAATGCACTAACACACTTTCACTTTTTTTTCCATACACTTGATTTTTTGCACTATCATTCTATTATTTTCTTTTGTACTTACCTTTATTTGAACTCCTTTTCGTGTTAATTTCGATGGCTCTTTCGCTTTTTACGAACTTTTTCCTTTATTTTTCAAAAGGGTAAAGCGAGATTTGCTTCCGTTCGACGAGCTTTCACAAATAAGAAACAAATCGTACGACTAACTAAAACGAAATGAAATATTTTCTGCTTCACCTCAGGGTCTCAAAATTTGACAAATTTTCTCGAATTTCACAGCCTACTAGTTGAGGATATGTCATTAAGTACGATGGGCGCTGTAGCTGTTAATTTCGACAAAATATATTCAAATTCCACTGTGCAGCTCAACTATTGATTTACCTTTAAAAGGCTGATTTTTATACGAAAAAATGGGTATTTGTTTTAAATTATTTTATTAAAATATATGTTACATATTTCCTCCACAAAAACCATTTAACAACAGCGTTGTTTTGCTAATCCGAAAGCGCAGTGGACAAAACTGATAAGAAGTCAGAGTTGCCCATTTTTAAATGACCGCGCTGCCAGCCCTCCCCAATGATGCCAGTTTTTGGCGAGAAAAAGTTTTCCAGCATTGCCAGTTCTTTTTATAAAAATGAGCTATTTTTCATTAACAGAGCAGAGAAAAAGAAAAAGTCATATATTGCTAAAGACTTTGTCTTTGCTAAATATTTTCGTGGATATCCCTTGTACAAAGATATACATATATAGTTGCAATAAAAGATAACATGTAATACATTTATGGGTTTGACAAATATAAATATGTATGTAGGGTTCGACGAAATAAATTTAGCAGAAAATATAAATTGGTAGAATTACATTAAGTATTTGGATGAATTCATGAAAATTTAAAAGTTTTCCAAGATTGAGGAAGGTGAATCCCAAGACTCAGTAATTGAACTAGCTCAGTTCCTTGAACTAGTCCTTTCCATCCCTGGATTATCGATAGGTTGTAGTTCACTTCAAAACAAAAACAAATAGTTTCGTTTTGTTTTATTTTCCGCATATCATCAAATGTAATGCTTTGCTGGTGCAATTTATGAACCCAGCTCAATAGAACTGAAAAGGAACCAGGTTTAACACCTAATTATGCTGCATTGATTTCGGAGCAAGAGCAACAAGAGCCAACAAACATACCAACACCTGACAAAGAGAGAGATAGTGTGTGATAAAACCGCGTGAGATAAGGAGTTCTTCGTGCCAAATATGCTGTCTTACATCAAACGCAAGCTCTCTGAATCGGACGGTGGCGGCGGCGGCAGTTCTGGCGCAACCGTGACGTCGTCGTGCGGCGGAGGCATCAGCAGCAGCGATGGCAGCGGGAATACCGGCAGCACGACAGACGAGTTAGTGCGCAAAACGAGCCAGATGTCGATGGACGATGAGGCGATTGCCGTGGGGGAGGACGCACTGCTCCACGAGCTGGGCTACAGGAACGCCACAGACCTTCAAGAGACCATCTATGGTTTGCATACATTATAATTATTTTCTAGAAAGTTATGTAACTGTGCATTCTTGGTCCAACAGACTTGTTGCGCGGCATACGGGATCCGGAAAAGCCCTGCACCCTGGAGGATCTTAACGTGATCTACGAAGAGGGAATATTTGTGATGCAGCCCACACGCTCAAATGTCTCCGTGGTATGTTTCCCTTGTCTCATTATTGAAATGAACTCTCACAGTTCACGATACCCCACAAAGATAAAATTTTTAACTGAATGGGGAGCTAAGGTCTACATTCGGAATGAAAGTGATATGTGGGTATTAGGCTCTTTGTGGAGATAAAGAAAAAGTTCATAAACTGTGTAAACAAATAGGAAATTTCAGTTGTACGCTACTAGTGAGCTCACCAGATATACATAAATTATCTAATTTTCTTTCCCTTTCGCTAGGTGCGCATCGAATTTAACCCCACAGTGCCCCATTGCTCCCTGGCCACACTGATAGGACTTTGCATACGAGTCAAAGTAGAACGTGGTCTGCCCCACAATATTAAGCTGGACATCTACATCAAGAAAGGTGCCCATCAAACGGAAGAAGAGAGTGAGTTTGTTTGGCATCAGCTGTTAATAACCGCGTTGATAACCACATCTTACCAATTACAGTCAACAAGCAAATCAATGACAAGGAGCGCATAGCAGCGGCTATGGAAAATCCCAATCTGCGGGAACTGGTCGAGAACTGCATAAAGGATGAGGAGTAACCGATAGACGCTCTCGTTTCGTGTACATAGAAGATTTTTAAGGTCTAGGGTTAAGTCTACCATTAAGTTACTCCATGGACTGTGTGCATAGCATTAAAGCCCTTCAAATCTGTTAATCGCTGGGTCGGCGGCGTGATTCCACCTGAATATCGATTGCTTAACCTCCTATCTATTTCCCCCCGTTTGTTTACTGATAAGCCAGAGGGCCCAACGCCCATTGTTTACATTCAGCCGGAACGATATCGCACGTTGGACACTCGGCCGAAGAAAACCGTGTGCAGAGCGCTGTCATGGCGGGTGAATGAAACCGAAGCTCACCAAATCAAATCGGGCCGGATTGAAGGGGGTGGCAATCAAAGGCCGGCCATTTTGGACGGGTGTGACGTGTGCGTGGATTTATCAGCTATGGAGCAGCCCGAATGTTTGGGGCGGAGCAGGGCACTAACCTGTCGGGTAGCCAAGTCGAGTGCATGACACATATTTAGCTCGACTAATTTCTTTGCCGACTAACTCTCCAGTTTCAGTGAGCACTTTGTTGCCATGGTTGCCGTTGTTTCTGCTCCAATTTGCATTTCCGGGGTATTCCATTTGTTAAATTGCACTGCAATGCATGGCTTTGTTCTGCCCTTTGGGCAACCCGCCCCCCCTCCGGCCCATCCATAAATATTTAGCAATATCAATTAGTTGCTTGCCCTCGCGCTCAAATGCCTTAAACTAATTTTCAAAGACTTGGGAAAAAAACATCCCGGGGAGCAATTAAAACCATCTGCCGTTGGAAACTTTTTGCCACGACACTTGCGGGCCAATATGCAAGGGAAATAAATGGGGATCCCTGGGATGCCGGCCAGGCAACTGCCGTTTTAGGCGTACTGCTGTCTCGAAGAGGGAAGGAGCAAAATAATAAAAATGAATATGCAGACAAAGGCATATTGCGAATATTACGCTAATTGGCGACTGCAATCAAAGTGGACCACGACCTGGACACGTTGGCAGTCTCGGTCTCATTCTGGGTCCTAGGGGGTGGTCCTAGGTCCTTTGTCGGACCCAGCAGCCGTGACTCTGGACTGTCTAAGACCCAGCTTCGGGATTACGTCTCGGCCTTCCTTCAATCGTTGAGGTGAGTTGAGTAGCGACGTGAAACGGCGGATACACCTGTGCGAATAATGGCTCCCTTTAATTTATTTGATGCTTACCCAAGACTTAAGACGTCTTTAATACTTTTCCCATTTATAAAGCTTAATTTTTCATAAAAATGTACATAATATCAGTGTTTAGCGACAGAAGAATTATAGAAAGTCCATATTCCAAGTAGAATATAGTTATAGGTAGCCAGCCTAAGTAGGACGGGGGACCGATTCAATCTTGAAGCCATGTCACCATGACTCAGTTCCTACTCCGTGGGGATGCTCCATGAGAGGCCCGTGGGAAACAGGACTGCGACAGAATTTTATGTGCGAAAAATGCATAATTTATTTGGTTAATGCATATGCATTTAAGCCGGACCAACAACTGCAGCAATTCCCCAGGATTTGCTGACCGGCAATTGTCATTTGTGCAGCGGTCAAAGTGACCCATTTAACCGGCCTGCAGTGGCCCGATGGCCCGCCCTTTCCGCCGACTCCGGCCTTCCGACTCGAGTACATAAGTAGGCAAATGCAACGAGTCTGGGGCCCAAGTCGGTAACGCCTGAAGACGAGAGGCACAGATTGCGGCAACCGAGATTTCCTTCCGATATGCAATGCTGTTAAATTGCGTGCCATTATTATGATTGCCGTCGTGACGGGGAGCTGGGAGCTGGGAAGCACGGATGAAATGAACAGGATGCCGGAGCCAAGACCAACTGCGGAGTTGCATTCACACATTGTTCTCCGGGTCTTCGCATATGCCATGTATTTCATTATGAGCCTTCCTCATCCTCCATTCAATTTGTGAGCCAAAAGCAAGGGTATTTGTTCTTAAAAGGCCTCGGGGGGGATAACCAATTACAAAGATTTTAAGAATATTTTTATGGGTAAGGCAACATGGCGTATGAGTAATGCTTTTATGAGAACAGTGCTATCCTTACTATGGGGTAAGACTTGGTCGTATCCTCAGAATTTTTAAAATCCTGTTGCTATTTATATCCAGGTAGGTTGCTGCAACCAATTGTGGTAATTGTTGTTGCCACAACAGTCACGGCGCAGATCCTTAAACCCGGAAGTAACACTCAATGGGGTAGAACTCTCGCCCGCTTACACGATGTCGGCATGTATGTATGGGTGCATTATGCAAAGTCCTGGTCAGTGATGGGAGTAGAACAAGGAGCTGAAAGCAGCCTCAGTGACCGACATGCGGACTTGGCCATTCAGCAACTGACAACTTATGCATCAGCGAGGTCAGAAATTCCGGATTTCGTAGGGAATCCGAGTTCCTGGTTCACAATGATCCGGCACTGAGCTCTGCCTGAGCCGGAGCTGTTTTCGTTGTGGTGTTTGGAGTCAGAGCCAGAGTCATAGCTGCAGTTGGAGTTCGGGGTTCGGGTTACGGGTTACGGGTTACGGGTTCCGGGGTCCAGGTCTTTGTTGTTTGCACTGCCATTAATTTCTGTTGCACTCGCCTCGCCATTTATTTTGTACGTAAAATGTGCCAACGTTATGAGTTGCCGGGAAACCCTTTCTGTCTCTTTTCTGTCTTCCGGAAAAGGATTGCTTAACCCTTTGGGGTTCAATGGGATAAGCATTTGAGTAATGGCTTGTTAAAAAGGATTTATTAAAAAAATTAGTATTTTCTTTAGTTTCTATAGAAGTATTTTTTAAAATTATATTTCCAACAACTGAATATTGCTTTTCCGGCACTAATGGGCTAAAGGTACAGCGGACCGGAATGGCTACCGAGGACCAGGCGCCTGCCAAGCGGAAGTGGTCGCGTGCGTTGCATCCTGTCGGCAATTATGCTGCAGCAGCAACAACAATTACAGCTACAGCTGTTACCGTTCCAGTTCCTGTTCCCCGCAGCCCGCCCTCTGCTTGGTTGTAAGCCATTTTAATTGCTTGTCTCTTTTTAATTTTCAGCTCTTTTGTTATCCTCAACCCTTGCCCCCTGA